CGCTTGTTTTATACAAAGAGACCTCAAATCGATTGCTTGAAAGAAATTTGAATAGTACTAGGATTATCAAAAGAATAAAAGGTCTGAGATATCAAAGGCGATTTCCTTGGTTCCTCATACAATACATGTAGAGTGAAGAGGACTTGAATTAGAGGCTGATAGCATTAAGAGATTTCGATAAAAATTCACCAATTCCGCAACATTCGCCACATGCTATTTTGCGAGAAGCAATGTCCGTCATTAGAGACAATAGACCCCAGAACAAGTTGTGACCAACACTATTTAAAGAAAAACTAATTGAAATGACAGCTAAATATCGTCTGATGGGATACCGTCAGCCTTGTCGTCTGCTTCACGTGCGCGGCGGACGCCTGCTGACTGTGTGCTGGACCACTGAGCCAGATGACCATACATCCGGATGACATGTCAGCGCCTGTCGAGATGGGATGGGGTGCTGATGGGGAGATAATGGGGATGGAGGCAGACACTGATAACAGTAATGTTCATAAACTCTGCGGAACCAGTTTGCTGACAGAGATAGAAGTAGACAAAGATATCGTCTCCCTCTCGTTGTGATTTAAGTTCAAACTGGAAAATTCTAATTTCTATGAAGTTATATTATTAATTAGTATCATTAAGAAATTAAAATGAAAGTGCTTATTTTTTTCGTTTAGCTTAAAAGAATGCTGTATTTCGTTATAAAATTTATGTTATTCGGGACCAAAACAAAAAAAAATCTTTAAAGATGCGACAACTGATTTCATTTGCAGCTGTTACAGTACGTATTTCAGGAAACATGTAATTACAAATCCAATAACGAACCCAGAAAATACCAATTTTCTCTATTATAAAACGAACACCTGTGATTTTTCCGGATTTATCTGTTTTTTATTTGATTGAGTCTCTATCTCGGATTACTAATAAAATGTCTTTATTGTTGGCCAAAGAAAAAAAAAATGGACACAAGAATGACCGATCCAAGTCGGAATTTTCACAGCCCATGTTTGACAAACACCTATCAGACATACATCTTTGATCTTTTACAAGTGTTTAATTACTTATTTCACAAGATGGCTGCAAAGCACTTCCGGCTAACGAGATAGTAGTATTTGATTGATAGTCGAGCAAAAGAAGTAGTTAACGGTAGTCTCGTTTTATAGCGATGGGTGCCTTTGAACATTAAGGGGCCCAAATAGAGTAACCCCGAATCTAAGGGTGTTTATTGACGTTAGTTCGTGATTTATTGTAGTGTGACTGCTTAAAAGATGAATTAAACTTTGAACGGAATTCTTAAGGAAATTTACGAAGGCGGTCGTGCGGGGACGTGTGAAATGTGGGAGGCATAAAGACACTTCATTAATCAGATCAATTTCCGATAAGCAAATGAAGAGTTTTAATATTTTATTAAAATTTCCGTTATGCTTTGTAGCAATAGGATGTACAATATGTCATTGCATTACGCTCGATGCACTATAATTCTGTCCTTCGGATGTCATTTTATCATAGTAACGTGTTTGTAAGAATATAATAAAAAGTCATTTGTTATTCTAACAAAGTCAACAGTTTTTACCTGGATTTGATTTCTATTTTAAAGTTCAGAAAGCAAACGACGAAATTCTTTTTGAATTGCCGAGTCTCTTATTGCCAAAAATCAATCAATATTACACCCATCTGTCATCTCTGTTAGTGACCAACAACAGATTTAATGCGAACAAAAGAAACAGCATTATTAGAATAAGTGACGTCATTCTGCAATATGTTACCGGTCAATTTATTATTTATTGCCCTTAAGGCTAAAATCAGTAACTGTAAAGTTCTTTGTTGTAGTTGTAAGACATGGAATGGTGCAAAGTAACGGATTACGACTACTTTGATCATCGGCGGTGCTGGAAGCCCCGAAGCTGAACATGTACGTGTAAAAATCGAAGTAGCATGCGACTACAGTGTTGGATCAGTTTCACTGTTTGCAATTGGTGCAATTTTTTTGGTGCTTTATAAATCTTTTTTTTTATTATTTTTTTTTTATTTAGAGAGAGAAAGAGAGAGAGAGAGAGAGAGGAGAGAACTCTAAGAAATATTGCCTCCGTTTTTTATTATTCACCCGGAACGGAAACATTTAAAATATTTCTTTGTTAGTCAAAATTAGCATAACTGAATATTTCAGAAATGACATCACACATTTGTATAGCACTTTACAACATCTTGTTTCGGGTTACTTTTGATTTGATACAGATGACATCAAAGACAAACAAAGGTCATTAGGGGAATAGACAAAACCTATGCATCGTCACCCCTGGAGAAACGAAAATCGCTCTCCCGAGCTCTCTGTCACCGCGATGAGTTTCCGTCTTTTGTGAGTGACACTAGTTCTCGCGACTTTTTGCCTTATCGCGATCAGAAATTGTCCTTTGAATGAAGAGACAGAACAAAGACTTTTTGAACCGTGGACTTACGATAAAAGCTTGCATGTAACATATTGTGCTGGTATTTTTTTTTGTTGGGGCGGGTCGTTACGGTGGGAACTAGCTTGTCAGGTTACACGTGATGGTCGGTATTTGTTTGATTTATTTTCCCGTATTTTTTTTTTCTAATAAAGGTAGCCTATAATTAAATAATATGGCACAATGATTATTCAGATGTTTTTCTTTACAAAATACAAACATATAGATCATTAGAGAGAGAGAGAGAGAGAGAGAGAGAGAGAGCAACAGATTTCTAATTAAAGGAAGCCTTTTTCTTAATTATAGATCATCTCACCCGCTCTTTTCTCTTTATGTAACAAAAATCTATTCATACGAGTATTACGTAAACTTTTTTTCTTTTTTATTTTACGCTCATTTTTTTTCTCCGGATATCGGTAAAAATTTTAAGGGGGATATAGGGTTAAAGTTATTACGTCTAAGTACATTTCAACTCTAAAGGATATTGTTCCCAAAAATTTTGAATAAAAACATCAGACAAATTAATATGCAACCATACTTCCCATCAACCATTTGTCGCAGAGAAATCTCCAGTTTCACGCCTCGATCACCTTTTGTGAATTAATCTCTGCTGATATTCATGAATGATTTTATCACACGACGAAACCTCCATAAATGAAGTTTTAACGGCAATACATTGTGATTTTATTTTTTAAATTTTTTGGTTATAGTTAATATGTTTTTTCCATACATTTTTTATAACATATAATTTAAACTTAATGAAAAAGAAATCCAAAATTCTCTTTGGCACATGTTCTTTTAAAATCTCCATATAATCTCCATTTCATTGAAATTTATTAAATCATTTAGAAATATATTTAATACCTTAATTACCACATTTTTTTTTTTTTACATTCAGTGTTTTATTTTATTCTAGAAATACAAATGATCTCCTAAGTATAACTACACTCATTCATCTAAACGGTCAATAGAAACAATAAGTGTTCGATATTAGGCCTACTAAATATATACAAACCAAATCTTGAAGTATAATGTTTTTTATTGGTAACAATTTTGAAGCTCTCCTCTCTGACATAAATCAAAAGTCTTACGTTCTTGTGTATATATTGACAATTTTTGGAAATCTTTAGAGTGGTTCAAATGCAAAAGAATTTGACGAATTAAAAATTCAACCTTTCTGCATTCCTAGCTATGAGTGACTACGAAAGAAAGAAATAATTATAAAATTAAAAACCTTCATACCACTGTTAAATTGACATGGTTACAATTTTTATGATTATTCATTATTTATAGGATGTCCCATGGTTTGTGGTTATAAATACTTATAATATAGAGTATTTTTGGTATGGAATGATTATTTTGCGTTGTTTCCCGATGTTTCCTGTGGTACATGTATACATGATAAATAAGTGTAATAAATATAATTTGTGAAGAAATGTCCAACAACCCCCGGGGTTGATTTTTTTTTTTTTGGGGGGGGGGGGGGGTCCTGTCTACAAGTACCTGTGCCTGTGGTCGGAAAGGCCCAAGAAGTTGCGATTGTCACTCACAGGGGGGGAGGGGGGGGGGTTGCATGCTCCCGGCGGGTAAAAAGTATCAAATAAAAAAAGTCATATACGAAATACAAAAAACAACACGTATTGTTTTTGTAATTCATTACATATAGATTTTTTAATATACAATGCACATACAGTACTGTAGATCTACTATTTTATACGCCGGGAGCAAGCCCCTGTGATCCATATTGTATTTATAAAGGATTAAATATGTGATAACTATATTAATACACTTGAGGTAGAATACCTTTATACATATAGTTTCAAATCACTACTACGATGCATTTATTTTCTTTTAAGAATTGTAAAATTCAGTTGATTTTAGCAATCTAATTAAAATTAGACTTGTATTTCCGCTCCTCTACCATACGTTTCAATACATAATATTGTATTGAAGAGTATAGTAGAAGAGCGAATATACAAGTCTTATTTTAATTAGATTGTAGATTTTAGAAACATAGATTTACCAGATTAAAGGGACAAAACCTGACCAATCAACTACTTACTTTTAAAACCTCTTTTGAATATAAGCATCGGTGGTTCAGTGGTAGAATGCTCGCCTGCCACGCGGGCGGCCCGGGTTCGATTCCCGGCCGATGCAACTTTTTTTTTTTTTTTTCAAATTAAACACATCTTGTTTCAGAATACATACATATGTACACATAAGATTTTTTATTGAACAGTAAATTATATAAACAATGATACACAAAGAAAATCCTCCCTATAATTATAGTACTTTTGCTCAAAGTGGTTACAGTTTTTTTAATTTGTTGCTGTCACCAACAGTCGTCCGCATAGACTACCATGTTTTAGACTTACTTCTAGTTTATCAATTTCTTTTTTAAATCTACTAATTAATTACCATTACCCTCCGAAAAGCCCGTCTTTCCTAGAGTGTTCTTGCCTGTCTTACATATCCTGCTTCTACACGGAAATAGTAAATTATTAATTAGAGTTATTCCTCTTTGAGCGAGGAAACCATAACAATGGACAGCGATCACATCTATATTTAACTTGGAAATTCCCTACTTGTTCTTGCACAAGAGATGATAGTCTAATGTGTTATTTTATTTACTGAGTCCATTTTTTTCAATCTCTTCAGGTAAGCTTGTTTCAGCTTTTAACTATGCTGGGACTTGTAGAGTGAATCAAGGCAAATTTAAGTGTTACTATCATATCACTGAATGTCTTAAGTAGTTATGAAACTCAGCCATGTTTAAAATACATTTTATACGGTAGACTGAGTCATTGACATCGATTTTTGCTTTATTCTTATGTGTGTGATATTCATTGTATGGGTATATTTATTTTTAAAGATATGAGGAGACTTAATTTCTTTCTTCCGTAATCAGGCTATCTTTTTGTTGTTTGTGATGTACACAGTGAAAGGGGGATCACTCCAATCATTGAACAAGTTTCCACATGTCTAATTCGTATAAAACTTGCCAGATTTCTACCTGTTATATTATATATTATACGAGGGTTGTCCGGTAAATTCATGGACAAGTTGTCTAGAGTGAAAAAAATAATCATCACTGCGTTCTAAAATTTTTACTACTCATTAGTACATTTTTCATCAATATACATAGCAAATTTCAAATAGACATATGCATAAATAAACAAATGAGTTTTTATGTCGTGTATGGTATCGCCTTACGGCGCACGGATGATAACGTCAAATGTCTAAAGCAGCGTCACGTTTCCTCTTTGCTAATAAAAAAAAAATGTTGAATAAGCCCCACGTAAACTCGGGAATTTCATTAATGCGCATACTCATGATACTTGAGTTTTCCTTTATTCCTCCATAAACAGTCGATGAACCAATCTCGCGCACACATGGGATCTTCTGAAAATATATTAGTGCGTTGTGGACAGTACTCTCACTATCATTCAACGAAATAGGCTACCTTATGTCGACTGTCTACAGTGACAGCGTTTTTCGCTATTGCCTGTAGCTGTTTCTCCGTATGATTTGTTCTCTACCCGGGTACTCGATCAAAAAGATTTCGCTTAGAAAATTCCCATTTCACTCGTATACTAAAGATCTAGTGATATTTTTATATTTATCATCTGTAGTCATTTAAAGTCTCTTAGGGCGTCATTGCTACATCTAAATCAAACTGAACTGCTCTCCGGTGCGCCGTACGTAACGTCATCAAACGTCGCCATTTTTCGTGTGTTGTGTTTACCACTTTGAAGTTTCCCATTTCAAATGCTTGGGAAACTGCCAAAAATTAAGCAAATGTCTTGTATTAAAAATTGGATAATTTTTACCTCAATCTTCTCTATTCAATACTTTTATTTCGAAATAATACTTGTGTATTCTTTAATGAGACTCTGGGTTTTTGATCGTGCGCCGTAGGACCGTACCCTGTGTACATTCAAGCATAATAAAATCTTTATTTTTGTCTATATTTTGTCAAGAAAATTAAGATGCACTTAAACTGATAAAGATTTGCTGAAAATTTCAGCTAAGTACGTGCGCCTATTATTTTTCGATAAAAACGCTTTGTCCACGATTTTACCGGACAACCCTCTTATATATTATCGTATTGTATGATTATGTATTCTTAAAAAGAATATTTTGGGAAATTTTGGTATTTAGTTAATTAAAGCCGAGTCATGGACAGAAATATTGGCAAGCATGTGATTATGAAGAAGTTCTCACATAAGCAGACTCAGTTAATTAAATTATTATATTTTATAAAGCCCTATTTTAGTTCGCTCCGTTGAACTTTTGAACAGGCAATTGCTGCATGAATAATGACATATTAAAAATGAAATATAGTTTACAACCCACAAGTAGATCAAAGCACTACATAAAACTATGAGGCGGTATTAGTGCTTAATATTAAGTAAGCTTTTTATTTAGTAATTGTAAACATGTGCGAATCTATTGTACTCCATGCAATGACAAGCATCGAATACCGACACTTACCTAACAATGTTTACAACACAGGTACTTTACTGTGCAGTGTGAAAATTTGCAAAATGAGGAAAGAGAATACGTATTTACCTTCTGCCAAGAAGATCTTCCAGCGGTACGAAAGAGCCAAGTTTCAGGAGAATATTTTGTTGGTGGGGACCGTTGGGGCGGGTAAATCAGCCACAATCAACACCATCAGCGCCGCCCTGTCGGGAGAAAAGAAATATCGCGCCCCTATCGGGTCCCAGCTCTCCTCCCCAGACGCTAAAAGAAAGAGGACCACGACACATCTTATGTGGTAAAATGTTCTATTTAGTTATGTTTGTAAAATGCATTTATTTATTTATTTATTTTTAGCATACATCTAATTGATGGCACGTCAAACGTTGCATTATTCGATCTTTTCCATTTGTAGTGTCTAATTTTCCATTTGTACTGTATAATTTTCCATTTTCTTCATTTTCATCTATAATTTTCAATTTGTGTTGAATTTTTTTCTATCTGGAAAATAATACAATGCAAATGGAAATTTTTTTGATACAAATGGAAAATTACAGAATACAAGTGGAAAATTATACAATACAAATGAAAAATTGAAAAACAATTCAGATGGGAAATTATACAAAACAAATGGAAAATTATAGAATACAAATAAAAATTACACAATACAAATGGAAAATTATACAATGCAATAGAAAATTGTACAATACTTACAAATGAAAAATTATACAATATAAGTGGGAAAGATCGTAAATTGCAAACTTTGACATGCCATATTTATTGATAATAAGTTCGATACTACATGACTGTATAGATGATTTGAATTACAGAAAACTCCAACAGAGTTTAACATCTCAAATATGAATAACAGAAGTTTATGAACCTTTTTTTAAAATTGAAATAATAAATGAATGCTGAAATATTACAGCTCATATTGCCTTTTATAGCGAGCGCAGCGAGCGGCGCGAAGCGCCGCTCGTCACTGCGAGCTCTAACGACAACGCCTGGGCGAAGAGAAAATTCGGACTACTGCACATTCATTCAATAGAATTTTTTTCCGCAGTAATTCTGACCCACAATGCATCGCTTCTTGTTCTCGCTGCTAACTTCGTTCACGCGGTGACAACAACTAAAATTTCACAAAAAATAAACTCACCTTAATTAATGGCTATTGCATGCAGATAGTAGATTAAACGTTCTTTGTTAAAATATTTGCACTTTTTAAACTTTGTTTATGGAAATGCAGCTAACGTACGACGTCATGTGACGTCACAGTCTAAGACGTTCCAAATGTCTCGTGCGGTTTGAAGAGGCGGATCTTAAGTACCAGTCCGCGTAAAAATCAGACAAAAGTAATATTTAAGTGATTCGCTGAGGTTCTCAGAATTCAATGATTTTCCACACATAGATTTCTCTTGCACTATGATCCATGAATGTAAAATGAAAAATGTTTTGGATCATGGTTACTATGGAAACCTGGTCAAAGTTATTTCCTTAGCAACCAGCCAATTTTTCCATATGAAAGGACAAAAAATCACTTATTTTTAAAGCCTGAAATTATATATAAAAACTTAAACAATTGTTCTTATTTATTGGTATAATAAAGACACACACTTTAGGTGTTTAAACAACACAAGACATTGATATTTTATTCAAAGGTAGTACTGTGGTAGACATTAGAATATATAAATGTTTTTGCATTTTTGCTGACTCAGCATTTTCCTCGATTTTGGCAATATTGAAAGTCAATTTAAAATTAATACCAAGCAAATACAGCTGTTGTGTTTATTTCACATAAAAGGGGAGGACTACCTCTTTTAGACTCTAACTTCGAAAACGCGGGTTTTTTGAAAAATCCTATCCGTTGCCTAGCAACAAAGTTGGATGTTTTGATAAAGAAAAAGTGAAAAATGGTAAAGAGTTGAGTCAAAAATCTTATAAATTATTATCTTTTAGTTGTAGATACAATTTTTCAAGTAATAGAAAACAACTCTCATTTATTTAAAAAATGAATCAATAATTTATATTCATTTATCTCTATGGCAACAGAAAATTTTCCATAGCAACAATGCAAAAAGGGTTATTTTTGGCATTTTTGTATAGAGTTATAATAGATACAAATAGATAATTTTTCTTTAAAATACAATTTGGCAAAACTGTCAATTTAATATGGGTCTGATAAAGTATTTTTGTACTTTATTAACCCATGGCAACAAATCTGATCATTTATCAACCACTTTTGTAACCACAATATCCTTTTACATTCAGTCATTTTTGGGGCTAAATTTTAAGGGCTGAAATGAGATTTTCAACAAAAAAACATTCTGAATGAAAAATAAATACCTTAAGATACAATATTATTATGTATCAAAAAGTTTGTATGGATGACAAGATTCCATAATCAAATAATACTTGGGTTGCCATGGCAACATGTTGCACAATGGCCAGGAAGCAAACTATCTGTTACCAAAATATTTTATTTGAAATTTTGGCTTTCAGTATTCATACCTTTTGCTTGCATTGAAATAAGCAAAACACTCGGGAAACTTTAGCATTCATAATTTAAGAAACTGTATGTTTTTATGGTTACCATGGATACACTTTGAAGTTAGTGTTGCTTAGCAACTGTGTAATATAACCAAATTTTGAAATTTTCTAATATTTGGGGAGAAAAACTTATTTTAATTGAGATGAATTCATCAATTTAAAATTATTAATTAAAAAAATACTACAGCATTACATTCTAGAAACTTCAGTGGTGTATGAATGCTTTTCTGATTACATTTTGTTTGGTACCTGCCTGTCTGTTTGTCTGTAAACTTTTCACATTTATAACTTCTTAAGAACCATTGTACCCAAACTTCCCAAAAAGTATCATTGGATAAAGGATAATCAAGTTTGGTAAAATGAAGGGCCACACCCTCTTTAAGGGCGAGATAATAAAACAAGAGGCCCATGGGCCACATCGCTCACCTGAACGCAATGGCTAGGACAAAGCACAAATCAATTCAGTATTGAAAAGTTTACAGGGGGATGGTGGCTTGAATTTTAAACTACCTGAGGATGCTTCCATATCAATATAACAAATGGTTTTGCTGTTCTTCGGTAGGGATTTTTAAAGATTTTTTCCTATATATTCCTTTGTAAAATTTGATACCCAATTGTGGCCCCTCCCTACCCCCAGGGGTAATCAGTGGAACAAAATTTAATCTACACTACCCGATGATGCTTCCATATCAATATGACTAAACATGGCTTTGCTGTTCTTGAGACAAAGATTTTTCCTTTATATTCCTATGTAAAACTTAGATCCCCCATTATGACCCCACCCTATCCCCGGGGGACATGATTTGAACAAACTTGAATCTACAATACCATAGAATGCTTCCATTTCAATATGAATAAACGTGGCTTTGTTGTTCTTGAGAAAAAAATTTTTAAAGTTTTTTCCTATATATTCCTATGTAAAACTTTGTACCCCCATTGTGGCCCCACCCTAACCCCAGGGGTCATGATTTGAACAAATTTAAATCTACACTATCTGAGGATGCTTACATATCAATATGACTGAACAATGTTTTGCTGTTCTTGAAAAGAAGATTTTTAAAGATTTTTTCCTATATATTTCAATGCAACACTTTGATCCCCCCTTGTGACCCTACCCTACCACCGGGGGTCATGATTTAGACAAAGTTAAATCTACACTATCTGAGGATGCTTCCATATCAATATTACTAAACAAGGTTTTGCTGTTCTTGAGAAGAAGATTTTTAAAGTTTTTCCCTAAATATTCCTATGTAAAACTCTGTTCCCCCATTGTGACCCCATCCAACCCCCGGGGGACATGATTTGAACAAACCTGAATCTACAATACCATAGAATGCTTCCATGTCAATATAACAAATCATAGCTTTGCTGTTCTTGAGAAGAAGATTTTTAAAGTTTTTTTCCTATATATTGCTATAGAAAACATTGATCCCCCATTGTGGCCCCACCCTACCCCCAGGGGTCATGATTTGAACAAACTTGAATCTACACTATATAACAAAGGTTTCTTATAAGTTTCAACTTTTTTGGGCCATTGGTTCTGGAGAAGAAGATTTTTAAGATATGCCACCAAATTTTCACTATTTCTGAATTATCTCCCCTTGAATAAGGGCGTGGCCCTTCATTTGAACAAACTTGAATCCCCTTCCTCCGAGGATGCTTTGTGGCAAGTTTGGTTAAAATTGGCCCATTGGTTCTGGAGAAGAAGTTGGAAATGTGAAAAGTTTACAGACGGACTGACAGACAGACGGACTACAGACAAAATGTGATCAGAAAAGCTCACTTTAGCTTTCAGCTCAGGTGAGCTAATGAATGAAAATTTTATGTCATCATTTAAGGATCCTCTTTACACTGCACCCTAATTTCAGGGTACTTTTGTTTAGTTAGACTGACCCACCATTTGACATAAAATAGAATAATTTGTAATCTGCACTATATGTCATAATTTAAAATAAGTAATCGAAACATTATATTAGACTTAGATAGAGTAGCTGAAGACTTTTCAATGTGTATGTACATGTATTCTGTATTTGAGTAAATAAAAGCTATTTTCGTTTTCATTACTTCATTGTTTTTGAATTCGAAGGTTTTCCCTACATGAAAAAAAGGCACACTCCCTATATTAAAAATTAATTAGTTGATTTCAAATATCCGTCTTTACGCTGTATAATTTTCTCAAAGTCCAAAAAACATATTTCATCAGTGTAAAGAGGGTCCTTAAAATTCTTCTCAAGTACCACTAGGCCAGCTAAAATATACGAAACTTATATGGACGCATCCTTGGGTAGTGTACATTCAAATAAAATTATTTAAAAACGACTCCAAGGGAGGGGGTTGGGGGTAGGATGAGGCCTTACTGTACGATCAAAGATTAATATGGAAATTTATAGGAAAGGATCTTCTCATGAACCACTTAATAACTTAAGAGATATCTGAGGACAAAACTTCAGATGGTCCTAAGACAGATTTTATAAGCTTGACCCAGAAGCTCCCTTAGGAATGGGCTTACTTGGATATACTTAGGAGATTCTTAAGATAATTCTAAAATGTTGCAACATCGCAGACTATGTTTATATAACAAAGAAATATATATAACATTTAATTAAAAATACAGAGTCATATAATAAATATCTTTATTATTTTTTGGCTCACCTGAGCCGACTTCTCAAGAACCACTAGGCCAATTTCAACCAAACTTGACACAAAGCATCCTTGGGTAAATGGGATTTAAGTTGAAGTTTGTTCACAGGAATTGCCACGCCCTCTTTCAAGGGGAGATAATCAAGAATTCGTGAAAATTTGGTAGCATCTTTTAAAAATCTTAATCTCAGGAACCACTGGACAAGGAAAAATGAAAATGTGAAGTATTCATTACGTATTCTAAACTCAAGATTGTCCATATCATAACCACCGGGGATAGGGCAGGGCCACAGGAAGGGGTCAAAGTTTTACGTATGAATGTAGGGTAACTGTCTTTAAAGTCTTCTTCTCGAGAACAGCAAAACCATGATTAGTCATAAAAGTATCCTCAGGTAGTGTAGATTCAATTTTATCCCAATCATTACTCCTGTGGGTAGGGCAGGGCCACAACAGGGGGTAAAAGTTTACTATAGGAATATATAGGAAATACATGTACATGTATCTTAAAAAAATCTTCTCAAGAACAACTAAACCATTATTAGACATATTGATAGAGAAGTATCCTCAGGTAGTGTAGATTCAAGTTTCTTCAAATAATGACCCATTGGGGTGGGGCGCAGACACAACAGGGGCCCAAACTTTACATAGGAATATATAGAAAATAATCTTAAAATTTTTTCTTCTTTAGAACAGCAATACCATTATTAGTCATATTAGTACAGAAGTATCCTTACATAGTGTAGATTTAATGACATCCAAGGGTAGTTCAGGGCCACAACAGGGGGTCAAATTTTTACTTAAGAATATATAGGGAAAAAATATTTAAAATTCTTCCCCTCAGAAACAAAACCATGATTACTAATATTGAAATGGAAGCATCCTGAGGTAGTATAAATTTAAGTTTGTCGCCCATAAACTTTTCGATATTGATATGATTTCTGCTTTTTCCAAGCAAATGTGCTCAAGTCAGCAATGTGGGCCTTTTGGTTCCTTTTACTACACAATAACACACTTCTCTCTCCTAAAAAATGATGCAGAAGAAATTAAAATGCATATTGGAAAATTGACTGTACATAAATAGATACCTGGTATCGCTTTTCATATAATTATCAAACCAACAAATAATCAAACATATATTTCCGTAAGTAAATTTTCTTTACATATGCACTGTGAGGGAGTAATGTAGTGAACAGTGCATATGGAACTTATGTAGTTCTGTGGGGGAAATATTGAAAAAAAAAAAAAAAAGACTGGAGTCATCATCCCAATTTTTTTCAGGCCAGCGAGCTACAGATATGCAGCAAGGAACTTATATCGCCTCGCTATTAAGGAGCTATCTTTTTCAGTTGCTAGCGCTCTCAAGCAAGCGCTAGTAATAAGTTTTTTTATTAGTATACGCATCCTCGGCATCACGGTACTGCATTCTGGTAATACTACTGTACCATGTAAATTCCGTTATATCAGCAGAAAATACACATGATCTGAAGTTCCCTGTCTTATTCTCTTACCTGTTATAATCTGTACAAAAATGTATATAAGGTAACAGTTACTTAGATATTATTAGATATTACTTCTATATTACTTATCTTCACCCTTTTCATTCAATTCTTGGATATTATAATGCCAAGACTGAAGAGATCAGTCATTTCTAAAATTATAATAAATACCTAGCTTTTACTACCTCACTTGATCATTCTGGCAAGTTCAGAAATATAACCTAGAATATTTTTTTCGAGCTTGCCGGAAAGACCCAAGAAGATGCGATTGCACAAAACGGTACCGCACTGGAATATTTTAAACTAGGTGCCCATTGGTTCTATTAATGTCTTATTTTTCACCCCAGATTGAAATTACAGTAAACTACAGAATGCTTAAAGCAGAGTTAATTAGTTGTGTTATTGTGAAGCCCACTCTAGAATTCACCATTCTGAATTGAGCCCCCCCCCCCCCCCCATTCACTACACCAGTTCACCACCGTGCCTTCTTATTGATGATCATTCGAGTCAGCAAATTAAAGTTCCAATGATTCTGATATCTACTTCTGTGTTTCATGATGGCTACAACGCTAGCTCAACTATCGTTTTAAAGACTGGTTTGTAAATACTAGAAAATAGTGATATGTAAATGTCTTCTTCCATTTCAAGGTACAACAAGCATGCATAAGTACTGGATGAGTGACCTTTTCACTATATAGAATCATGCAAAAAAATCTGTGATTATCCTTATATTCACATGTAGTTTGACTTAATGACTCAAGATATAGTGAGACAAGAAAGAAAATCCCAGCTTCACCGTAATGTAACTTCAAATACTTATGAGTAGTGATGAAAAATAGACAGTACTTTTAGCAACTTCCCCGACGCCGTGATCAATCATCGATTAATGCATTGTACTTTGACACTTACAGTCATGCTTGCAATTACACTAGCATAGGATGAGAACAGTTTCAGGAAGTCAAGGACGTCTTAAGTTCATTTTTGGATGAGACTCAAAATAACTTGACTTTAGTCATGGTACATAGCTCATTATTATGAGTTTAAAAATATTGGATGGTCTAACATATTATAAAGATACTCCCAGTATCTCTTAAGATACGTTTTAGTCCTAATATAATTTCCATAGCTGGAAGGCCCGGGTTCGATTCTCGTTTGCTGCATTGCTACAAACCTAAAACGTAAACATAGGTAGTGACTGTCTCTTTGCCAAGCACCCGTCACTAGAAGTGAAAGTCACAGGTACTTTGGATCTGACCTTAAATGTTATGGTTGGCGTTGGCAGATAAAGAACCTTTAATGATCAGTGGGTCTGAGTGCTGAGTAAAGGTGTAAATTTGAAGCTCTTTATCAATGTGGATGTAAATTATTACTTTAGTGTCTAAAACAACAATAAATAATCAATTGATTTCCAGATATTTTCAAAACCAATAGAGATTTTCACAGAGAAAAAAAAATATTGCCATAAGTTTCAACCGTAAGAGAAATCTTTTCACAAAAATTCTTAGAGATTCTTACGTGTAAAATTTAACATAGCTTTATGATAGCCCTTATCTTTCATATGGAATGGTAGCTAAGCTACATTAATTTAAGGTACTATATCCACGGTAATCATAAAAAAATATACTATCTGAAGAAACAGGTATGCTAAAGCTACTTGTATAACCAGTTAGTTTTGCCAATTTGAATAATAAGCAAAAACTGGGGCCAAGTATTTCGCAAACAAAAAGTTTGTTTTCTGGCCAAGGTGGAACTTGTTACCATGGCAACCCAAGAGTTATTTATTCTATGGAATCTTTACATCAACAAAGATATTTTGATACATACTACTTGTATCTATTTGTGTTTATTTTTCATTCAGAAGGCCTTTTTCGGAAAATCTCATTTCAGCTTCCCCCAGAAATACCTGTATGTAAAAGGGTAAAGTGGTTACAAAATTGGTTGCTAGCTATAGGTATTCAGAATTGTTGCTATGGGTTAATTAAGTAAAATTTACTTTTATCAGACCCATATTAAATTGACAATAGCTAAATTGCAATTTTAAGAATAATTATCTATTCGTTTCCATTATAACTCTATACAAAAATGCCCAAAATAAACCTTTTTACATTGTTGCTATGGAAAACTTGCTGTTGCCATGGAGATAAATAATTATGAATTATTGATTCATTTTTAAAATAAATGAGAATTATTTTATATTGCTTGAAAAATTGTATCTGCAGCAAAAACGTAACAATTTATAAGATTTTTGACACAACTCTGTACCATTTTTCACTTTTTCTTTATCAAAACATCCAACTTTGTTGCTAGGCAACGGATGGGATTTTTCAAAAAACCCGCGTTTTCGAAGTTAGAGTCTAAAAGAGGTAGTCCTCCCCTTTTATGTGAAATAAACACAACAGCTGTATTTGCTTGGTATTAATTTTAAATTGACTTTCAATATTGCCAAAATCGAGGAAAATGCTGAGTCAGCAAAAATGCAAAAATATTTATATATTCTAATGTCTACCACAGTACTACCTTTGAATAAAATATCAATGTCTTGTGTTGTTTAAACACCTAAAGTGTGTGTCTTTATTATACCAGTAAATAAGAATAATTGTTAAAGTTTTTATATATAATTTCAGGCCTTAAAGATAAATGATTTTTTGTCCCTTCACATGGAAAAATTGGCTGGTTGCTAAGGAAATTACTTTGACCAGGTTTCCATAGTAACCATGATCCAAAACATTTTTCATTTTACATTCATGGATCATAGTGCAAGAGAAATCTATGTGTGGAAAATCATCGAATTCTGAGAACCCCCATGAATCACCTTTTGTCTGATTTTTAGGCGGACTGGTACTTAAAATGAAGTGAACAATGCGCTCGCCCCAACGGTCGCACCGTCAACATATTAAAGAAATGTCTAATAATGAAATATTTTAAAATATACGATTGTGCGTTATAATTTTTCATTATCAGGTATAGAGGGTGTGGCATAGATGAGACTAGAAGGAAAGACATGCATGCACCAAAATATATACCATTAGGGGAATAGACAAAACCTATGCATCGTCACCCCTGGAGAAACGAAAATCGCTCTCCCGAGCTCTCTGTCACCGCGATGAGTTTCCGTCTTTTGTGAGTGACACTAGTTCTCGCGACTTTTTGCCTTATCGCGATCAGAAATTGTCCTTTGAATGAAGAGACAGAACAAAGACTTTTTGAACCGTGGACTTACGATAAAAGCTTGCATGTAACATATTGTGCTGGTATTTTTTTTTTGTTGGGGCGGGTCGTTACGGTGGGAACTAGCTTGTCAGGTTACACGTGATGGTCGGTATTTGTTTGATTTATTTTCCCGTATTTTTTTTTTCTAATAAAGGTAGCCTATAATTAAATAATATGGCACAATGATTATTCAGATGTTTTTCTTTACAAAATACAAACATATAGATCATTAGAGAGAGAGAGAGAGAGAGAGAGAGAGAGAGCAACAGATTTCTAATTAAAGGAAGCCTTTTTCTTAATTATAGATCATCTCACCCGCTCTTTTCTCTTTATGTAACAAAAATCTATTCATACGAGTATTACGTAAACTTTTTTTCTTTTTTATTTTACGCTCATTTTTTTTCTCCGGATATCGGTAAAAATTTTAAGGGGGATATAGGGTTAAAGTTATTACGTCTAAGTACATTTCAACTCTAAAGGATATTGTTCCCAAAAATTTTGAATAAAAACATCAGACAAATTAATATGCAACCATACTTCCCATCAACCATTTGTCGCAGAGAAATCTCCAGTTTCACGCCTCGATCACCTTTTGTGAATTAATCTCTGCTGATATTCATGAATGATTTTATCACACGACGAAACCTCCATAAATGAAGTTTTAACGGCAATACATTGTGATTTTATTTTTTAAATTTTTTGGTTATAGTTAATATGTTTTTTCCATACATTTTTTATAACATATAATTTAAACTTAATGAAAAAGAAATCCAAAATTCTCTTTGGCACATGTTCTTTTAAAATCTCCATATAATCTCCATTTCATTGAAATTTATTAAATCATTTAGAAATATATTTAATACCTTAATTACCACATTTTTTTTTTTTACATTCAGTGTTTTATTTTATTCTAGAAATACAAATGATCTCCTAAGTATAACTACACTCATTCATCTAAACGGTCAATAGAAACAATAAGTGTTCGATATTAGGCCTACTAAATATATACAAACCAAATCTTGAAGTATAATGTTTTTTATTGGTAACAATTTTGAAGCTCTCCTCTCTGACATAAATCAAAAGTCTTACGTTCTTGTGTATATATTGACAATTTTTGGAAATCTTTAGAGTGGTTCAAATGCAAAAGAATTTGACGAATTAAAAATTCAACCTTTCTGCATTCCTAGCTATGAGTGACTACGAAAGAAAGAAATAATTATAAAATTAAAAACCTTCATACCACTGTTAAATTGACATGGTTACAATTTTTATGATTATTCATTATTTATAGGATGTCCCATGGTTTGTGGTTATAAATACTTATAATATAGAGTATTTTTGGTATGGAATGATTATTTTGCGTTGTTTCCCGATGTTTCCTGTGGTACATGTATACATGATAAATAAGTGTAATAAATATAATTTGTGAAGAAATGTCCAACAACCCCCGGGGTTGATTTTTTTTTTTTTTTGGGGGGGGGGTCCTGTCTACAAGTACCTGTGCCTGTGGTCGGAAAGGCCCAAGAAGTTGCGATTGTCACTCACAGGGGGGGAGGGGGGGGGGTTGCATGCTCCCGGCGGGTAAAAAGTATCAAATAAAAAAAGTCATATACGAAATACAAAAAACAACACGTATTGTTTTTGTAATTCATTACATATAGATTTTTTAATATACAATGCACATACAGTACTGTAGATCTACTATTTTATACGCCGGGAGCAAGCCCCTGTGATCCATATTGTATTTATAAAGGATTAAATATGTGATAACTATATTAATACACTTGAGGTAGAATACCTTTATACATATAGTTTCAAATCACTACTACGATGCATTTATTTTCTTTTAAGAATTGTAAAATTCAGTTGATTTTAGCAATCTAATTAAAATTAGACTTGTATTTCCGCTCCTCTACCATACGTTTCAATACATAATATTGTATTGAAGAGTATAGTAGAAGAGCGAATATACAAGTCTTATTTTAATTAGATTGTAGATTTTAGAAACATAGATTTACCAGATTAAAGGGACAAAACCTGACCAATCAACTACTTACTTTTAAAACCTCTTTTGAATATAAGCATCGGTGGTTCAGTGGTAGAATGCTCGCCTGCCACGCGGGCGGCCCGGGTTCGATTCCCGGCCGATGCAACTTTTTTTTTTTTTTTCAAATTAAACACATCTTGTTTCAGAATACATACATATGTACACATAAGATTTTTTATTGAACAGTAAATTATATAAACAATGATACACAAAGAAAATCCTCCCTATAATTATAGTACTTTTGCTCAAAGTGGTTACAGTTTTTTTAATTTGTTGCTGTCACCAACAGTCGTCCGCATAGACTACCATGTTTTAGACTTACTTCTAGTTTATCAATTTTTTTTTTAAATCTACTAATTAATTACCATTACCCTCCGAAAAGCCCGTCTTTCCTAGAGTGTTCTTGCCTGTCTTACATATCCTGCTTCTACACGGAAATAGTAAATTATTAATTAGAGTTATTCCTCTTTGAGCGAGGAAACCATAACAATGGACAGCGATCACATCTATATTTAACTTGGAAATTCCCTACTTGTTCTTGCGCAAGAGATGATAGTCTAATGTGTTATTTTATTTACTGAGTCCATTTTTTTCAATCTCTTCAGGTAAGCTTGTTTCAGCTTTTAACTATGCTGGGACTTGTAGAGTGAATCAAGGCAAATTTAAGTGTTACTATCATATCACTGAATGTCTTAAGTAGTTATGAAACTCAGCCATGTTTAAAATACATTTTATACGGTAGACTGAGTCATTGACATCGATTTTTGCTTATGTGTGTGATATTCATTGTATGGGTATATTTATTTTTAAAGATATGAGGAGACTTAATTTCTTTCTTCCGTAATCAGGCTATCTTTTTGTTGTTTGTGATGTACACAGTGAAAGGGGGATCACTCCAATCATTGAACAAGTTTCCACATGTCTAATTCGTATAAAACTTGCCAGATTTCTACCTGTTATATTATATATTATACGAGGGTTGTCCGGTAAATTCGTGGACAAGTTGTCTAGAGTGAAAAAAATAATCATCACTGCGTTCTAAAATTTTTACTACTCATTAGTACATTTTTCATCAATATACATAGCAAATTTCAAATAGACATATGCATAAATAAACAAATGAGTTTTTATGTCGTGTATGGTATCGCCTTACGGCGCACGGATGATAACGTCAAATGTCTAAAGCAGTGTCACGTTTCCTCTTTGCTAATAAAAAAAAATGTTGAATAAGCCCCACGTAAACTCGGGAATTTCATTAATGCGCATACTCATGATACTTGAGTTTTCCTTTATTCCTCCATAAACAGTCGATGAACCAATCTCGCACACACATGGGATCTTCTGAAAATATATTAGTGCGTTGTGGACAGTACTCTCACTATCATTCAACGAAATAGGCTACCTTATGTCGACTGTCTACAGTGACAGCGTTTTTCGCTATTGCCTGTAGCTGTTTCTCCGTATGATTTGTTCTCTACCCGGGTACTCGATCAAAAAGATTTCGCTTAGAAAATTCCCATTTCACTCGTATACTAAAGATCTAGTGATATTTTTATATTTATCATCTGTAGTCATTTAAAGTCTCTTAGGGCGTCATTGCTACATCTAAATCAAACTGAACTGCTCTCCGGTGCGCCGTACGTAACGTCATCAAACGTCGCCATTTTTCGTGTGTTGTGTTTACCACTTTGAAGTTTCCCATTTCAAATGCTTGGGAAACTGCCAAAAATTAAGCAAATGTCTTGTATTAAAAATTGGATAATTTTTACCTCAATCTTCTCTATTCAATACTTTTATTTCGAAATAATACTTGTGTATTCTTTAATGAGACTCTGGGTTTTTGATCGTGCGCCGTAGGACCGTACCCTGTGTACATTCAAGCATAATAAAATCTTTATTTTTGTCTATATTTTGTCAAGAAAATTAAGATGCACTTAAACTGATAAAGATTTGCTGAAAATTTCAGCTAAGTACGTGCGCCTATTATTTTTCGATAAAAACGCTTTGTCCACGATTTTACCGGACAACCCTCTTATATATTATCGTATTGTATGATTATGTATTCTTAAAAAGAATATTTTGGGAAATTTTGGTATTTAGTTAATTAAAGCCGAGTCATGGACAGAAATATTGGCAAGCATGTGATTATGAAGAAGTTCTCACATAAGCAGACTCAGTTAATTAAATTATTATAATTTATAAAGCCCTATTTTAGTTCGCTCCGTTGAACTTTTGAACAGGCAATTGCTGCATGAATAATGACATATTAAAAATGAAATATAGTTTACAACCCACAAGTAGATCAAAGCACTACATAAAACTATGAGGCGGTATTAGTGCTTAATATTAAGTAAGCTTTTTATTTAGTAATTGTAAACATGTGCGAATCTATTGTACTCCATGCAATGACAAGCATCGAATACCGACACTTACCTAACAATGTTTACAACACAGGTACTTTACTGTGCAGTGTGAAAATTTGCAAAATGAGGAAAGAGAATACGTATTTACCTTCTGCCAAGAAGATCTTCCAGCGGTACGAAAGAGCCAAGTTTCAGGAGAATATTTTGTTGGTGGGGACCGTTGGGGCGGGTAAATCAGCCACAATCAACACCATCAGCGCCGCCCTGTCGGGAGAAAAGAAATATCGCGCCCCTATCGGGTCCCAGCTCTCCTCCCCAGACGCTAAAAGAAAGAGGACCACGACACATCTTATGTGGTAAAATGTTCTATTTAGTTATGTTTGTAAAATGCATTTATTTATTTATTTATTTTTAGCATACATCTAATTGATGGCACGTCAAACGTTGCATTATTCGATCTTTTCCATTTGTAGTGTCTAATTTTCCATTTGTACTGTATAATTTTCCATTTTCTTCATTTTCATCTATAATTTTCAATTTGTGTTGAATTTTTTTCTATCTGGAAAATAATACAATGCAAATGGAAAATTTTTTGATACAAATGGAAAATTACAGAATACAAGTGGAAAATTATACAATACAAATGAAAAATTGAAAAACAATTCAGATGGGAAATTATACAAAACAAATGGAAAATTATAGAATACAAATAAAAATTACACAATACAAATGGAAAATTATTCAATGCAATAGAAAATTATACAATACTTACAAATGAAAAATTATACAATATAAGTGGGAAAGATCGTAAATTGCAAACTTTGACATGCCATATTTATTGATAATAAGTTCGATACTACATGACTGTATAGATGATTTGAATTACAGAAAACTCCAACAGAGTTTAACATCTCAAATATGAATAACAGAAGTTTATGAACCTTTTTTTAAGATTGAAATAATAAATGAATGCTGAAATATTACAGCTCATATTGCCTTTTATAGCGAGCGCAGCGAGCGGCGCGAAGCGCCGCTCGTCACTGCGAGCTCTAACGACAACGCCTGGGCGAAGAGAAAATTCGGACTACTGCACATTCATTCAATAGAATTTTTTTCCGCAGTAATTCTGACCCACAATGCATCGCTTCTTGTTCTCGCTGCTAACTTCGTTCACGCGGTGACAACAACTAAAATTTCACAAAAAATAAACTCACCTTAATTAATGGCTATTGCATGCAGATAGTAGATTAAACGTTCTTTGTTAAAATATTTGCACTTTTTAAACTTTGTTTATGGAAATGCAGCTAACGTACGACGTCATGTGACGTCACAGTCTAAGACGTTCCAAATGTCTCGTGCGGTTTGAAGAGGCGGATCTTAAAATGAAGTGAACAATGCGCTCGCCCCAACGGTCGCACCGTCAACATATTAAAGAAATGTCTAATAATGAAATATTTTAAAATATACGATTGTGCGTTATAATTTTTCATTATCAGGTATAGAGGGTGTGGCATAGATGAAACTAGAAGGAAAGACATGCATGCACCAAAATATATACCAAACCTTGTGGACATGACTGGATTGGAGGATATTGACTCACGTGAACAGGAAGAGCTGTTGGAAATGATATTAATGGGAAAGATTCCGAACGAGACTTCAATTCCCGCATTACAAGACATGGAGAGAAGAAGCCCAGGAACATTACGAAGACGTTTTCCATTTATCTACAATCCTCGGCGCATTCATAAAATATTGTTTGTCGCTAGCGCTAACGAGCCTATACCGACCAAACTGATCCAGAGTGTCAGAAATGTTGCACAACCTGACGGAAGCCCATCCAACTACAACCCTAGATGTAGGATAGTAGTTTAGTTTTCTACATAATATAATCCAAGTATTGCTGTAGATTAAAAAAAAAAATACTTCCTTGTAATTAAGCGCTATTTTTCGTTTGCTTTATTTTGCGATTGAGCAGAATTGTTCAGTATCATTCATGCAATGAAAGATTTACGTCGAATATTGCCATAACCAAACTATTCCGTAAGAAGAGCTTAAACATTGGTAATACAAATTCTGTGCGTATTGGCTAATATTGAATACATTTGTATTTCTTACAGATATCCCGGTGTTTGGTTTATTGACAAAGGAGGACCTTGTAGATTGGGAAGACGCTGAAATTCAAAATCGAGAGCGGGAATTTCTTCAGAACCTCGGTATCGACCAAACAGCCTCGTATTCACGGTGGCAAAATAACTCAACAGGGGATTTTTCGAGCAAAGTGCTCTACTTTCTAGACAGATTATTGTCCCCTGAAGTCCGAATGGTTCTTGATCAAGTGTTCTTCTTCAAAATTTGGATGGGATCCCTCTGGGAAAATCCGTTATATATTTTCCCACTAATGATTGTACCATTCGTTGCTTTTTTCATGGCGTATTCTCTTTCTGATGTCATCATGCCAGAATTCGAACTTCTAGATTTTCTAAGAATGAAGACAAAACAATAATGTCAAACATCTTTAGATTAATGTCTCTTTTAAATACTCTCTGAAAATTCATTCTGATTTAATTCCCTTTTCTCCTAGTTTATTTTTCTTCTAATTCTTAATGTTTTTTCTTTGATAACATTGATGTGTTTTAGATTTGAGTGAGTTGAATATATGACACCATTTTCTTGTGAGATAATTTCAATTGTTTCTCTTAATTAAACGTTTTATTTCTTTCATTACTCTGAAATATATTGACTGAGTGGTTTATAGTATTTGTAGAGAATAAAAAGATAACATTAAATTGATTATCACATTCTATACATGTACATTACATGTAGTATAGGACATATTCATTGAACTTATAACGGCATTTTATTTTTTTTATATCATTGAATTGTAATTATTGTTTATGTACTTATAAAACCTTAATGAACTGGGTTTTTTTTTTAGATTTATTGATTTGATACAATACAAAAATTAATATTTTTAAAGATTTATTAGATTAAATGTTATTAGAATTGGTAAAATTCCAGAATGTAATATTTTTGAGATTTAGATTTGAACATATTTTATTATGTACTGAAACATAAATTGATTGTGCAGCAGGCATAGCCTATATAAGCCCTCTCCACAGGTACAAGGTTTGTTTTTGAGATTTACATGTATTAGATTACTAGTAATGTTTACATTTGATGTAATATCTTAGCAATGATATCAACACATTCTTAAAACATGATCTAATGTGCTGTCACATAGGCAAGTCACACGACTTACTGATTTTTTCCCCCAGATTTTCTTGTATATTCCTTACAAAAAAAAATGCTATAGTAAACTATAGTCAATGCTTAAATAGTTAACTATAGTGATAACTTTGACACTTTAATTTACTATAGTGATAACTATGACACTATAGTGATAACTTTGAAATACTATAGTGATCACTATGAAAACTTTGATTTACTTTGGTAATAACTTTGAAAATTTTGGTTACCTATAGTGATACACTATAGTGATCTTCACCATGAAAACTTTGATTTACTGCAGTGATAACTTTGATTTACTATCGTGATAACTATAAAAATTTGATTTTCTATAGTGATAACTTTGACACTATAGGGATCTTCACTATGAAAACTTTGATTTACTATAGTTATAACTTTGAAAACTTTGATTTACTATAGTGATAACTTTGACACTTTGATTTACTATAGTGATAACTTTAAACACTTTGATTTACCATAATGATAACTTTGAAAACTTTGATTTACTATAGTGATAACTTTGAAAACTTTAATGTAGAACTATAGTTTACTATAGTATTTTTTTGTCAGTGAATTATAACACGATCATCAAGAGTGTATTTTAATAAAACTGTTGTCTTTCAGCTGTGTATTTAGCATCCATAGCACTCAATAAAATATGCCAAAGATCGTTATAATACATTTACTTTGTACCTCCATTGATTTGAAAAAGAAATATGAAAGCTAGTTTTGTATTTTTATTTTTTGTAAACATCCATAGTACATTTAAAGAAATACATTTTAAAACATGCAATAATTTACAGTCTATTATTTAAAATTATATATTCTCTATATTCTTTTCTTTTATCGACTAATGTTTACATTTCATACACATGTGTTTTTCATATAAAGTGTGTTTCAATTCACGGACTGGGGAGGTCAAAAAGTTAAAGTATTGCTTTATATTTACATTTGCAAATATTTTCCATAATATAACATTATTTGAGCAAGGCATTTTAGTCACAAATGTAAATGTAAGTAATACCGGTATCATTTTAAAACTTTGATCGGGATGTAAATACGGCTTGGTCTTCGGGCTTTATGGTATTTGATCACATGACCAACCCGTATCTTTAATATTTTGACGTCATCAACGTTGAATGCCGTACAAGTGCACTGATATATATATAAAAAAAATCACGCTAACGTCTTATCAAAAAAATAATTTAGTTATACGGTGCTGCATATCATTTAACAGGTATACATGTAATATACTGAAGCGATCAATAAATGAAAATGCATAAGCACTGAATTGTAAATTTGTCAGCACAGCCCGAGCCGTCCGTGTTACGACACGTTGAACGTCCAAAATTTACAATTCAAGGCTTTATTGTGATTTTTTATTGGTAATGTATAATATTAAATATATCACATATAAATAGTAAACGACAAGCAGTTCAGGAATTAAACAGTATTCAGTTTTCTTCAGCAGCTAAATTTTAAAAGTAACTTATTTAGACTATCTGTTGAAATCTGTTCACAACACGAAATATTGCATTAATATTTTCCATTCACTAGTACATAATCAAAATAATTATTTATAGAAATGTATACATGTACATCATTGTGTAAAACTTCTCCAGAGTAAACAAGGAGATGAAGCACCGACTTTAAGTTTTTTTAGGGTCTTTGGAAGACAAATTCAACAATAACAGTAAAATATATGAGAACAACAAAATAATGCCAACAGATATTAAAAGTGCGTCAATCAATAAAACAGTATTATCAGATCTCCTATTAAGTATACGATTCTATCTTTTATGATTTATTAATCTTAAAAGTGCTTTTTCTGGGGATAAACTTTACTGGATCATTATTTTTTAGCCTTCATCAACCTCACATGACGTTGAACTCGTATATTCTCCAATACTTCGAGCCTTTTTGGTCGCTAGCTGATATTCGGATTCGTTCTCCGGGTCCAGGTGTCTTCATAGTCCCCTCCCAAATGTTTCCCTTTTTCTCCATTGGAGAATCATGTAGCAGGGCTTGAACGATATTGGGAGAAGAGAATCGGAAAATAATCTGCGCATGCGTTTTTAATTCACAAGTGACAGGGGATAGGAGTCGACATTCATACTGTGTTGTTTGAGGAAAGACTTTTGGGAATGGCTCGCAGTTAGGATAATCTTCGCTGCAGAAAACCAAGTAAGCTATTCTTGGGGAATAAGTCTCCGCATTCTCGTTTTTTGTGAGTATGCTAAGCTTGTAATAACCTTTTGAAGGGAACTTAGCTTTGACACTGAGTTTTCCTTTATCCCTCTCTAGTAAAACATAATTATCGTTTGGATTGAGATTTTTCGTTGCATGCTCCAACCTGGCAATTGCTTCAATTTTTTTCGTTGTTTTGATCTGAAAATCAAGTTTTCCGTTTTTACTCTCCACCACGGCGTTTTTCCCAGTAGATCTATGAAACCCTGCTTCAACAGAGTCGTGATAAGGACCAAAAGGGCCTTGATGTTTTGGGAAAGCAAACGCATTGCCTTCACCTTCCTCACATTTCAGCACGTAATTTGCTAAAGCAGTCAGCTCTTCAACTTTTGGATCATTGCGACCGAAAAGTTTTAGTATGTAGGTACCTTTTTCAGGTGGAGCAACCCGAATTCTTATTTTATTGCAACCCATATTTTCTACAAGTGCATACTGATCAAAATCACGAGCAGACAGTTTTTTAGATAACCGCGCCATAACGAAAAAATAGGAAGATTTTGGATATCCCATGGTAATCTCTGTTTTGTTAGAAAACTTGAGGACACCATCAGGATGTGATACGGGCTTGATTTTCCATGTGTACATTCCTGTAAAGCCTTTCAATCGTTTGTTGAATACCTCTAGTGTAAGAGGTCTTGGGAGAAGTTGCCATGCTTGACTTTTGGACATATCACTATCCATATAAGGAAAATGTGTCACGATGAAATGCTTGGGTTCTGTCAAAAAATGGAAATCGGAGAATTTCTTAACAAAATTGCCTCTGTCGTCACGTGATCCTGCTCCCCACGTACACTCTACAAATTGCCAGTCGCCGTTTAAATATACAGCGTTCCACGCATGCTCTGGAGTTTTGTCAGTCGTAAAGCTCGTTTCCGGGTCGTAATTGAACGACTTTGAGTATCCGGAAATGACTTTCACTGGAATTCTACATTCTCTGTAACACAAACGAAATGACAAAGTTCTGGTTAAAATGACCTTTTCTTAGAAAGATAACATAATTAAAAGCTAAATATGTAATTGTTTACCTGCATAATTCTGAAAACAGGTTTGCATAACCTATGCATACAGAACTACGCATGCGTAGAACAGCAGCTCCACTTGTGTCAATATTTCTGTCGTGAAAGTCTGGACGAGTGTCATAACTGTAAAACAGATGATACATCTATTGGTAATGCACTTCCAGTCAAGCATATGCTTACAAATGTTTGTGGCTCGCTCGTCGATGCAGTGGTTAGAATCAATAAGTAAAAATTTGATCTGTAAGTCGCGGGTTCGAATCCTAGGATTCGAATGAGAGTCATGAGACCATATAACACTGAGGCCCGGTGTTGCACAAGGTGTTGACATTAAAAAATATACCCTACTGCTCAATGGCCATAAGTATCGATACATGTCTAAATTTGCAGCATTGGTGGAGTCCCAATATGAGCGTAGGGATGTAAAGAAACAATTAATCGATTAATAAAATGTTTAAGGACAATGATGTTCAGTAAATTTGCAGTGAATTACAGTCAGAAATAATTTTTTATTGTGGTCGATTAAGCTGAAGAGGGAATGGAAAATGATGAAATTAAACGTATTTACAACATTTCATCAACTTATTCATTGAATTCTTTTATTCTTGTGACAATGTGTGATTTCAAAGAATACATGCGATTCATTATGTTGAAAGTTTTGATTCTTTTGCAGTGACATATGGTCGCCTGAGAATTACAATGTTCTATCTGAATTTTGTAAACTTTTGGGAAATTGATAATAACGGTCACAGATCAATACCCGTAAATCTGGAAATTTTTACTGTAGATGAATTTTTAGCAACGCAGCTATGTTAAGGCTTCCCGAAGCTTTAAAACGCGCTCAAAACATATTATGTCATTGCGAGGTCGGTTTTGGTTTTAATTTATAAGTATTGAACTTAAGTATTTCCAATTTATATAGAGGGTTTCCTCTGCTATATATTAACATATTTGTTATGATATCACATGACTTTGTTGATCACGTGACGGTCATTTATAATTTTTTGAAGTGTTTCATATAAATCGCTTCGGCGCAGGTGATTAACATAATTATTATTAACATTTTGTTATATAGATAAACTCATCGTATCCTTGTGTATACGAAATGTGCTTGGGAAAAGTCATAGTATTACTTACATACAAAATATTTCCTGAGAAATTCAACTTACCTACAGATTAGATTTGAGGGTATCTTACACACAATATCGTAATCTGTATTAAAACAAAGCCAACACACATTTTTCCCAAGCAAGATTCAGTTAGAGAACAACCTCTTCTTACAGATTTCCACAAATATTCTCAGATTAATCCTCATTAATCACCTGCGCCAGACTCTTTTATACACACAATATAAATTCTACCTCCAACCACGGGTATGAAACAGAGTACATTTCAAAAGTATATTTTTCATAAGCATTTTGAACATGCTTAATTTCAATCAAGGGTAGGTAAGCGGTGTATTTTTAAAATATTCGGACATATAAGACTTAAAAAACCTTTAACGACCCGTGAATTTTGCAATAGCTATCTAGCATTTTACATGCAGTTTGGAATAAGTGTTAAGTTCATGACACTCTCCCCGTCATAACACCACAAGTTTGCAGTGACTTGACGTCATTTTCCATTATGACGTCATATTTTGGTAGTTCAGAGATGTGAAGGCACATAGTGCACTGTGATATTCTACGGGAAGCCTTAACCTACCTGCGAAATTTGCGCGTGCATTGCATTCGCAAAAATGTTTTTTTTTAAAATAAATCAACATGTAAAGAATTTCCTTTTTTCTGAAAGTTGGTGTCTATTTTTAACTCAGTGAATAGGCGTCGGTAAGCACTGGTCATTTTTAAAAAGAAACCTGTTTTTACAGGCCCGTAGGAAGCAATTTCAGTTTGGGGGGGGGGGGGGCACAGCCATACATTTTTCAGTTGACGTTGAGGAGGCACTACCAAAAATTTCCTGACAAGCAAAAAAAAAACAAAAAAAACAACAAAACAAAACATCAACTATCAACTACCAAAATTCTTTAACAAGCTTAAAAAAAAGGTCATCAGACGTTTTTATTGAGGGGGCACAAGCACACATTATCTATGTTTACTATAGTAATCTATATATCGGCAAAATTATTAGGGGGGGGGGGCACGCCCCCCCGTGCCCCCCCCCCCCCCGGTTCCTACGGCCATGTTTTATACTACTGTAACTACAAGCTAATTACCCGTGCGTGTAAATTGCCCTCATTATATGCAATATCGTCCGATGGTTTGACAAGCACTGAGACGGTATGTCCCTTTTTAATTCTTTTGGCAAGAAAGAGAGACCAGTTATTTTATCTAACCATGTATCAACACGGTCGATAACTCGAACTCAGTGCATTTACTAGAGAGTTCCAAATGTAAACACGGCGTGTAAATTTTAAATGAGAAAAAAACCAAAGGTTGAGAAAATTAGTTATATTTTTGTCTTTATTTGGATCATATTTTAGGTTAAAAGGCATACACAACCTCTAAAAGGTTTGTTTTAATTAATTTAGAAGTTATTTTCAGTGCAAATCCTTTTGTATTTTTATCTTCAAAATTGTTTCGGAGCGATTCTGCAATTTCTTGCCACGTTGTGAGTATATTGGTGGTATTCCAACTGTGCATACTAATTTGAAACATAAACTGATATGAAAATCTTAAGTGAATTTTATTTTTTGCGCCAGTGACAATTCGCAAAATTTTAAAGCGTAAAAATTGATCAACAGCTTTTTGACCAAAATTCGCAAAATTAAATCGACGTAAAAATTTCGAGATTTACGGGTATCTTGTTCACAGATTTGTATTATTTGTAGGTTGGGTGGGCATGGTGGTTATATATTAATAGAAAATACGTGTTCATTACATCTTTAAAAACTTTTTTACATTATTTTGATAAACAGTACATGTAGCTCTTTAAAATAATCGTAAGCCTCTGGTCCCATGGTTCAGATCCAAGAGAAGGACTAAACTGGTCATGAATTGAAAATGCATTACATATACATGTATTAAAACTCTTCAACTTTACTCACGGACAACTCAGGCAAACGTAGTACGACTACAATGAGTATATAAACTTTTACCAAAACTGTAAAATTCATGGCTCATGGTCCTAGCATTTGGGCCCAGGCCGAGGTCATTAGTCAATACAATGAGTACTAAACCCTTCTCCTAAAATTTGAAATCTATGTCACCAGGGGCCCAGCGCTTAGGCAGGACCCAGGGTAGGGCTACGCTGGATATGTATTAAAATTTATTATACAATGTGCCTTATCAAACTTCTGCATAAAATAATAAAAGATAATGATTATGCAATCCTCTACATTCTCCAAACTATAATTTTTGTCTTTGAAATCATAGGTCCATTTCTAGTGGTGTATATTAAAATGGCATTATCTTTTGAAAATCATGATATTCAAGTGACAAGCCCCATGGTTCACTAATCAAGTTTTTATTAAACCTTCACATAAAATTAAGAAGTATGCGTACATGTATACTTGTTTGTCTATTACAATATTACACCGTTAAAATAACAGTCTGATTAAATCAAACCTTCACTAGTTCCTTTTTATTTTGATTGTCGCGTGACAATCAAAATAAAAAGGAGCTAGGGAAGGTTTGATTTTAATCAGACTGTTAAAATAAATACGAATGTTTAAGTGCACTTTTACATTCAAACTTTGCAACACCCCCCTTTTTCATCAAGTCTGATATTGATCAGATCATGTGATCATTGGTAAACATTATGATCGGACAGTAAGGGAGACATGACACTTTAATATTTATAGATTTGCATCAAGTTGAGACAGAAAAATTACAAACTATTATTGTTAACATTCTCTTTATTTTTGTCCATGGGAAATAATGGATTTTATATAGGTAGATGGATCTCAGCGAGCAGATTCCAACTAAGCATAACTCATTTTTGACTATTTTGGTACTTGGAACATTATAATTCTCATGTAGGTGGCGATATTTTGACATTTCTATATATTTCTGTCTAGGAAAACACTGTTAAGTTTTCCAGTTTTATTCATTTTCATTTTAAAATACTATAATTCAATTTCATTAAAAAGTTGGTTCTTTGCTGTCCAAAAGAAGGTTCTAAAGTTATTCTATGCAGGTAAAGATTAATATGTGAATTGATATCACTTAAAATCCTGTAGCAGACAGGTCCCCTGACCTCATCCCTCGCTGGTTCTATACATGTCTTTGCGAGTTTTCAAGGACCAAATTGCAACACTGCTCTCTCTCTCTCTCTCTCTCTCTCTCTCTCTCTCTCTCTCATCATTTGAAAATGATCCAGAATCCATGCTTAAGCTTAGATGATATCAGATATGTGCCAAGTAATGTAAAAAATTATTGTCACAGAATCGTTAATTTTTGGAAGTAATATCAAGATTATATTTCTCTTTGTCTATAGTCTTGACTAGCGAGTGAATAAAATTGGAATTAAAATGCAATTTAAGAATACTTAAAAACATTTTTTTTTAAAATTCAAATTATGAGATAAACAATTTTATAAGCTTTACAATAACCTGATGTTTTCAGTTATCCAACGATAGAAGGCGCGGATCTTTTCTAGATCTGATGTTGCTCCTTCATCAAGGTGGGCGGCCAGCTTTGCAACTGATAGTGTGGCGGATCTAGGTGTCTACAAAATAGAAATCAGTTTCCAATGTCCAAAAAAGTCGCTGAATCCCTTTCTGTTTTTGGATAACAGTTTTTATTGAGATGAAATTTCACTGAGTCTGCTGGGTGGAGAAGATGCACGAATCGTATTATGAAATACATGTACACACACAGTGGTCTGTTTTTGGTTACAGTTAAAAGAAGTATATTTTATCATGCGTAACATTCAATTCTAAAACTACTTTGTTTGAATTTTAATTCAAAGGTGCCAATTGTCACAATGGCTAGAATTGAAAAGAGCAGTGTTAATTATAGTAAAGGAGTATGCCCTATTTGCTCAGGTAAAGCAAAGAGGGAAAATGCCACCTGTATTTAATGTAAATTAAACCCGGTATGAGGAAAGAAATGCATATTTAATAAAAAGATAATTGAAAAATACAATGACAGTGCACAAAAAGAAATGAAAGTAAGCAAATGGACCGCTTCATTAGAAATTTACAGTCACGAAAAGGTGGGTAATATACGGTTACTTCCGTATGTGCTGATAACAGCGATTAAAAAAAAACTTAACCAGACTTTAAACAAACAAAGAATGTCTCACCTTCAAGGCGAAATCGTCAATGTTTTTAAACGTATCCTCTCCTTTGACTAAGTCTCGTTTCAGTTTACGTGGGGGTCGAGGCTGTGGGAGGGGGAGGTCCTCCCCTTCTGTGTATTTCTGGGATGACTGTGTTGAACCCATGGTAGCTATAAATGAAAACGAAAAAGATGGAAAGAAAGTGGGGAAAACATTAAATGAAACAACCATGAACTCTCACGATCTACCCCGATGGGTGAATTTAATTATAAATTGATGAACTGGTCATGTATCAATTTGTTTTTGCTTTTAAAGTAATAAAATTTTAAAGTAATAAAAACTATTTTATTTATTATTTCTTAATTGTTTGACATGCTTGATTGATTCGCAATGTTTGGTTTCGATTTAGGTGTATACACACATTACATATATACATTTGTATTGATCAAATTTCACACTCAAAGTGTACTTTAGACTTACTGTTCAGAAGTTTTAATTCCAAAGGCTACAAACTTAAAATCCTTCTGATTGTGAAAGTAAACGGACAGTTTATACATGTACCTTAATTATTCGTGGGATTTCCCATGATCACATATAGTATATGCAATAAAGTTTACCTACAAAATGTGTCTTATCTGCGAGTACATTATCTACACCTTAATTACTGTCCGAAAATGATTGACAGGACAACTGAATGTACAAAGCTAGGTACACAGAAAAAATAGCTATATATATAAATATATTTACCTGTTTATTCAGAAGGACAATGACAACTATTTAGTTCATTCTGTTCGCCAAGGTTGGTCTCACACTCTCACTCTATGGACCTATATATACAAATAGTTCGTCACGTCTTAAAAAATTGGGATTTTTTTGTCATCTAAATATAGAATTAGCCAGAACAGATCTCTAAATAAATAATTAAATCTTCTGATAATAGATATGAATAACATATGTAGTACTCCAATTTAAAAAAATAATACCAATAGTGAAAGAGGATTGGAATTCAATATAAAACATAAATCTCTTAGACACTCTCATATGCATACTATTTGGTCACGCCTACCCACCCGTTCCCCTTTATCCCCCCCCCCCGGGGGGGCACCATAATGATCAGTGGTGTATGTCGAAATGACAAGAATTTGAAAATTTATTTTATTACTGAGCAATACACGTACAAATCCAAGGTTGCAGTTATGTAGATGGCTCGAAAATTATTAAACTCTCCTGGAATTCGCCCACCCTAAATCTTTCATTGGGGGAGTGGAGGGGGTCAAGAATTTTTTAACTTTCTCACAAAATAGAATTGTTGCAATTCAATGGATAATTAAGAGACGTGATTATCATATGAAAATATTTTATCAAAATTCCTCCCTCCTCTGTTATAACTGTTCCTCATGAACTACTTATCAATGTATAGTAATTTAAGTTATAGATCCTTGAGTAAGGGGGAGTCAAGTTTGTTCAAGTGAGGGGATGCATTCCCTTTCGGTGGGAGATAGATATCAAAACGTGAGAAGGGGTTATTAAGAAATCTTCTAAGAACTGAGGCATATATAAACACCGAATCTTATTTTGAAGCTTCTCTTCATAATTTGGATTCACTCCCCTCCCTTTTCTGAAATGATCCAGGATGGAGGCATGGTAGAGGTTCAAAATTTTACAGATCATACACAAGAGGAATTTTTTTTTCGATAACAACAAGGCTTATTTGTAAAACCTATTTTCTGGCATCCTACTGTAGATTTGTATTTGTTCAATCAAAGTGATTCTATTTTACATAGAAAAGTCGTTTTTTAAAGGCAGAAAGCCGAAGGGGGATAAAGAGTGGGGTCCTGGCCTACTTTTTTTCGGACCATAAAACCCCCACAATCTTATGAGAGATCAACAAAAGAATTCCTAAAATACCAACGAATACAAGTTATAAGGTATAAATCCAGGCCCGTAGGACGCGGTTTTGGGGGGGGGGGGGGTGTTCATCAGACGACTTTATTGAGGGGGCACAAGCATATAGTACCTATTTTTCTAAACTACTCTATATGTCTGCAAAATAATTGGGGGGGGGCACGCCCCCCCCCCGTGCCCCCCGGTTCATATGGCCATGAAGTCTTGTAAGACTATCAGATGTTACGTATATTAGTAAGGGGGCGTAAATGGATGGAGATGAAACCTGTCTATAAGGAATTATGTTGTGTGTGGTGCACCCCTTTTAATTTCCATGTGGTGTACTTCCTTTCACAAATTCATGAATCTGTCTATGCAGTGTTACAGTTTATCACACTAGGATACAAGCAACTGTGCATTAGGAGTGTTCTTGCATTGCCGTAGGAACCAGGGGGCACGGGGGGCCGTGCCCCCCCCCCCAATAATTTTGCCGATATATAGATTACTATAGAAAACATAGATACTATATGCCTGTGCCCCCTCAATTAAAAAAAACGTCTGATGACCTTTTTTTTCTGCTTGTCAAGAAATTTTTGGTAGTTCATAGTGCCCCCTCAACTGAAAATGTATGGCTGTGCCCCCCCCCCCCCCAAACTGAAATTCTGAAATTGCTTCCTACGGGCCTTTCTTGTAATTTGAAATGGGGGTGGGGTTGAGGTTTCAAATTTTTGCATAAGAATGTACATCAAATTAAAATAAAATATAAACTCATATATTCCCAAGATCAATAGGACTATAATTTTTCTAATAAATATTTGAATTTCCACAAAGACAATCATCAGTCTTACATACTTGCACGTACTATGCAGATTTTAATTCGTTCAGACCATGACCTCGGGGGCCACGTTGAGCTACATACGTTATTCAAAGTACTATACATGTAGGTACATGTATCCATGAAAAACCTTCATCTCATGTATAGCGATGATACAGTTTTTCTATTATACATGTATGTACAAAGGCAAATTTACACAGGCACCCAGTCTCAAGGATGACGCGCGAAAGAATTTAAGTAACTCTTTACTGAATATGGGGAAATAGTACATATGTCATGATGTGTGTAAGTAGACTCTTTGGAATACTTTTCCGAAAAATAAGATTATGCACTTTGCTTTGTTTTTTCAAATTATAATGGGCAATGATAATGAACCTTTCTAGTTGTTTTTGTTCATTCTAGAAAATTGTAACTGTAGGATTCAGGCGTATCCCTATATTCCTTGTCTCGATTCAAGACGGGAAACTACACGGGTCGGTTATGAAATCAAAATATATACTTCTCGTTCTGGTATGTTTATTATATGTACATGTATAATTAAGAGCCATTCTCTGTAATGACTTGAACTTTTATATAGGAGCTGTGGCACGCATAGTCTCAGAATTTCTCCAAACTCTCTATGATAAAAGTCTTTGATACCGTAAATTCAAATCAGGCAAAAATTGGTTGCTACGTGTCATGGTTACCATAGCAACATGTCGTAAAGTTTGAAAAATGGCATTTTTCAACATGTTCAGAGTCCCACAGTTAACTTTTGCAGCAAAGCAAACAAGTGGCAATGATTGTTTCTGAAAGTTAAAGGCCTGATGTCTTAAATGCATGATAAACATGTTTGGTAAATCAACTATAACATACGTTACTATGGAAACAAAGTATTCAAAAGTAATAATTTTGTTCATTTAATTTTATAAAGTCATACACTTAAGAATAAAAACAATTATAGGTTGAAATGCAAGCAAATAATAGACAAGAGATCCTTGTAGCATATACCAAGAACAAAATATGATATTTCTTATAGGTTGGCAATGGTTGCCATGGTTTTAATACCACGAAGGGATTTTAAATTTACTCTCTTAGTGTTTTAATCTTATCCTATCTTTTTAAAAAGCATATTTCTATATAACTGATGATCAATTTTTAAAGGCCTTGGTGTGTCCCTAATTTTCACATTTCAAAAAATTCAATTTCAATTCTTTAAATAGTGCGTTGCTATGGAAATAAGGCGAAAAAACATGCATAAAAATCTTTAAAATACTCTGTTTCCTTGGATACGTACCCTTGTATGTAGATTCCCAAAACTTTTATGATTGATATATGTGAACAACTAACCTGACTTTAAATTTTGACTACCACCCAATCTCTAACTGGATGCAAAAATCTGGCACATAGGGTCCAATATTGACATAAAATTAACAAAATCGAACATTTTCTCTTCTTGGTAACCATAGCAACATTGTTTTATTTTTCAACAACCTTTATCAATATATGATATTCAACTTTAGTTCTACGAGATAAGTACCATTCAAGGTGATTCAAATAATATGTTTCTTGATTAAAAGGTTAGCAAATTCCTAAGGCAGCAAAAAAAATATCACTTTAAACAACTAGTACGTTGTTTCCATGGTTACACTGCAAAGTAATCATTAATCTCAATTTTTCTTATGTTGTCGGTGTTGCAAGGTCCTAAGGATGTATATGTGCCAGTCGTGAATTTTATTGTTTTTCCTCAAGACAGTATCATTAATCCAATCATAGCAACAGATTTTGCATGGTGACACTGTGTTACCATGGCAACCATGAAAGTTATTTTTAGAATAATATTGGCAATGCCTAATTACATAAGTTAAATATTTTTCATTGTTTTTCTTAGGTTTTTGATTGAGTTTAATCATGTAACATCTATCATTTGTGAATATTGAGCTTTTTTCAGCATTTTTCAGCATCTAAAATGTATTCCAAATGTACCCATGGTTACCACTTACTTAGAGATAAATTCTAAATAGTTTCTTTATAGCATAAGTGGCAACAAGGTGTCATGTTTTTAGGAGAATAGTGTGTTTGTTTTTCTTAGTCTTTATTAAGGCTTAATAAAGATTTAAAGTAGCTGAAAATCTCAATTTTTTCAACTTTTCTGGCTGTTACCATGGCAACCAAGACACATAGCAACGAAATTTGATTTGATATATGTTTCTGGTGTCAAGTTGTAATAATGGGCAAAGTTTCATCAAAATCGGTGACCATGCGTGGCAAAGAAGTTTAAGTGGTTACAGAGAATCGCTATTAATACCTATATATATATAATATAATTAAGCCTTTGATTTGAGGTGAAAGTTTGTACGTAATCAGGTAAATATTAAATGCAGCCATCATGCATTTTACTCTCTTTTATGAATAACTAGATGATTTTTTTTTAAATTTTAAAATAGATTTTTATATAAGTGAGGTAGGGCACAAACGCTTGTAATGGTTGTAATGGTTTGGACTGTGGATATAGGCCTAGATAGCTCAGTCGGTAGAGCACCTAACTAGTGATGCGGGGGTCCCTGTCCAACCATACATTTTCTCCTTTCCTGTTACATAATTTGATGGACAACTGGACTTGCAGGTGAAAGTCCTGCCAGAGGCAAAAAGGACTTGTGTTGTGTCTTCGAGGGAAAAATTGCAAACAATTTAAGGAGGGAGGAATGTAAAGAGCCGTAGACTTAGCCTGGATAGCTCAGTTGGTAGAGCACCTGACTTGAGATTCAGGGGGCCCGGGCCCGAATCCCAACCTGGTCTGTCGCATTTTTCTCCTCACCTGTTACATTATGGGGCGTGCCATGCCCTGGAAATGACAGGCATGGCCGTCGGAACCGGGGGTGGGGGGCACGGGGGGGGGGCGTGCCCCCCAATAATTTTGCCGATGTATAGAATAATATAGAAAACATAGCTACTATATACTTGTACCCCCTCAATAATAACGTCTGATGACCCCCACTCCCCCTTTTTTTTGCTTGTCAAGAAATTTTGGTACTTGATTAGTGCCCCCCAACTGAAAATGTATGGTTGTGCCCCCTCAAAGTGAAATTGCTTTCTACGGGCCTGACAGGTAAAAAAAAAAAAAAACTGCAGGAAAGAGCCTGGTTGGTGTCTTCGAAGGCGAAGACCTTTAAGGAGGGAGGAATGTAGTGGTGATGAGTTCGATCGCCGGTAGCCAGATAGCTCAGTTGGTAGAGCACGTGATTAGAGATTCAGGGTAACCGGGCTTGAATCCTGGCCAGGTTCGTGGCATTTTCTCCTCTCCTGTTACACTATAATAAAAGTTGACCCAATAGTATAATAATTATGATATAGGGGTGTACTTTTATCACAGAAACAAGTTCCCGTGGGCATGGTGGGGTAGGGGAATCAGTGAGACAGGTGAACGGATCTTTTTTCCACAACCACTTTATCCTTCTCAACCTAACCCCAACCTCGAAATAAATGATAAATGATATAAATGTATCGATTCTTAGTCCTAGACTCAGTCGATCACGGACACTTGCTACAAAAAAGGATGCATGGATTAGTATATATTTTGGACTATTTCAATTCTAAATGATCCAACTATTAAATTTTTACAATATTCAGAAAATATATCATAAATTTCTAAGATGTTCAATATTCTCATTTTTTGTCGTTCTTTTGTATATTTATCACTTTTATCATGTTTATATGGTATGGTTGAAAATTTTTGAAGAAAAACAAAATAAACTGCAAATTGAACTTTATGACAAAACGTTTATTTCACATTTATATAATAATTTTTTTTTAACCAAAAATGTTTGTTTGTAGCAAGTTTTGAAAGGCGCAACTTTATTTCTAATCGGGATCGACATACATTTCCGATTTCCGTATGTTGTCGAATGATGGATGCAGAAGTTGAATCTGTTATGAATTATTTCTGTTTATGACAAAGGTGGAGAATGGAGTAGAAAATTTGAAATATTGACCTGTCTCTGCCACGAGGCAGTGACAGAAAGTAAGCAATCAGGTACATTTTTTTCTTGATAATCGTGAAAGTAAAATGACAATCTACATTTGTAGATTGGTGTAGCCTATCGGATTCAGAAGGACACGGTCAAAACATGATGACCTATTACGTAACTACAGTGACACAAAGGGTGAAATTTTCATAATAATTCAAGGGCAGATTAATACTGTTTTATAATTTCTCTTGCTATAATGCACAATTGCGTATAATTTGACATTGGGATGATTCCGAATTTTCTCAGTCATACCATATAATCTGTCTCATATGGAATATGATATTGTAATGGTCTGGACCGTGGATATCGGCCTGGGTAGCTCAGTCGGTGGAGCTCCTGACTAGTGATGCAGGGGTCCTGGGTTCAATTCCCGGTCCAGCCATACATTTTCTCCTTTCCTGTTAACGATTTAGTGCTGTTGAACACCCTGGGACCTGCAGGTGAAAGTCCTGCCAGGTGCAAATAAGAACTTGGGTTGTGTCTCGAGGGTGAAGACAATTTAAGGATGGAGAAATGTAATGGTTTGAGCCGTGGATATTGGCCTGGGTAGCTCAGTTGGTAGAGCACCTGACTAGTGATGCAGGGGTCACGGGTTGGAGTCCCAGTCCAGCCATACATTTTCTCCTTTTCTGTTACAATATAAAATAACAATTGTCTTGAAAGAAAATATCATCAATACTTTGAAATTTTATCTTTTCCAAACCATTTTAGCCTAGCATGCCGAAAACTTGGAAGAAATCCTTATGGCACAAAAAAATCTATTATAATTAGTTCAATATGTATCTGCAGCCATTATAAAGTGTCTTACTAGAGCATAGTAATTATATCCTTGTGACAAGACAGGGTATGTTTTACCTTGAAGTCTACCATATAATAATTATGACACCAAATACTTCTTGGTGGTTCTTTTTTATGCAAATGAGAAGAACTGTACAATAACTACAGATTAACAGTTTATTTTTTAATTTATAGTGATGATGGAAAGTTATATCTTTGTTTAAAAGTTGAAAGAGACATAGGACTCATTCAGGTTAATAGTGTTAGTATATATAATGTTAATATTTTAATAAGGATACTTTTTCTAACAAATTGCAAACTTTCAAGACTACATGCAAAAAAATTCTTATTTGCATATTACATGAATGAGTGGAACTTAATAAGATTGTCACAAGAAGGTAAACTGGATACTTATGTTAAGATCAAAACAAATTTTGGACTTGAAAAATATTTACTTTGCCTACCATTTGAACAAAGGAAAGTAATATGTAGGTTGCGTACATCTTCTCACAATTTACAAATAGAAAGAGGTCGTTATTTGGGCATTCCTAGAGATCAAAGACTTTGTACTAAATGCTCAATGAATGTTATTGAAGATGAAAAACACATACTTTTTGATTGTTTGAATTATGTTACAGAAAGAGAGAATATGATGAATATTATACAAACACACTGTATCAATTTTGCTTATTTAAATAATGAAAATAAGCTGTTGTGGGTTCTAAACTGTGAAAATATTGAAGTGCTTTTTGCTGTATGTGAACTAGCTAGACAAGCCATTTAAAATATTATGCATATAAAGTCACATTGCAACATTTTCTTTAAATATATAGTACATGTAAATATATGTAATAATAATACATACAAAAATTGACACTTCATGTATTGTAATAGTTAGTACTTTTGCATTGCCACGTGGTATCTTTTGCAATGCCAGGACTGTAAAATCTCCCCACTTTGCATTAGGGTACACGGTAGTACTATATCATTTATCAACATTACTTACGTATACAGTGTCAAATTGTACAATATACAAATACATGTACTGTAGATTATTATTTAGTATACACATAAATTGTCTGTACTGTTTGTAATTGTAGAAATCATACTTGTTGTTTGTGATGCCTGAAAGGGCCCTGATTTGGAAATAAAGAATCTTATCTATCTATAACGTTAATAACATAAATAATTGTACGTTTAAAAATTGAAAATAAAGCAATTCACAATCCAGAATGGTTCCTGTAGTGAGGTCTAGGTGCTTTTTGTGGTCATGCATGCAGTTTTATCATGTTGACCCCCTTACTGTCTCCATCTGATTTGGAGCTATAGGTATCAGTATATTGGCCGGTGTGTGAATTGTTCAGCATTCTTCTGTTTATATCCTCCTAAATACATTTTCATTACATTGAAAAATTATAAATTTGCTTTGAATATACATTTCTCGCATCTTTATATTTATATGATTATATGCATGTACATGTACTAAGTGTTTTGTAGCAATTAAATCTTCAGATTTAATTTTACAAATGCATGTAAACACTGAATAAAATAAATGATAATGAATCATATTCTAAATAAAAGTGGGAAAACAATATTTTAGGAAAACACATAATAAAATACACCCCTCAAGTGATAATTATAAACTGTGGTATTGTCAGTCTGTTACCTGCATGATCACTATATTAAAATTTTAATTGTGACTGCATGGGAACAATTTTTCAACACTTCAACTCACTGCAGAATCATCTGGTTGGTTGAAAAGTAATATCCAAATGCTCATGTAGATTAGTGAGGTCACTAGAAAAGTGGTTTCACAAGTCATTTAGAATATTCTTTTCTCATTGTTTAGTGTTTTCCCTAAGAACTGGCTACCAGCCACAGTGACCAATTCAGTTGATAAAAATGCAGCTTTAAAAAAAAAATCAAAATCAAATTGTTGTAAGGTCCACAGAGATTTGTAATGAACTTCATCTCAAGCCTGTTACAATTGATCTCTAACCTTTTACTTTGAAGTAAAGGGAAAATACTGTTGTATAACTTATTGAGACTTGCCTTGAGCAACACCCTGTATCTCTTATATGATGTTTAGAAAACTCCTTCTCTAAATATCATGAATATTACAAAGATCCCTAGAGTGTGATCTCCAGTTTGTTTACAGACTTAGTGACTTTGCTATGTCTGACTCAGTATGTTTATGAGACAAGAAACAGAAAATTATGAATACTGTATACAGAACCCTTTTACACTTGCAGACAGTTTTGACCTGTTTAAAATTTACACAGTTACAAATCTGTTTAAGAAGTTATACTGTGTTATCTTTGAATTCACCCCATTTTAAATTTGCCCACCTTTGTATAGTGCAAAAAGGGGCAATAATAAAATGGGCACGAAAATTTCCCTGTATACAGTAATGAGAGACCCATTTCAAAAGTGATGACTTTTGATAGTGTTAAAACCCTGTAGACTTTGAATTTGCTGCTGTATCAATACAATTGTTTCAAATCAGGAAGCTTAAAAATGAAAAAAAAAAAGTTTAACAGCCAATGGAGAGATATGAATAAAATTAGTGGAAAAGATTACCTGAAGTTGAGGAAGAATTTATTAGATTTTATGTAAATAAGGCTATAAATACTTGCAGTGCTTGTGATTTTTTAACCCGTATTCACTGCAAGATATTTCAAAAATCTGCATTGAGTAAACAGAGTTATTTCTCTTGTCATGGAATCTTATGGCTTACTTTAACACAGTATTAAAAGCTTGCATCTGAGTTTTTTTTTTTTTTTTTTATCAGATATAGTCTTAAAAATTTAAATGACTGTTTTTTGATTGAAGTCTTTCAAAAATAACTAATGTACATTTTTACTAGTCATGTTTGACACAAATGCTTTTTTAACAATGATTTTGGAATTGTAGGAGTTGATTTGGAGTAACATGATGGAAATCACAGAAGAAAACAATCCTAGTCGAAGTCCACTAAACAAAGATGGCGCACCAATGTTCTTTGTTGGAGAGGATATTCTCATCAAAGGAAAGGTCAGTTAAGCATGAGGGACATGAAAGGCTAATACCCTACTACAGTGTATTTGTACTTGGTATGTTTTAAAGATAAAACATTAGCTGCTAGCGCTGTACAGTTGTCCTGTTAAAGGATTTTGTATGCAATATATAATATGATTTTGAATTAAAACTATTCTAAAAACCAACATCATTCTGTTATGCATTTACCATGAGTCCATTATTGATATTTGCTATGAATTTGGCACCAGCAAACCTTATCTATCTGATATAAATAATAATGTTAACATGTTTGACGATACAAATTAAAAGTTGAGGTAGTTAATGTCACTGAGAAAAAAAAAAGAACATGCTGTAATTTTGTACATGCGTTAAATTTGTCTTCAGGGTGAGAATGCTTTGTTTGAGGAGCTGCCAGAGGGCAAGAGAATCATCCTGGGTGTTTGTGCCATGCAAAAGAAATCTAACTCCAAACCAATGCATGAGATTATAGATCGTCTGGAGAAGTTCATGCAGATCCAGGCTACTATATTTGATGAAGATGTAATCCTGAACAAACCAATCGAGGAGTGGCCTATAGTAGATGTACTGATTAGTTTTTTCTCGGCAGGATTCCCGCTGGACAAGGCCATTCAATACACTAAACTTAGACAGCCTTTTGTTATTAATGACTTAGAATCTCAGTACATACTTCTTGACAGGTAACTTTATTCTTACATTTACTGTAAACGAACTTAATTTTAGTGCCTTTCATGCTGCTTATAGATGTATGTTTCCATTGAAAAAAAAAATTAAGGTTATAATGTTTTCTTCATTATTTATTGAAATTATTGGTTAAAAATGTGAGATGTTTTGGTAGAAAGCCAGAAAATTTATGATTATTCACGATACTATGAAGTGCATCTTGCATTTGTTTATTACAGTATTTGGATATGTTTGGTATCGTAGAGCCATAATACAGTTTCATTAAAATACTGCTATTTATGTTTTTTTATATTGTAGAAGAGAAGTGTACAAGACATTGTTTCAAAATGAAATCCTACATCCACGATATACAGTATTAAACAGAAAAGAAGATGACTCCACAGAGTGTGAGCACCAGAAAACAAACTATTATATAGATAACATATTAAGAGATTTTATAAAATCTTTGTATGATTTACTTAAATCTAAATTAAATTGAAAATATTTCTCCAGTGGTAAATAAAATAAATGTGCACAATGTTTTACAAAACATTATGTTTAAACAATTAACTTTTTATTATATACATGTATATATAATAACTTTATTGATAATGTGGGATCATTTTACTTTGTTGGGTTGTGGATGTCTGTGGGAAACAAAAATTTTATAAGTGATATCATGGCTAACTTGTACATACAGTATATTCAATGAACTCATTTGCTGACAAAGTTATCATTCAAGGGGATGTAAATTTGTTGGTAAGGATAAGGATGGGTAAGGATGACCCATGAAATCCATACCATTGGTTCCTCCATAAATAATGATGTTTCCACAGTATATTCATGATACAGTAGTCTTATCTTAGAACTGTATTTATATCATGTAACAAGGGAGTTTTAATTTTACAGCTCAAGTCGTGATCTCAGATGACACAATAGAAGTAGATGGAGAGACGTTTCACAAACCTTTTGTAGAGAAACCTGTGTCAGCCGAGGACCACAATATCATTATTTATTTTCCCCAGTCAGCTGGCGGGGGGAGCCAGAAACTATTTAGAAAGGTAAATAAATCAGAGAGGGTGAATACTTAAGGTGAAAGCCAAAAAGTGGAATGTCAAAGTCTTTTAAAGAAGTGTCTGTATATTTTGCTAAGTTTAAGTTGAGGATGGTTTAAAAAGATGAATTTAAAAAAAAAAGGATTTTAAAGAGTTAAGGCTGATATATGGGGATAAATCAGTGCAACCTGTAACATTATGTTTTTTTTTTCTTTTTATTTTTCAAAGTTCTTAAAATCAAGTGTGGTGTTAAAAGTTCAGTAGTCTAGTGACAGAAATAAATGTAATCTGAAGGTTTGAAATAAGAATAATTCATGTTCTCTCATCAGTTGAGGAGTCCAGGTAGGAATATTCTGCATTTTCTCTTCTTGAATTTTAATTCTCAAAGCAGTAGCTCGTTATTGTTGGTTTCAGTTTTTAAAATGATAATTATTATTTTTGTGGATAAGGTCTGAATGTACACACAGCTATTTACATGTTGAAAGGTTCATGATGGTCACCCACCTCCCCCCTACACTTGCTATGGGCTGTGGAACTATTTAGGCCAAGACTCAATTCCTGTGAGTGAACTGTTGATTTATCTCCCCTTGCTTTGATACAGTGGTGTAATACACCACAGCATAATACATGTTTCAGCATATTCTGTAACTCCAGCTTGAACCAGCACTGCTAAATAAAATTTGAATATGGGCATGATTTATTACTGCACTATTTTTTCATATAGCCTAAATCCTAGTAGATTGTATGATTTGGGAGCATTGGAATATGCTAATTTGTGTTACATATAACCACGTCAGTATAAAGAGGTGTTACCATACAGAAAAGTTAATCCATATACATGTATAGTCACACAAAATTAAATATCTGGTTCTCATGCCACTTTCTTTTACAAAAAATGATAAGAGAGGGACACATTTTCAGCTCACCTAAGCCAAAGGCTCAAGTGAGTTTTTCTGTTCATAGCTGTCCAGCAGTCTGTCATCTGTGAACTTAACATCTTTTATTTTTTATTCTTTTGTTCACAATTTCAACCAAAATTGGCAAAAATACCCCCAGTAACCTAGGGATGGGATCAGAGTGGCTACAGTAAGGGGTTTTTACTGATCTACATATTTATTTGTCCGAATTATGGTTAAATGTTTGTGACAAATGAGGTCGCTATTCCATTTTTGAAGCCTATTTAAAATTTTTTTTGATTTAAATTTTTTTAATTCCAAATTGAAACAATGAATCAATTTCTGTTTTTGTTACATAATTCATTGTGAGGATGTTTTTGAATATTTTTTTATTTTTCCATCAAATGATATCTGAATCTTTTTTTTCTTTTATTAAACTTTCAGTTAAATTATCTATGTTGCCTACTACATGTATTAGTATATAGATGCAGGTAGTCATGAGAACCAGATAAGTTTTGCCTTATATTAAGTTTGCTTGATTAATTGTTCTCGAGAACTTGATAAAAATCTGACTCTGTTAAATAATATTGTAGAGAAGATTTCGTGTAAGTATGAATTTGTAAGATGAATTATACCCTGTTATACATGCATTGAAAACTGTTTGGGAAGTTTATGGTGGAAATTAAAAGCATAACGGACACCTGCTGAGATATGACTACGGTAATATTTAATTGAGAAATCAAAACTTTTGCTTCTTTATTTGTAAGAGATGAAGTAAAATTGAAAACTGTACTATATAACCAGATTGCTTAAGATTTTGGGCATTTCTCCATTTTATATTCTATTGATCAGTTTCAAAGGTGGGTGACCGTTATGTTCATACTTCATTATTTTATTGTTGGAATGTTACTTGTGTTAACAGTTATTCATGAACTTAGTTGCATTGATGGTTTTTTCATTATGGATGAAATATACTCTTTGGGCCAGATTGTGAAGCAGAACAATCTATTAATACAATTCGTATTGATCAGTGATATCTGTTTGACAATGTTAACAGTTTTGTTATGCTATTGCGTTAGTTTGTGGGTGACCTACTCTGGTTGTAATTTTCTTATTTCACAAATAAGTAAGAGTCTGGTTGTACTATCTTTTATACTATCGGTTAGTTATTCTTGACTCCTGACCTTGCCATTGGTAAGTGTTTCAAACGATGTTAACAAATGTTAATCTATTTTTCTTCTAACTTTGCATAATTGATAAATCAGAAAGTTTCTCAATGAAGATGGACTTGATCTTTGACCTTGGTAAATGTTTTACAAGGGCATGCTTCTTTCAGTTACCTTTGTGTCTTGAGCAGGTAATTCTAAATCAATCACTGCAATCATTTGGTTTCATGTTATCAAAATGTGAAAAGTTTGCAATCTGGCCTTCTGGTCTTCAGTTTCTTATCAGGATTTTGTTGAAATAGATTGTAAGGTAAAATATTTAGGTGCCACTGAATAAATAGGATAATCATCATCTATTTCTGAAGGCATTCTGATTGTTATTTGGTGTCATACCATATAGAATATATAGTATTTATATGAATGTTTGGAAGAATGATTATAAGCAATTGGAGCATTACAATAATCGAAATATGTTATTTGAAGTGGTTTTAAATTTTGTGAATTGTGTAGAAACTGTATTTTTTGTTTTGCATATGTATTTGCATTGTATGTAACAATGATGATACATGTACACACTCAGGGATCAGCAGTAACTGTCTAGTCAAACTAGTGTCCAATATATTTTCCAGCTTTGCCGTAAACTTTTGCAAATTGGTAGTCCTGATGTAAAATTTAACCCTTATTATTAATTTTTGCTCATTGTCCCCTCTAATATGTACTTATTATCTTTGATGCAACTCCAAACTAAGGGGTAATATGTTCATGCATTCTTGTTAACCACAGAGGAAATACTGTATACAAGGTTATTTTCACCCCTTGTTATTTTCGGCCTCTCACACTTTCAAACAATTTTGCCCCATTTTAATTACCTAGATACAGTTGAATAAAAGTAGCCCTTTTCTAAAGGATGACTGCACTTAAGGACATGCGGAATTTGCGACAAAATAAACTTTCAAAACAAGCATTTTTCTTTTCATTGCATGAATGGTCAACATCCAATCCACAACTTTATGTAATTACGTTTAATAAAAGTGTGTATTTACGAAGTTCGAATCTGTTTTCAAAGGCAGGGGTCATCATAATTTCTTGAATTTTCGTTCGATAATGAGGACGCCCACTTTTTTACTGACTTTATACATAGTCAGCGCATGTTTGTCTATTGTTCTACGTTCAACAGTAGTTGTATATTTGCATAAATAATACTGTGTCAAAAGGAGATTAATAGACAAACATGCGCTCATGGTTAAAAAGAGAAAAAACTGCTTCTTCTTACATTCGCTCTCCGTGTTGTAACCAAGGACTGTGACATGTTGAATATTATAATTCACCACGTGATTTCTACCTCAGGTAACTTTGTGAATACTTTATTCCGTCACGTGACTTGTAAGGTAGCATGTTTTGTGCTAACTAGGACATTGTGTTCGAACACGTTAAGTCATCTGGCATTGATATGAAATCTGCTTTAATCACATTGACGTGCTCATATTGTTAATTTCGTTTTGAAACCTTTGTCAGAAGTGTATTTGTGCCATACAGAATAAAGAGGGAGATTGGAAAGAGTGATCACGTTAGCTTTTCCAAACATGTCATTGTTATTTATCAAGTCTAATTTTAGACCCATTCTTACAATGTTAGCTCCACCTCTCATGCATATCTAATGTTCAATCAAGGGCAGGTAAGTGTAAATTCACTATATTTGGAAAGCAGTAAGGACAAAAAACATTGAATCATTTTATTGTATTACAGTCTAAGATCATTTTAAGATATAAATGTGGTTCCAAATTGACAATATTCTTTCATAAACATACAAAAGTGAGATAAGGTTTAGATATAAAAGCAACAGAAGCAACCGAAAAAGACCCAAAAACAGGTGTTAAGTGCAGTCATCCTTTGCCCACTTGCAAAAAGGGCAAAAATAAAACAGCGCGAAAATTTTCCTTCAAACAGTAATGGTAAAATATGCGTTCTAAATATGCAGTATCAGTGGTGCAAAATCTAAATTAATCAAAAATTTCCAAAGAAAATAAGAAATGTTTTTATAATCTTGATAAAATTTCAGACATAACCTCAGTACCATGGGTTATGTTTAAAGAACTAATGGCATTAGAAAATACCATTTTCTGGTTTTATATGCAGGAACTTTTTTTTTCCTTTCACATGTACTTTCTCCAGAAAAAATCATGATACAGGCTATGTTGTCAAACATTTTCTAAACATTTACATGTACCAGTACCTTCACTAGAAAAATGAATTAAATTTTCCTTGTGGACTGAAAATTGGCAATAAAAATGTCAGAAATCTAAGACGTATGTATACATGTATGCAAATTTATAAAGGCAAGCAATAATTTGGTTACTCCAGTTTGAACTGCAGTAAACTTTGTTATTGGTCACTATGTTGTCATTGTATCTTTCTGTCGATAGATTACACAAATTATTTGACTTTTCAAAATAAAAGTAATCGTAGAATAATATGCTAAAATCCTATCAGGAAAAATGACCGTAAGGTATATCCATCCTCGCAATTTTATGGGTTCAAAGTAGAAAAACTACATTTATTTTCAATGAATATAGTTTAAATTAATAAATAATTGCAAAAATATATAGGTTGCCATATTTTTTAAGATGTAAGACATAAATAAAGAAATAGAAGCATATGTCAGCATTAAAAAATTGTACATTTTTAGTAAACAGTATTATAAGAATAATGTAAAAACTGGTTCAAATACATAATTGTGATGCTGAAAGTTCCAAAATAATTGCTTTTTTATAGGGTGAATTCACCATGCATCGGACACCCTCGCACTTCAACAAGTTATAGCGATATCGCTACCGACCGAATATTATCAAAATGGAACTTAATATGTAGTATGTGGTTAAAATATAAATTTTTGACACAACCGTGCCCTATTTATTGAGAAAATATCATTAAAAATCGATTTTTTCGGAATAAGTCAGAATTCACCATGGATCGGACAATATTCACCATGCATCGGACATACGATATTTAAACCAGAAAAATATCATACCTTGATCTCGGTGCTTTAAAATGAGTGATATCAAAACATTTTTATCTTTTATTTAAAAACTAACCTTATAATTAAATTTGAATGACTATTTCGATCCACAAATGTGAAGAGATTTTAGTTGCATCACATCGCCTTAGAAAGGCTTTACAATACTAGTGATTTGGCAACTCGCGCCTTTGTCTCGTGGGTTATCATCATCTGGTTTAAAGAAATAAACAGAGTCCACTTCTAGTCGTCATATATCGATTATTTGTATTTTCACTGAAAATTTGGAGTTTCTATTTTCTATTTCCGTAAAAAACAGCTGTCATTTGGGTTTTATATGAAAATGGAAGTGATTACCCATGCATCGGAAAGTGTCCGATGCATGGTTAATTTGTGTCCGATGTACGGTGAAATAAACGGTGTCGAGTGGTTACGTTCCGATTCCGTGTTCGACCCGCGTGGTTACGACCCCAGTGGTTTCGTTCCGCGTATGTATATATATATATATACCTACAGGTAAATAAAGGGGGTACACACTGCGCGGTAAACAAATGGATATTTGGTAGCTGTATGTTGGTTACATATGGCTTCAGAGAGGGATACGTGTCAACAATAGGTGGTAGTTCTGTATGAGTAAAGTCAACATTCAGTCAATAGTATCAATAGTAAGATGGTTTCTTGTTATCGTTTTTATCTTACTATCTCGGAAAGGGATGTGAATAATTTGACTTAGTAATGATTTTAGTAATAATGGGTCGAACACAGAATCGTGTCGAAACCACGCGGGTCGAACAAGTAATTGGGACGTAACCACGCGGGTCGAACAAGGAATCGGAACGTAACCACCCGCATTCAAATAAACATACTAGTTAAAAACAACTCTAAGAAATATTATACAAACATTGAAGTAAAATTTTTGAAAATTTTTGTAAAATTATCAATTGTTGATAAATTTTACCTAGGTCAGACGAGTTCCGTTGACGTCTATTTAAAAGAACGACAACTCTAAAAATTGCAAAATCGTAAATTTCTGGTTACTCCCCTTTGATGATGCAAAATATGACGTAATTTCAAGGCCATTCCTGTGGTATTTTTATCACAACATGAAAATAAAAATCGGCATCATTAAAAAGTTTAAATCTTCACCTTTAAGACAGAAACAAGTAAAAGCACGGGGAGACTCGGGTTCAATGAAAGTTTATTGCTTAAAGTTGTCCGAAGCAAGGTATGTGTCCGAAGCATGGTTAACTCACCCTAAATATGTTTGAATTGTGAATATCAGGGAAACCAGTTTACATTAGAAGTACAATAAGGAAAATGCCTGAGTATAGATACATGAGAAGGAGTTATTGCCTTTAGCAACATTTTTTAAAGATTGAATAATGGATTAAATATAGAAAATATTAATTTTTTTTAATTCTTGTGCTAAACAGTATTTGTTATTACACCCATTGAAAAGCATTTTTCCAAAAAATATATTTCTATGGGGTATGAATTTAAATTAATAACAGTGTTTGCAAAAACCTATGACATCACAGGAGGCTGGAAATACTTTAACATGGATATTTATGTGTGTTGTTCACTTCAGGAATCATTACCAAGCATATAATAGCTGGTGGTTATTTCTGCAATACCAGAATTAAGTATGGCATGTATTAAAAATGATAAAACTTTAAGAATTTTTATTGTGTCTTTAATTTAAACTACCCCCATACTTAAATTTCCATGTTTACAGTAAAAGCAATGAAACAAATTAATTAAGATTTTATGGGTTAAAAATTGACCATGATATGAAATTTAAACATGATTTTTATTTTTCATGTACTTTCTGAAAAGAATAATTTTTACATGCCCAGTTCAGAATGACCAGGCCGGCTTCTGAGAAGCAAAATCTGCAAGACTGCATGGATCTAACTTTTACTTCACTCATTTGGATGAGCCTTAATCTTGAACCCAGGTAAAAATAGCGTTTACTTTTATTTATTACAGATTGGTTCCAGAAGTAGTGTATATTCCCATCATAGCAGGCTTAGAAAGACAGGGTCATATATCTATGAGGACTTTATGCCTACAGATGGAACTGATGTCAAGGTCAGTAAGGAATATTTACTTGAAACTTAAAACTTGATGATTTTCAGGTTTTAATATTGTTAACAAATCCTAGCTAGCTTATAATTTTTCTGCTCATTCCATACGCAAAATTTTAAATTATCAAATGGTAATTTGATGCAAATTTGAAAGTTAGGATAATTCGTGCCACATCAAGTCAGGAAAACATTTTTAAGTCAGCTAGGAATTGAAATATCCTAATTTAGGTAATGTTAAACCACAAACATACATGCTTTTACTGAATAAATTCTTGTGACAATGAAATTAACATAACACTGGTTTGTATTGTATTATTTAATAAAATTTGCATTCTTTGCAGGTATACACTGTTGGACCAGACTATGTCCATGCTGAAGCTCGCAAGTCTCCAGCCCTGGATGGTAAAGTAGAGCGTGATGAACACGGGAAGGAGGTGCGATACCCTGTGTTACTGAGTGCCAAGGAAAAAATGTTAGCAAGGAAAGTCTCACTGGCTTTCAAGGTTAGTGACAAAATCATTGACAATCTGTAGGATTATTAGGCTTTATTGCTGGATAGTTATAAACTGTGCCTTTTTTTCACCGTAACTTTGAAATACAAATTATTTTCGTGGTAGTTGGGGCTTTATTGACCTTGGATATCAGACTAGCTCAGTGGTTAGAGTACCAGGCTAGTAATACAGGGGTCCTGGGATTGATTCCTGGTCAAGCCATATATTTTCAATATTCATTCTTCCTTTAATACTACATTAAGGGCTAGTGTTGGGGAAGGAGGGCTTGTTCAGGTTATATGTAAATTAGTCATTCCTCACAAGGTGAACTTGTGTTGTTGTGTGTCTTTAATGTCAAAGACTATTAAAGGAGGGAGGAATGTGGTAGTTGGGGCTTTATGGACCATGGATATCAGCCTATCTTAGTGGTTAGAGCACCTGACTAGTAATATAGGGGTCTGGGATTTGATTCCTGGTCCAGCCATATATTTTCTTTATTCATTCCTCCTTTTCTACTATTTCTGTTGATCCCTCACACTCTTTTTGCAGCAAACAGTGTGTGGTTTTGACTTACTGAGGGCAAATGGGAAATCTTATGTCTGTGATGTCAATGGATTCAGTTTTGTCAAGAATTCTACAAAGTATTATGATGACTGTGCCAAAATACTTGGGTCTGTATCAAAGTTATCTTCTAGTTCTTTACCAGCAGTCAATGAAGAATATTTTCTTTTGCATTATTGAAGGTTTGACAGATTTGATTCACATATAGAACTATGTTACAGAACTATGATAATGCGAGCTCTTGCCCCCCAGCTTCACATTCCCTGGCTACTTGGATCCGCCCCTGAGGATATTCCTGTAGTTCCAACGACATCTGGATCTATGTAAGATATCCACTCAATAACATGCTGAAAGTGTAACACCTTTTCTCATTTTGAAAATATAAATTCTGGACATATTTTTTTCCCTTATTTTCATCAAGTTGTTAAAACTTTTTTGTCAAGTGTATGTATATGTATATGCTGACAATACAAGTTAAGAAGGGATGATACTGTATTTTATCTTGTAACACTTGTAATTTTGATTTGCCCACACACAGTTTTGTTCCAAGAGATAAAGCTTTCATCATTGAATTCACCTTGTTTTGAATTTGCTGACTGATGATTAGGGCAAAAGAGGCAAAAAATAAAAGGGGGGCCAAAAATTTTCCTGTATACAGTACATGTATGGATCATTCAGGTTGGCAATTTTTTGAATGTTTCTTAGGATGGAGTTGAGAACAGTTGTTGCTGTAATTCGACATGGAGACAGAACACCAAAACAGAAAATGAAGATGGAAGTAAAGCATAGAAAGTAAGTCTCCAGGAAGTTTCATTGTCGTCCAAGATGATTTCCCAGTACAGTATGTTCTCTAATTTTTGCATAACATTAATACAAAAAATACATTCATATTAACAATATGTCATATATGATTACATTTTCACCCAATGTACGTACAATGAAGGTGCATGGACTTAAATACACTGTAAATGTCTAACTTTGTTACATGTTCTATCCCACTAGATTTAGGTAGTGAATATACTATCTAATACATGTATACCCAAATATGATTTAGGTGGATAGAAATTTTTAGGATGTACATGTACTTGTATCTGAACTTGTTACTCATACAGTATTTCTTTGAGACAGTAATCATCACATTGTTTCAGATTTTTTGAGCTCTTTGAGAAATATGATGGCTACAGAAAAGGACATTTAAAACTAAAGAAGCCGAAACAACTACAGGAAGTATTAGACATTGCTCGATTTCTACTGTCGGAGAACGAAGCTTCGCAGGATCCGGAGATCTGTGAGAAAAAAGTCAAACTCCAACAGCTAAAACTGGTGCTAGAAATGTACGTCTTTTTCTTTTCCGTATTTGACATTTCAATTGTAATGAATATGTTGTTGCTAACTTTAAAAAAAATATTCATATAAAGTTCAAAATTATGTATTTAACAACAAAATGCTCCAAAAAACATATAATTGTTTCAGATTGAATATACATTATATATTTTAGCTGAATATTAGTAGAATTTTCATCTGTCTTGCAAAGAATTTGCTGAATTATAAGTTCTTTCTGCTTTTGTTTGTCATGATTCTACTTCTTAATCATGATTTTGATATCTACAACCAATTTATCTAGGAATGAATATCACTCTACATTTATAGACGGGAAACACATTAAAATTATTTTACAGATTCTTTCTTCCATTCTTTTCCTGAAAGAAATTCTGACTTTTGTGTTGGTGAAAAGTTACTTCCTTTTAAAATTGTAAAAACTTTATAATCCTACATCTACATGTATCTGTTATCTCCTGAACTCAAGAAACTTACTGAATTGCATAATGCGTGCTTTTCATGTTGAAGTAAATGTTGACTACATTGAATCTAAAATTTGTTTCCTCTTAAATAAAGCTTAATACACATGTAAATAAAGCCATTGCATTTCCTGCATGGAATTTCTTGAGAGTAACAGGTTCTCTTTTCTTTGCACTTCTGCCTATGCAACTCCTACATCTAGCAATCATATTATTATAGACCTCATATTACACTTGCATGTTCTCTATGAATAAAAAAGAGATCATTATGTAAGGAGAATACATAAAACTGAATTCTGTAATTAATTAATTAATTTTCTTATGTGTTATTGATTTTGAATTGATGAAATCTGTACAGATATTCTGATATAAAAGACCTGTATCTATTTAGCTAGCTGACATGTTCAGTAAATGTGAAGTATTTTATATTGTTAACCAACTTTAACAAATATACAGATACATAAATTAGTAAAATACCATGAACAACTCATTCTCCACAAGGGCATGTTTTTTGTTTTTTTAAAGAAAATCTCAAGATATCCATTTAAAAAGCTGTCTGATTTTGGAGTTTTATTATGGATGATTGGCATGATTGTAAGCCTAGATTTTCAGGGTAGCAGGAAGTGGTTTGGGATTAGGTATGCTATCAGTGCTGTATATTACTAACAGCTGGGTCTGCTGGGAAGTGTAAGGTAGCTGTTAAATGTATATATATCCCTCATCTGTTCATGTTGTTAAATTTTTAGGTACGGTCATTTCTCAGGAATAAATCGCAAAGTTCAGCTGAAATACCAGCCATTTGGACATCGTAAATCTAAGCGCTCTTCTAGTGAAGATGGTGTGTAGATTGTATTGTATTATGTCTTAACTGACCAGTAGTCCTGTCTTTTAATCACTCAATAATTTGTGTTGTGTATAGTCACATCAGCCATCTGCATGCCCTGTTTCTTGTTTTGTTTGCTTTGCTTTGCATCATTGGGTTGCTGACATCAATACTAAATAACAATGATAACATCAATTTTATATTTTCTTTATTTACATTCAGTTTAAAAGTCCACCATAGTTTTACTCCATGTATAATTTTTTTTCTGAAATTATGTTCTAAGATGTATACTTAAAGTTTTTTTCTGTATCCATTAGAAGTAGGAAATGTAAATATTCCTGTAGTTGTCTTTAAGGGGATTGATGAATTTAACCAGAAATAAACTAATCCCAGCACAAATATCAAACACAGACCAGAGATTTATTTTATTGTGTATGCATATGAAAGAGGGAATGTCACTGTCATGAGAAAAAAAAAAGACGTCAAGCAGATCAATGTATAATTTTATTTACTAAGTACAATGTACACTGTAGTTCTCTGTATGCAGTTATATTAGCTAGGTTCATGCTTTAGTGCCTATGCACAATTGTTGGTAAAGCTAATTCCTGAAAGTATGACATACATGTATTCTATAATTATCATGCTGTGAATATTAGTATTACTTATTCATGGTTGCAATAGCAACATGACTTACATTTGCTTTAAGTTTGAATATAAGGTTTAAAGTGAGTACATCTTCAATATATACATGTATAGCGGTACATGTATATCAAACAACTGATCTAAAAGTTTTGTTTAAGATTTACATTTAAATCATTTCTGATCATGTACATTATTCATCTTTTGGTATGAACCCATTTGAGAACAATTGTTACATGTGTAAATATTCTTCTCACAATTGTGTCCAAGCAATGCACCATAAATGGAAGTTGCCCTTTGAAGAAAATATGTAATTAAGCACCAGGATTAATGATTTCTGGCAAATGTACAGGACAAGTATTTGCGAAGTACACCTGTACATGGATCTTTCAAGTGTATAATACTGTCTAACCTCTCATTCTTTATAATTTTCAGTCAGCTTTCTGCTTTTACTATGCTATTTACAGGCATCCAGATAGTGAAACCAGTTGCCTCTGCATTTTTTTTAACTCTTGCGCTTTTTCTTTTTTCTTTTTTAACCTGAGTGCATCATGATAATTAACTTAGGTCTGGAGAATGTTTGAATCTTTTGGGTCCTCTCTCTATATAGGTACAAATTTACTGGCATCCACCGCAAGATTCAGCTGAAGTATCAGCCCTCAGGGCGGCCATTTGCCACCTCCAGTGAGGGTCTGTACCCAGTGTGTGTGCAGATAAATGGGTGGTGGATCCAGAGCACTTCTTTTATTTTCAGGGGAGTACTCCGCTGAAAATTTATTTTCTTAACAACCATGGAGGAAGATCACAAGAAGTGAAAATTAACGATCATTACAATTATTTTGTTTATTTTCTGAGAAGACATAACAGACTAAATTTTTTAGGCATTGAATTTCAAAAGGTTTGAGTGAATATGAGTACATGTATTGTAGAAAAAGGGAAATGACTCTGGATACACGACCTGTTTCGTTACTTCCCTTGAATTAAAAAAAATCTTTTGCTTATTTCACTGGTGTGAGATTTCGTTAAGTTAATTGTTGTTTGCTTGTTGAAATATACAGTTTTTTATGGAAAAAAATTTTGATTTCATTGATTAAACTTTTATGTGTAAACTTTCATCAAATGAATTTAAACATTTGAGATATGTTAGTGTATTCTTATTTAATAAAGAATATGATTATTTTATTAAAACATTTACAGGCCATTTACATGCATGTTATATTGTCAAATGAAACATATCATTGATTTTTGTTTTGAGATTTTAGAAGTTTCTTCAGTTGATTATTCTAGTAACCAAAGATAATCTTTATTCTTAGAAAATAAAAAAGAAATAGAAATATGAAAAACTTAAAATTGGAAACCATTGAAAAGAATCAGATTTATACTTTGTAAAATTAACCCAAAAAATGCTTACTTCCTAGAATTTCTCATTGAATGACTTTAAAAACAGAACTGTCATATTTTCAGATGATGTACCTCACCCCCCATCTTTACTTCTAATTGTTAAGTGGGGAGGGGAGTTAACTCCAGCGGGTAAAGTGCAGGCAGAGGAACTAGGGAAAGCGTTCAGGACACTCTACCCAGGAGGTCAAGGTAAGACCTAAGTCAAGGACACATTCAGGACACTCTACTTGGGAGGTCATGGTAAGACCTAAGACAAGGACACCATTCAGGACACTCTACATGGGAGGTCAAGGTAAGATTTAAGTCAAGACACCTTTCAGGACACTCTACCCAGGAGGTCAAGGTAAGACATAAGTCAATGACACCATTCAGGACACTCTACCTAAGAGGTCAAGGTAAGACCTAAGACAAGGACACCATTCAAGACACTCTACCTGGGTGGTCAAGATAAAATTTAAGTCAAGACACCTTTCAGGACACTCTACCTGGGAGGTCAAGGTAAGACCAAAGTCAAGGACACCATTCAGGACACTCTACCTGGGAGGTCATGGTAAGACCTAAGACAACGAAACCATTCAGTACACTCTACCTTGGAGGTCAAGGTAAGACCTAAGTCTTGACACCATTCAGGACACTCTACCTGGGAGGTCATGGTAAGACCTAAGACAACGAAACCACCTGGGAGGTCAAGGTAAGACCTAAGTCAAGGACACCATTCAGCACACTCTACCCGGGAGGTCAAGGTAAGACCTAAGTCAAGGACACCATTGAAAAAAAAAATATGGGGAAGTAGTGAATAGTGTTCCACATAATTATTCTTTGACATCTGTATATAATTTTTTTTTTTCGATTGTAAAGAAAATGATAAATAAAATTCTTTGATTAATTTACTTTGTGCTGTAAAAATATTAATAATATTAAATTCTTTTTTAAGTGCTCTGCATCTACATGTATTTAATGCATTTATAATGTATTCAACACAGGACAGTTTGAAACACCAGGCCTTGGATTTTTAAGGCTGCACAGTACTTTCCGACATGACTTAAAAATCTATGCATCAGACGAAGGCAGAGTTCAAATGACAGCTGCAGCATTTACAAAGGTCAGAGGTCACTAGAACAGGATTAAACTGAAACTTGATAAAACTGACACTTTAAGTGATCATTTAGAGGACTATAGTTACAGTTAATTGAGGATCCGTCTTGATTGTTTATATGTGAGAAACTTGTGAGAGTAAATTTTTGTTAACGTGGTTGATATGTAATTTTTCAGGGTCTTTTAGCATTGGAGGGAGAATTACCCCCGATATTGGTCCAGATGGTGAAAAGTGCCAACACCAATGGTCTACTGGACAAACAAGGGGAAACCTCCAAATATCAACAAGTGTAATCCTATTTTAAGTTCATTTTCACAACTCTTGCCTGCTAGTTACTAATACAAATCTTTTCAGATGGATAAACTTAACTTTAATTTTCACTTTGAAATTTTAATTCGCTTTTAAAATACAAATTAATGTAGGAATTCTAAAGCTTTCTCAATATATCTTCTTGTGTGTCTTTAAAATGAAGTAAACTAGTATTTCAAATAAATAATAAAGTACAGTATTATACTAATATCGTATTTATAGTTTGTACTTAAAAAAATAAGCGTACAGCATGCTTAATCAGTAATCTGTAAAACTGGGAATGTTCTTGGCTGTTGCTTTCAGATTCCAAGAAGGGTAAATATCTTACAAAGCAATGCCTGATGTATTTATTTACAAGTTCACTTTAAATGCATTTAAAAAAACAAATACTGGTAGATCTTTGTATTATCTTTTAAAACATTTTGCTGTGACAATTTATAGTGCTTATTGCACAAATATTTGCAGATGATTTTAGAAATGGAAGCCATTAAGTTAAAAATATCAAGTAAATGTATAACATTATTCCAACAACCTGCAGAATAGTTATTACATTATTATATTACATTATTAAATTACACAGGATATTATTTCGCTGGTCAACCTGAAGAGATGTCTTAATAAATGAAACTAGGTTATAAATGTCTTAATAGTTGTGAATTTGAGCTTAAAGATACTTTTCAAGGATATTAATTACTGAAAAAAAAATCAGAATATGAAATGCATTAGCGTAAAATAAGAAAAAAAAAAGGATATATGCTCATAAAAAAATAAGAAAAAAAAGAATAGGATATACATGTGTATGCTCACAAATTGATTAAAATGCTGTTATTTTAAAAGACTGGTCTTTGTCTCTAGAATTCTTTTTTTTTTTTTTTTTTTACTTTGAACATTAAGTGATTTGTTTTTTATAAGCATTATATGGTAGAGTAAAACTATCATTGGATATACATGTATGTAACTTAAGATTCATATTTATATTTTATCCTTCTTTTCAAAAATGCATCCATAAGCTTGCTCAATAATGCCTTTAATCACTATTCCTACCTATATCATATACAAATTACTGGTTTACATACATGTACACTGTATATGCAAATACATGTATCTTAATTTTAGAATCAGACTGAATTTTTATTCAATTAAATGGTTTTACATACACTTTATATGCAAATATTTTTATTTTAGAATCTGTATTTTAAGTAGAATGAATAATAATTACTTAGAGCAGTGCACATTAGTAACATGATTTCATAGTTTACGGAATAGTTAGATTTTTCCACAGTGTATTAAATGAATACACCAGAGCTGGTTATACTTCAGTGCTCAGTAGTAGTGTAGAAGATTCAGGGATTCATGTTTTAATTAAGATATAACAATAGTAGTACATTAACAACAGGAAAATTAAAGAGATAGAACTTTCTTTCAAGTTCCAAGTGAATCAAACTTTCTATTGTACATATAGAATTAACCCAGTTTCTCTCTTTAATGAATGAATATTTTAGGATTATTAAAGCCTTGTTAAAAAAATAAATTTGAAAAATTTCAAAATGTAGTATGATAATGCAAAGTTTGATTGAATTTTTCTACAGTGTGAAAGAGAGATTGACACAGATGCTGAATGAGGACAGAGATTTTAGTGGAGAGGATTATGAAAAGGTAAATCTTTTGTGATAATGATACAATGATAATGAGATTAAAAAGTCTAGTTCTCAGTAGAAATATTGCTTTAGTTAAAAGTGACTTGATCCTGTATTTGTATGCGCATGTACCGTATGAACTATAATGTTTGATAGATTAACATTTCCAATGTTCCATAATAATAGAAGAAAATTGTACGTGTATTGTTAAAGAAATTTGATCAGCTGTGTTTGAATCAGGCCTTTACCTATTCTATTTTCTAGTTGGCTCCCACAAACAGCGAATCTCTCATTAAAGCCCTGGACTTCATTAAAAACCCTGGGAAACTGTGTGAACACGTGTATGCCATGGTGAAGGAGCTGACAGCTAAAATAAGGACACTAAAGCTGGAGCACAGGACCAGAGGTTTGTTTTAGGTCCTGTTACAGATCCATTCAATCAGCTTTCCTTTGTAGTTATACATGTACAATGTATTCAAATATAAATAAACAGGTTATGATTTCTTAAGATTCTACTGCTCCAAGTTGTAATTCATAATACAGAAATAACTCATTCACAGAGACACATGTCAGGTATTTACAAATCTTTTTGAATTGAAGGAATGTTAATTGCATGTACAAAGAAATTGGTGTACTATGTTCTATTGAAAAAAATAACCTACAGTGTCTGTCATTTGTCTGTTTGCAAGAGAAAATGTCAGCATGAGTATACCCTCTCTACTAGTATGCATAACTGTAGTGGTATATTTTACAATTTTTCACCAACTGGATTTTTCAGATCTGAAGCTTTATCATGGAGAATCCTGGGAGCTGTTGATTCGTAGATGGGCCAAACTGGAGAAGGATTTCAAAATGAAAGGCGGCAGATTTGACGTCAGTAAGATTCCTGACATATATGACTGTATCAAGTACGACCTACAGCACAACCAAAAAACAATACAATATGAGAGAGCCAAGGAGCTGTTTGAATGTTCTAAAGCACTGGCAGACATTGTTATTCCTCAGGTAAGGTCATGTGTTTTAAAGCATCAGCAGACATTGTTATAGCTTGTGTATATTATTAGTAATTCAAAAACTTGCACTGCAGTAAAACTTAATACTGATTTGTCAGAAAATTACCTGGAAATTTATTGAAGTCACCAGCTTATTACACTGATTGAATGGGAGTATAGATGGAGATGAGAAGCTCCGTATCTTACAGAGTATGTGTACACCTCTGATGACCTCTCTATACACTTATGTTTTGTAGGAGTATGGAATTACACTAGATGAGAAGCTCCACATTTCACAGAGTGTGTGTACCCCTCTGATGAGGAAGATCCGGAGTGACCTGGAGCAGTGTGTTTGTCCAGATGACGAGGAAGAGAGCACAAGGCTAAACTCACTGTATGTATCAGAATGTAAATCCACTAAAATTTACTGTTTAGTATGATATTTCAGACACCAAGATTTTTTAGTCATAGAGCAAAAAAAAAAAAGAAGGAAAAAAAAGAAATCCATTTTTTCTGTGATATTTTACCTGGAACATCCAACAGGAGGATGTGTAAGCTGAGATAATATTTATGTAATGCTACATGTACATAAATGTCTGTATTGTAGGTATTCCTTAGGAGTTGCCTCCCCTGAAAGATTTGTCAGGACTCGTCTATACTTTACCAGTGAGAGCCACATTCATTCTTTGTTAAACATGCTCAGATATGGAGGTCTCAGAGATGTAAGTCATACACACTGGCTGCATTGCAGTACCAAAAATTTTGAAAGCAGTTTGATTATTATTACTGAAAAATATGATCTTTTATTTCCAAGAAAATATTGCATATTATTACTGAAAATTCAAAAGAAAGCATTTCACTCAAAGTTTAGTGTCCATTTTTCTGTAAGTCATCCAAAAACACTTCTGTATTGGACATTATCAAACAGACAATAACATATATCAAGATATGAACTAATGTGGTAGACAGTGAAGCTTTGGTATGCAGAGCTGAAACCTAAAAAGTTCAGTACTGCATCCAGATGTAACTAGAGCCATGAGACACCAGTATTATGTTATATCCACTGGGCTACATGCTCAAGTACTCTGCATCAACTGATCTGTGATTTTTAAGGGCTAAGCGCAGCGCAAAGCGCTTTCTGTCATCTTAATTCTACTTCCGTTCGCGATCCAGCGCCACTAAGCAAGTTAGATAACTCCACTGGGTTTTCTGAAAATATGCAACTGGAAATCCCTGACGCTCTTTCGGCTATTTTAGTGTAATACTGCGTTACGTGCAGTTCTAATAATAGGAGTCAAGTAGTAAGGTATAGAGTATGCATGTACATTGTACGAAAATCCACTGTTAGTAGATAGGGGCGGTTCTTATCTCTATACATTGTATTTCATTTAAAATCGTGTCGGCACATACCACTTGTGTACCATGTAGCTAACAATTGCTGCATCTATGGCGCAGATACCTTAAAAACGGTTAATTATATGTTATGTACATATAATGTAGTGATTGAATAAGTACATATTTTTAAAACTCAGATGGGATTTTAATAAGTATTTAAAACTCAAACTGGAATTAAGTTATTTAGTAGAAAATTTCGCATAAAATTGATTTACAATGTACCTACTTTTGTACGTTCTATATAATTTATATCCATATTAACTAATATTTCTTCTTCTAGACCCTTATTTAAGACAATGTAACTAAAAACAAGTCTTCCTACTATCACCCTTGCACCATGCAGAGAGCTATCAATGAAGTTGATTTTCACATCTCAGTGTCAATTAGTAACAGACTGGAATGCATTCATGAACTGTCTTTACTTGTGTTGTGTTTTATACTTGTAATATGGGTAAAAAAATATGATGTAAATAATTCGCAAAGAAAGGCAGTTTGCGGCTGTACGTACACGTAGGGAACGTGGAGGCTGTGTTTTCAACGAATCCACTTAGATAGGAAAACTAATTTCTCGGAAATATTGATGACAAATATTGTGCTTTAAAATTGTGTGTGCAGTGTGCAAGATCTGGCGGAAAATGCTAAAACCTTAATTAAACATTCTTAGCAATGTACAGGAATAGCGCTGATGAAATGTTAAGCATACTTGTGTTAGGAACCTAGGAAGAAATAGTTTAGGTAAAGGTGTGCATGTGTTGCTGATTTGTCTGCTAAGCGACTTAATTAGGACTAAGTAAAAACAGAATAAAACAATGTTGCATACCTTCATAAAGATTTATTCATACTTGAGATTAATATAATGTCTTTTCTTTCTTGGGCTGTTGAATTATTTATCATGGAATTAGCAGAAAAATTACGGGTCAATTATTTTCAGTACTAGTATGCCTTTTTAACACACCAGTGCTGTGGATATTTTTTCCCTCTCAACATGTTTTGCGTGGTAGTTAATTTCATACATAAACAAGTACTAGTAAAGATTGGTGTAAGGTATCAAATATCCGTAAAAAAAAAAATACTGAAGCATTTTAAGTATTTCAACAAGAGTCCAAAAATTACTTTTTGGGTTTTAATGACATATTTTTATTCCGAAGAAGAAAAGTATAAAAATTTTATTTTAAAAAAGTAAAATTTACAAATCAGAAACATATATTGTAGATCAACAGAAAAGACTAATTTTTTTATGCAAATACATTATAAATCATGTACATGTATATGAAAATCAGATGTAAAGGATAGCTTTGAATGTGTTATCATCAAACGAAGAAGACAAATATAATATCCTTAATTATAATCAAAATGTATATTTTACCAATTATCTCTAACAAAATGACGTAAACTCTACGGGTGCTCATTTAATAGATTTTTTTCATATGATGATGCCAATATGCTGCACAGCGCGATGAATGTGAAGTTTAAAAAATGTATAATGCACAGCTGTAGCATATTTAAAACAAAATGAAATATATAGTCTAAGTTTTATTTATCATTAATAAATACCGGACGCTTGTAGCGATTGTGTAAATATCTTACACACTCCATTAATTTATTTCTTGTAAAATCCTTTCTACAGATTAGTAAATGTAAAAATCGTTCATGAATATGAAAAAAAAGAGATATACTAAAAAACAATTAAATGAGAATACTAGTATTCGATAGTTTTTAGATCTTTAATTCATAACTTTAATAAAATATGTTATCAATAAGGAAAAATTTTATCGACGCAATAAAAAATAACATTTTTATTTTTTTGGAGCACTTTCTAAAATTAATTCACAATCACAAACAGCCATCTTCAATTTGAAACACTCGTGAACACGGAATGAATTATTAAAAATTATCACCAGAACATTTTAGCTATCAGTGTTGCACATTAATGAGAGGAATATCAGCGACATTTTTGTGTTCAAAATTATTTAAAAATATACATTTTCCAGCAAATGTATAGCTACATTTATAGTCTAAATTTGGTTGGAAAGCTCGTCGACCATCCCCCCCCCCCCCCAATGAATTGCGATTTATACGCAAACCTACCTCTTATAGACTCCTATAAGGCGATGGAGAACGAAAATATTTTTACATGTTCTTTTTTTCGTTTCTTTCTTTTTTTTTATTAGGTTTGAGAAATACATTACTGTTTGGACTAAATATCTGTTATTTAATTTTTATATATATATATATTTTTTTTTATAAAGAAACGGAGAATCTCGAACCTTCAAATGTTTCCTCGTCTGGTTTGAAAAGGCGGATATAAGTTTTATTTTAAATTAAGTGAATATGTATTGAAGAACTGTGCTCACCCCAGCGCGGTTGCACTGTCAACATAATACTTCTTCCAATACAACAGGCAATTTAAATTCAAAATAATTCTGATGAATTTCAAACATTGCATAGCGCTTCCCAGTACTTTCAGTACTTTGATTTTTGTTGTTGTTGTTGACAATTTCATGTATTTGTAAGCATTTTAATGCAGTTTTAAATTTACTGTTTAGAAAAAAATATCTTTAATATACTGTTGAGTATCAATTCAATAAATTACCCTAGTGCCTAGTGGAAATCTTCTTTACCATCTGTGTGTGTGTGTGGGGGGGGGGGGAGGGGCTATTGATTCAGAAATTAACTAATAAAATTTTCAGTAATTATGAATAATTATTTTGGGACTGATAAGAAAATTATTAAGTAATGCAATATAGATTTTCAGTAATTTTTTCCTCTTTCAAATTTACCCATCTGCACGTGTGAAAGTTTTGTCTGTACTTGAAAGTACTGACTACTCTGCGAAAAAGTCTGCATTTTAAAGAAAGTTAGTGACTCTATGCCATGTTTGTTAACTGAAGGCACATTCAATAAGAAGTATTAAATTTATAGCAAAAATTATTGCAGTATGATGAGGTAAACTTTTCTTGCATAAGTGTAATAATGTTCCTATGCAGTATACAATATGATAAATCTATAATTATATTTCAGGAGGCATCTGATGAGCAGTGGAAGAAAGCAATGGATTTTATAAACAATACACCAGAGCTGAATTACATGTCCCAAATCATTGTAATGATGTTTGAGGACCCAAGCAAGGTAACTATTTAAAATGACACCCATAATAACAGCCAGAGCATCAATAGTTTAGATCTAATTATTAAAGTACATGTATACCATATTTATCCCAGTAAATGCCCAGGTCTCTTCCTCGGTCCTGGTTATTTTTATACTTTGAGTTTTTGACAACCATATAATGGTATGAGGTCTTTTGTCTGCAAAACCTGTCTCTCAGCTGTTTTGTGTCCATTTACACTAATCTCACTTGTACACAAAATGTGGAAATCATAAAAACCTTGTCAACTGAAGCACCATGGGAGGAAAGAGTATGGCACAACGTAAAATTGTATTATTAAAAAAAAAAAATGTGTAATGCTCATTCAAAGCATGTACATATCATATCTCACACACTGTAGTGCTTGGAAACTCCAGATGTTTTCACTTGATACATTTTTGGGTTAAGGTATTTTGCGATTCAAATGCAAGACACATGACTTAATAATTTTCATTACATGTACCAGTATATAGCTGTGTACACTCATTTTGGGTGTAAATGATATCTTGAACACTGTGACAGTGCAAGTCTCATCAAATCTTGTCAGTTTTCCAGTTTCAGAAAGTGACTGAAGTACATGTACAGTAATTTATCTAAGTAATCATAGATGTTATACTCACAGATCATTCAACAAATGTCTGATTTTGATGGGTTTTAACCAGTTTTTCTTTTTAGCTTCATGCTCTTTTATAGGGTACCTCATCAGAACGCTTCCATGTTGAGCTCCATTTTAGCCCTGGGGCATATAGTTATGGAGAAAAGGGATTCCATTACCCCTTGGTTCATTCCAGGTCCATGGCCTACAAAAATTCAAATAATCCACTGGTAAGGCTGTAGTTCAGAGCATCTGCTCAGGTAGTGGAATGCATCAGATACTCTGCATAGGTGGAAGTTTTGTTTGTGTTGAATTCAACATTAAATTGTAGATGAAGCTGGATGTTGCAAAAGAATTGTCAGAAGAGAGAAAGCTGTACAAACATGGACATTATGAATGGTCCAAAAGTCCTAAGGACTATCAAAATCGACCCGTGTCAGCTCCAATGATTATACAGGAACAGGAAGAGCTGGAGGAGGCTGATATCTTTGAGCATGCTCATAATAGTGTCCAAAACAGTGAGAAAGTAAACAGCAATATTGGAGCAGATCAGGGGGACCACAGCAGTGAGCTTATCAAAGAGTCAAAGTTCACTTTGGAACCAGTCAAGGATTCAAAGTTCACATTGGAACCAGTCAAGGAGTCAAAGTTTAAGACTGAACTTGTGAAAGAGTCAAAGTTTGTAAGCGAACCAGTCAAGGAGTCAAAGTTCACAGTAATGCATTTTCCCCTATTTCATTGCAGTACAATGTATAAATTACAGAGTTGTAGACTATGAAATTAGTTATGCAAATGAAATATGATGGCATTATTCAGTATAAATCAGATTCCAGTCATATTCTGAGATACATGTATATATAGGACACTGGCAGAAGTACAATGTTTCAGTTTTCTATAAAATGTATGAATCATTACACTGGTTCTTTCAAAACCATATCAGGATCTCATTATCAATTGATATTTTTATGATAAATTTGAATCTGAATGAATAACCTTTTGTGCATGGCTTACATATTTTTATCAGTTGACTTTATTTAGTTTGTAAAATTTCGATTTTGCATATTACATTGAGAAAAACTTTTTTTCAGACTGTAAAAGTTCCAGAACAAAAGTCTCCTAAATGTAACCCTGACATTCCGGAATGGGACTGGGGAAGTGACCCAGAACATGAAGAGGAAAAAAATCTCCAGGTTAACGTGTCATAATAGACACACGTGGCATAAAAGATACATGTGTTATAATAGATACATGCGTCATTATAGATACATGCGTCATTATAGATACATTTGGCATAATTTAAACAATAAAATGCTTTCTTTGGTTGTTATTACGGGAATTAACATTGCACTATTGCAGAAAAAATTACATAACCAGCATAAGCAGGTTATGTAATTTTTTTCAGCAATAGCTGCAATGTTAATTCCCGTACTAACAAACAAAGAAAGACATTTTATTGTTTATATTTATATCTGTGCAAATATTCATTCAAAATAGGATTTAGCAGATGAAATACAGGTGACTCGAGATGGCGCGAACTCTGATCTCGAGAAGTTCTCGATCTCTCAAAGTGAACCTCCGGTCCCGTTTTTTTTCTCTATATAACTAAGTAAATTTACTCCTGATCTCTTGAACTCCTGATCTCTCGAAGTTCTCTATCTGGAGAACCAAGATCTGGGTCCCGTTACACATATTTCATTGTTTTTTACTCTCTATCTCTTGAAGTTTTGATTGCACATGTATACAGGCCAATTAAGCGTAAATTTAATGCAGCTTGGACTTACCTGGATAACAGTGAATGCCTGGGGCTGGGATTGACATGTTAATTGTGTGTTTACATAGATGATACTACACCTGTGAGTCGTCCGAGTGTTGATATAATTAATTGGTTTATTGGTAAAATATAAACAAATCGCTTCACAACTTATTTCGACTGGACGAGACGATAATTTCAAGAAAATAATTAAAGGACGTGTCAGAAATATTCCATAGATTATGAACTTTAATATTATCAGAGTCTACACAATCCCAGTTTGGCAAACATTGCACAAGAAATCCTATCTCAAGAATTGAATACCGATTAATTGCGAGCAATCTGGTGAAGGACCGATCAAGCCCGGGGAATAGGCACATTGACAATTGCTATTCAGGTTTCATGTAATCATGAAATGAGAAAGAACAAGGTATGGTTTCAATACAAATCTTGCCCTATGTTTTTCTTAAAAATGAAAGTGATGTAAAATATTAAGGGTGCGTTCCTTTCACGCTTCCGAAAATCCAGAACGCGTAGAATTGCAATGGAATGATTTGGAATCCGATTCCGGACGGATTCTCTCTGTCCTTTCTAAAGAGGTGGTGCAGCGGGAATTATTACGTAACAAAAATGGCGGAGAAAAACGTGCTTTATCAATGTGAAGACTGCAATTTGTACTTTTCCAGCTTAGATGATGTTAAAATGCATAGATGCACAACGGAATCAAGTAAGTTTTGTTACTGTGCATACGTTTTACTGCAAATGCTTATTTAAAAACTTAAATTTATAGGGATATTTAGTGCACACCTTATTAGCCATCATAAAGGCCCAAGATGGGTCAAGAAAATCTTAAAGGGAAAGTGGGGGGGGGGGGGGTACAAACCTAAAAAAATGACATATTTACGAGGAAAAAAGTGCATTAAAAAGGACAAGTAAAAATTGTAATAGTAGGGAAAGGGGTCGATCACAGCGGCGATCTTTTTTCGAAAGCATATCCAAATGGTACTAACTAAATGAATGTTTACCTTTTAGCACCCCTCCCCCTTTTTTAATTCTGCCATTTATATCTTTTGCAATGCAGCAGTATGTACTTTGATATTAATGTATACTATTAGTATAAAAGATATTTTTTCTCATTTAGGCGGAGGAAATAATTCCATCCTTGTGACAAAACAAACAGCATATGAAATTAATGCCGAAAGTCAAATGAAAAAACGCACGGTAACCCAGTGCCAGAAGTGCAGCATATACTTCAACGACATGGAGTTGATGTCTGAGCACATATGTCAGAAACCACCAGCAGGGACACCATCATCAGGTAATTAATGTTAAAGTTAAAAATTTTACAGATGAGTATACCTGGGAGGTTGCACTTTCAGGAGATTAATATTTCCTCCTCCCATAATAAGTAGTAACTAATTTTGTACTAATTACATAGGAGTAGATATATTTCACGTCAAGAGAAAAATATTGAAACTGTTAATCAAAAGCAGTAATTCTATATAGTATATGATCTTCATATTCTGGAATAAACACCATAAATAAATACATGTAACAGGTTGTGTCTAACATGTATTTTTTTTAAATGTTAAGCATTGAAAGTATATATTTATTAATTTTAATGTTTTCTAGGAGATGAAAAGGAGAGTAAAGTTGCCTCATGCAGTACTGCGGATATAGGTATGTCTTGGACACGCTCTAGTACCTTACTTCTTATAACCAAATACAAAACATATCAAGAGAAAATTAAGAAAGGTTTGATCAAGAAGAAAACCATGTGGGAGGAAATTGCCACAGGGATGAAAGATGAAGGATACTCCTATAATCATGAGCAAGTCTCAGGGAGATGGAAGACTTTGCAGAGAGGATACAAAGCAGTCAAAGACAGTAAGAAGAAAAGTGGATCTGGAAGAAAGCGTTTTGAATATGAGTCTGAATTGGATGAAATATATTCCAAAGATCCTGCCATTACTCCAGAAGTAACTGCCTGTAGCACTGACTCCAAAATTTCTGCAGAAGTTCCCAACGATTCAGAGGATGGTGACGATGAGAGTTCAAGGTCGTCTACGCCCACACCATCAGGCTCAGGTACTAATCCAAAGAAAAGAAAGCTTACATCTACTTCTACAGAGGTCATTGATGTAATGAAAAACTTCATTGAAAATCAGGAAAAAAGAAGAAAGGAGGAAAGTGAGCGTAAAGAAAAAATGCATTATGAAAAGATGGATTTGATGAAAAAACTCATTGAGACAATGGGAGCACATCACTAGTGAGTGTTGTGTTCCTTTTACCTTGGCTCAGCACAAATATCCTTACATGATAAAATTAAAATATGCATATGGCTGAAAATTATTATTACATGTATTTACTTGTACTTTTTGTATAAATCCTTAGAGAATTGAATTATCTAATTTTAATTTTAACATTATTATATTAAATACATGTACACATTAAGTTCCTTGAAATCAAAGAGTAGGAAACATTTCATTACATGCGTTTGGTCATTATTTTTACAATACATGTACAATCATGTACTATTGTTACATTTAATCCATTTATAAGTTCTTACTCCATGTTAAAGATTACATATTACATGATCTTGACTTTGCGCATAGGAACTCCTGTTTAATTTTTGTTGATATAATCTCTTTTCAGGTGAATGTGAAATCTGCATGGAAGAAAGTCATCCAAAAGAAGTAGTGTTTGTTGACTGTGGCCACCTTGTGTGCTGTATTCCATGCAGCAAAGCTCTAGAAGTCTGTCCAATATGCAGATCAAGAATTGCGAAAAAAGTTAAAGTGTTTTTTACATAGACTCTTAACCACAAGGGCACAAAATAGTGAATGGCTTCTTTCATTTTTTAAAACTTGTTCTAAGTTGTGCCATAAAACTTTTCAAAGTATTTGTGGTAGGATTTTCAATATTTCATTTTATCACTGAAAGCAATGCAGTTGTTTTTGTTTCATCTGTTTGTTGATTTTTTTTCTTGCAGAGGAAAAGTTATTCTCCTGAAAATTCAACTATGTACTATACATTACACAAACTGTTATTGGATAATTGCTAGTCAGAATTGTTTGCATTTTTTATTTTGTTTTGGTACAATTTAACAAATAGTTTTTATTATTTACTACAAACTCCCAAATAGGTTATTTTCATTATCATTTTTCTATTTTATTATGTCCAAGTATTAAACATTTTTTTCTACATTAGTTCATGATTACTTGCTTGGAACTGAAAAAAAAACATGGATGGATAATGTATTACATGTAATTTAGACTTGGCTACAGCTAAAAAAAACTTTGTTTGCAGTTGTTTACCCACAATTCTAAGAGTGGCTAGATAGTTTTTTTTAAAGAAATAGTTTGGCTTTTATACATTACAAATCTTGTGACTTTTAAAGGATGCTTGAATGCACCAGCCTGCTTTATTTGAGTCCCTAACCAAGTTCATTGATGGACATAATTGAGAACTAAGTAAAATTTTTGTAATATTTATTGCTTAGAAAACTAAATTCTCTTAAACTTAAGTGTTAAAAAATAATTTTGACGAATAGGTGAAATGGGGGGGGGGGGGGGGGGTAGATTCATTGAATCTATAAGTGGATTTGTATAGGCAGCTGCAATGAATGATTAATTTTTTGACCTAGTATTACGTTCATTTATGGCAATGTCTATTGGAGAAACAATCTTTTTTTTCTTCCATGACCATGATATATTGAACTTAAGTATTATTTGTTGTTATTATCTTTTAAGCTGTAAGGAAAAGAATGTTTGTGGCATGTAGTCTTAATACATGGATTACACTCTAAATTTCATCAAAACCATCTGTGAATTAATCTGTAAAGGACTTTTTACAGCTGACTTTAAATACCTGTCAAGATATATCTTACTCTTTTTGACATGTTCCATAGTTTTATTTACATAAAAAAACATATAAGTTCGATTTGACATCTTTTGTTGAGTTTTGTTACATTGTTATATTTTTCTGTATTAAATTGTATTGAACAGTTACTGTATTCTTTATTGAATATGATATTTAAAAACATGATGCATTCATTCTGAAGTTAGCCTATCACAAAAGATTCCTGGCTATTTGATTACGTTTCTGTACACCCTGGGCTTCACAGTCCTGGATTCCTGGAACATTATAATTTGCTGCAATAACATCTTGCTGAATGAAATCGTCTACTTCATCATGGTTGAAAATGCAGACATTATGTAAAACACAAGAGGTCATGATAATATTGACAGCATACTCAATTTTCTGGGTTTCCAGGAAACGCAATCGGCGGAATCTACCCTTCAGAAGAGCAAATGCTCTCTCAATTACCATTCTGTTGCTGGACAGGTAGTTGTTATAGCGGCGTTGCTCGTGTGTCAGGTGACCATTGTCTCGGTAGGGAGTGAGTAGCCATATTCATAGTGGATAGGCTGCGTCAGCTATGATATGGTATATATTTGGAATCATTTGTAATCCATTTTCCCATAAATCGGAATTCCTAAGAACTCTTGCGTCGTGACAGCTTCCTGGAAATCCGGTAAATACATGAGTAAACATCATGTCTTCCTTGCATACCGCTTGTAACTGCAAGGAAGGAAATCCCTTCCTATTGATGTATGAATCTCCATGGTTTGTTGGTTTTGCTATTCTAATATGAGTCCCATCTAATGCACCAGCAATCCCTGGAAATCCGTTCTTTTGCTGGAAATTGTTTGCGATTTGGTTTAATTCATTGGGATTGGGCCATTTTATAAATTTTGACTTGAGATGAGTTAGAATTGAATTCATAACTCGGTCTCTAGCCCTGATTACCAAGGATGGCGAAATGCCAAAACGGTCTGCTATCCTGTCAATGCTGTCGAGAGTCCCTAGGTACCATAATGTGGTTAAAATATCTTTGTGTGGAGACATTCGTTCTTTACCACCATTACCGTCTTTCTTCATCTCTGGAACTTCCTCTAGATATGAAGAGAGGATTTGAAATGTCTGTCTTGACAGTCGAAACATTCTTCTAAATCAAGCATCAGAATAAAGGGGAACCACATCCTCCACATATCCATATATTTTTGGTTTTTCTTTCTTTCTGTAAATAAAAAACATCCAAATGAATATTTATTTTATATGCCAACCTCACTTAGGTTTTTTTTAGCTCTACTGGTCAGAGACCAGAAGAGCTTATGCGATAGTAATGTGTCCGTCCGTCCGTCTGTCTGTCTGTCTGTCCGTCCGTCTGTAAACAATTTTTCAAAATGCTACTCCTCCTACAGTTTTGGTCTGATTTCAATATAACTTGTCACACAAGTAGACTTCACTAAGATACATAATTCTGTGTATCGGTTTTTGATTTCGATGAACGGTGTTGCCATGGTTACTAAAAATAGAAATTTCTGTGAAGAACATTCAAAATGCTACTCCTCCTACAGTTTTGATCTGATTTCAGTATAACTTGGCACACAAGTAGACTATACTAAGATGCATAATCCTGTATATCGGTTTTTGATTTCGATGAACGGTGTTGCCATGGTTACTAAAAATAGAAATTTCTGTGAAAAACATTCAAAATGCTACTCCTCCTACAGTTTTGATCTGATTTCAGTATAAGTTGGCACACAAGTAGACTATACAAAGATGCATAATTCTGTGTATCGGTTTTTGATTTCGATGAACGGTGTTGCCATGGTTACTAAAAATAGAAATTTCTGTGAAAAACATTCAAAATGCTACTCCTCCTACAGTTTTGATCTGATTTCAATATAACTTGGCACACACGTAGACTATACTAAGATGCATAATTCTGTGTATCGGTTTTTTATTTCGATGAACGGTGTTGCCATGGTTACTAAAAATAGAAATTTCTGTGAAATACTTTCAAAATGCTACTCCTCCTACAGTTTTGATCTGATTTCAATATAACTTGGCACACAAGTAGACTATACTAAGATGCATAATTCTGTGTATCGGTTTTTTATTTCGATGAACGGTGTTGCCATGGTTACTAAAAATAGAAATTTCTGTGAAATACTTTCAAAATGCTACTCCTCCTACAGTTTTGATCTGATTTCAATATAACTTGGCACACAAGTAGACTATAATAAGATACATAATTCTGTGTATCGGTTTTTGATTTCAATGAACGATGTTGCCATGGTAACTAAAAATAGAAATTTCTGTGAAATACTTTCAAAATGCTACTCCTCTTACAGTTTTGATCTGATTTCAATATAACTTGGCAAACAAGCAGACTACACTAAGATACATAATTCTGTGTATCGGTTTTTGATTTCGATGAACATTGTTGCCATGGTTACTAAAAATAGAAATTTCCTTGAAATACCTTCAAAATGCTACCCCTACAGTTTTGGTCTGATTTTAGTATTACTTAGCATACAAGTAAACTACACTAAGATACATAATTCTCTGTACCAGTTTCGGATTTTGATGAATGGTGTTGCCATGGTTACTAAAAATAGAAATTTTCTTGAAATACTTTCAAAACGCTACTCCTCCTACACTTTTTGTCTGATTTCAGAATAATGTGGCATACAAGTAGACTACAGAGATACATAATTGGTGTTATTGTTTTTTGATTTTGTTGAATGATTTTGCCATGGTTACTTAAATCAAAATTTCAGTAAAATTGTTTTAAAAGGATACTCCTCCTACAGTTTTAGTCTGATATAATAATAAATCTTGCCAAAAAGAGACTAAACCAAGGATCATTATTCTATTTATTGCTGTTGCAAAGTTTCAAGTCCAAGTGCTACTTTTATCTTCCTTTATAAATACAACCAGTAGAGCTACAGTCTCATCAGAGACTTCTGGTTTCATTTTTGTTTCAATACTAATACCTAAGCCACTATAAAACACACGTGATCGAAAACCTTTTAGTTTTTGATTGATTCATAAATAGCCTTTACTTACATAGCGACTGCTAGTGCAGGTAATAAGATATTTTCGTCCTCAGAATCAGAGTCAGTGTCGGAATCTTGAAATAAAACAAAAAGCAGACAGGTTTTCCGCCCATTGGCAGCCATGTTGAAAATTTCTCTTCTGTTCCGGTTCATTCCATTCATCACGGAGAACAGAACGTCCGGAATCGAATGGGAACGAATGAATGGAATGCACCCTTGAACTCATGCTTTCTGAATCATAGAAATTCCACCCAGAAAGATCTTGTAAGTCATTTTTCTCACATGACCTTCTAAATGCTAATTGTGACGTCATAAACTTGTGCAATTTCCCGTATTTTCTTAAAAAGCTGCAGAAGACATCAATTTTCAATGGAATTTTCTTTCAGATAATATTGTCCACAGGCATCGCCCACAAAGATTTTGAGATATGTGATTTTTCAAAGAATTTTACGCAACATATCTGAAAATTAAAGTGGGCGACGGCTGTGGACACTATTTTCTTAAGGAAAATAACCCTTGAAATGAGTCATTTTGAGGCTTTTTCTGTTTAAAATAGAGAAATGCATCAAATTAATGACGTCATATTTCCAGAATGGTATTTCTTCATGGCCTATTCTTTCCTGATTTATCACATTCATATACTCACCTAATATTTAAGCCAGTTTCAAAACTTTTTGAAAACATTAAATTTTTAGGGCACAATAAAGCTAAAACTGTACCTTCTTCTTTATATTGAAAATTAAATAAAAATATTTTATTAATCAAAATATGATCATTGTTGTTGAAATCAAGTAAATTACCTGTAAAATACGAATGAAAATGTGCAATGACATCATCAACATTTATTTCCGGTATGTATGATTATAGAACGATGATCGGAACTGAAAATTCCGGATTTTATTCACTTTCTATCTCTTGAACCCCCTGATCTCGAGAACTTTTTTTAAGGTCCCTTGAACTTCGAGAGATCGAGAGTCACCTGTAGTGTATTATTGATATGCACATCATTGTACGTTCCATTCATAAAACAGCCACTGCTCTAGAAATCTGTAGAGGTGATATGCTTAGTAGTGTTTACGGACTGATGAATGGCATTTGCAATGGTTTTCTTAAGAAATAAATATAATATTCAGTGGATGTAAATTTAGATACATGTAGCACATTTTATACATTGTATCTTAATTTAAAGAGTTTTAACTTGATTAAAATGTGTGTTGATAGATTAATCATGTGAAATTGATAAAACAGTACATTGAGGTTGAAAAGAAAGATGAACAGGAATTAAATGGTTTAATTGATTGCAGTGAATTCATCATTAGCATGTTTGCTGTAACTGTTTTATGGGAAAGAATAGCAAATGTGTTTTTAAACATTGTAGGAGAAGCCAGCTAGCCTGCCCATTGCATCTGTTTCTGAACCAATAGAAATTCAGTCTCCAAACTCAAACCCAGACTTAGAATTATCAGGTAATTCTTTAAAAGGTAGTGCATCAATTTTCAGATTTTTTTCTCATTTGATGGTGAAATATTTACAGTTTATAATTGTATTGGGATGAATTTATGGTTGCAAAGGAAAGTATTCAAGCAGTGGTGATTTGGGTCAAGAATCCTCGTGTATTAATTGGTCTTGTACTATGCTCTTGTCTGGTGTTTAATCTTTATGTTATTTGCACAAGCTGTCCAGGAAGCCAAATCTAGAGTTCGATTCAGTGGTCCCGGTAAGACACGCACCTATATGTAGTCATGTGACTTGTAAGATGTGCACGTGGGGTAATGGTTATTATACTCACAAATTGTCCTACATGTATATGCAAAAATGAAATACAAGCATCTTTACCTATAAATATCCTGTTACTCTGTTGAATAGATAGTATTTTTGTGTTTATGTACATGCATATCTAAATAATAAATTAGTGTAGTAGTTTTCTCGAAGAATATCTGTCATGTTAGGTATTTTTAACTCACGTTGATAAAGTCAAGATGAGTTTGTGCTATTCCCTAGACATTATTGTTGATGACTTAGAAAGTTTTGGAGCAGGTTCATTTATAATTATACCCTCCTGCAAATGAAGCCTTGGGACATAATTTTGTGAGTGCTGCTTACTGATTATAAGCACTACCTTGGCAAGACTTGCATTGATAAAGCATCTGGAGATGCTGAATGCCAGTCTTGCTGCATCTTACCTCTGTTTATTAGGGAAAATTTTTTAGGTCCATTTTGAAGTACCTATAAACCCTAGACTAATTTTGCATGGATTGTACATCTAGGAATTATACTTTTGGACTTGCTGCAGATGCTGCATCTGACTTTCTGTATGAGTAAACATAAAGTTTTTGAAGAAGGTCCTTTCCCAAGAAACTGGAAACCAACTTGCAATAATGATATGTTTAGAAATGCACACTGACCAAACTTTCTTTTGATGTTGCCTCTGACCTATTTTCCTTAAATAAGTGACCAGCAGACCATGGTAAAGTTTTTGGAGAGTTGTTCCCAAGAAACTGTAAGCCCTACCATGACCAAACTTCCATGGATGAGCTTTCTATGGATGCAACACCATCAGACTTGCTTTGGACATCTAAAGAATACACTGACTACCGTGCTTAAAAAGCTGCAAGTTATGTGTATAAAAAGCTGTTTGATGAAAAGATCATAATGTTGAACTTACATTTATTTTATGGATCTTGCTGAGCTATCATTTGATATGAGACCTTGTCTTATGTAATGATAAAATTTGTTGAGGTGAGCTTTAAATTGTAATCTTTGATTACTTTTGTTTCTAAACAGAATTTTAAAAAAGAAAACATGCATATGTACATTATATATAGTTGTATCATATGAGAGGTATTTTTTTTAGGCCACTATTACTTTTATGGTGGTTATAAGCCAATTGTATCTGAACAAGATTTTATGTTAAATGTTTCTCTTAAAAAAGAAATATTTGATTTTAATTAATAAAAGTTTCTGCATGATGTTAATTCTTGCTCATTCACTAATGTCTTCCCTCTTCGTCTGAGGTCCAAACCATAGGAACTGCAAATAAAGCTAGTTTGAAGCAACCATGTTCAAATTTGATCATTATCTTCATATTTCATTGTAAGCAAAGTAGATTGCTATGGTGATTTTACACATACAACTATTCATATGAATTAATAAATCAGATTTTTTTTTTCTATGAATTACATGTAGATGCAATGACGCATGTACTTTGGACTTGACAAAATCATGAAAAAAGAAAGAAATATTCAGAAATTGTAGTATTTTTGAATTGTAATATTTTCATACAAATATAGGAAGACTTATGCTTATTTGATTACTGTATCTTCTTTATACCTTGTGGTTTTAAAAACACTAAAATAATATATGCAATTAATTGGCATCCCTTTGCTTTAATCTGCATTGATACACTGTACATATATCTGTCAATACAAGCCTTTTATAAAGGTTTGGAAGCCTTTTTTAAAGGTTTGGCAGTTTGACCATATTTGCTTTTGAGGTTATATTCTCGTATTTGCATAAAAGTTAAAAAGATACAGGGATTTTAGAATGTTTTAAAAATAAATGAAGAGTTTTGTTATAAAATGTATTTAAGGAATGTTTTTAAGTTTTGTGTGAGTTATTGGTGTCACGTAGGCATATTTCATGAAGTGCATTAGCGCTTCATGAAAAATATGTCTACGTGCAAGTCTGTGTGATTTACACACCAATAATTCACACTAAATTTAAAAACATTCCTTATATTTATATTTTACATGTTCAACAGCACCAAAAATATACTTAATGTTTGAATTATTCGCTGCCCTTTACATTTTTATTAATGTCTCTGTAGCTCATTGTGACGTCATTTTAGCGCGAGTTTCTCCATGCATATTTCTATGCTTGAATATACATGAATATACACAGTTGGCTTAATAGAAAAACACAGCAAATGTAAATGTATGTATTTGCATGTTCATCCATTTTAATTTAATGTCGATTAATTCATCCTGATATACAGTGTGTCCAGAGATAGACTTCGATATAATTACACTGTTGTAATACCCTTGATACCCTATAATTGGTATGATGCATGCTCATGCATTTATCTATCAGAAGTGTAATTTTACTCCCTAAGTAGAAATTTAGAGATGACTTTTTTGTTTAAAATTAACATGCCAATCATTTGATGCTGAATTGTTTCATATACAATTGTCACTTGATTATATGACATTTCATTATATATAAAGCCAAGATTGCAAACATACATATTGACTTTTCCATTTCATTTCATTGATTGTCATGCTGTTGTCAGTCAGCGTAAAATTTTAATTATTATGATATCAAGTTATTAATTTTTTGGTCTTATTTGAACAGAGCCAGTCAGATCACAGAGTCTAGAGGAGAAGAGAAGCAAAAGTCTTGAGGATAAACCAGCTGAACCCAAAGTAGATAGACATTGTAAGTGGATCAAAGATCAAAGGTCATCAACTGGGGAAAAACCATTCGGCATAATTATTTAGAAAATAAGAAACCCTGATAGATAATTTAAAATATGTTCAGTTTACAAAATTGCACTTGTTAGATCTGTACATGTTGAATGGATACATAGTATTTCTTTGAAATTCAGAATGGAATTTTTGTCCTCAATTACTTGTTTACATGTAATACTAGTGATAAAAGAGAAACTGTTTTAAATTTGAATGATTTGCATGAGATAATTGAATATTAAGCAGATAATACACTTGTTGCTTTAAATCATTGATTAAATTAGAGTCATTGAAATTTACTAAATAACAATCAAAAACTAGAACTTCATGTGTTATTTTCTTCAAGCTCATCTCGGTTAAATTTAATAAATTTTCTTATTTAATATGTGTATTTAATCTACTGGGTAATTTTCTTACTTAACACTTTTACAGCACTCTATGACAGACATTATTTGACTGTTCATCTGCCACTGGCAAGTGACAAAAGAAGAAACTCCTGCTCAAGTTTATTTTATTTGAATCCAGAGGCTTTCAAAGGTAGGCTTTAATTAAGTGACCTGCATTTCTTAAAGCTAGTATCTGATCAAGAATGCAATTCATTATGTATGTCACGTGTGGAATTATAGAAGCATAAATAGAAGCATAAAATGCAAGGCTTTCATATCACTCTGAGGTAACTCTGTACTGTTCCCATTAGACAATGCCATTCAAAGCTTATCATGATAGCTCTGTAACAGAATTTCATTTGATTAGTTTTTCAGTTTTACAGTGAACTATGTTAATTTTTTTTTTACATACACCTGAAAGCAATATTTTTTATCTTGAATACACACTTTTGTATCTATCTCAATTTTAAAATACATGTACATGTTACTTACTCCAGTGTTTCCTACATATAGTATGGAAGAAAGGTAAATTATTGTAAAATTAATTTTATTCTAGAAAACTACATCATACAGAGTGAGATGAACAGAGCTAGATCTGCTTCTGTCTTGGGGCCTAGTAATCCGGGTAGGGGTTTATGTAGTGTACACCTGTCCACTATAGTGGACTTGCTGCTTGTTACATAGAATGACATTTTAACATCTGCAGGAAAAAGCTTGTCTACAGTTTGTAAAGATGAAGCATGTCCTTTCCCTATTTTAAGACATAAGTGTATGACAATAAATAGAGAAAAATAGCACTGATAACTTCAATTTCAGTGAGCATGTAAATGTTATGTGTTCTAGATTCCTCTTCAGTTGTATGTATCTACCACATCTAGCATGGAATACTTCTTTTGAACATGTCATACATGCACAATCATTTTTAACTGTTTTATGAAGTTTACATAACATACACTCCAGACTCAAACATGACTTTTAACTATGGGACATATTGCCTTTTCATTCCTTTACATTTTAACTACATGCATTTAGCAAATATGCTTTGCAAGCAGAGTAGTTTAACATACAGGAAGATTTGTTGTGGCTGTGATTTTATATTACATGTAAAGGAATAAAGTTGTTTGAAATGGGAAGGGATGCTTGAAGAGTTTGATAACTAGATAATATAAGGGCCCATTTGGTCACGATGATTCTGAATAATTCAATTTTTTACATAACTACTTTTTAAAATGAGTATTGTCATTAAACAAAGGTCATGCTGCAGAGAAAGTGTCTTAGGTTTATTCAAAATTCCAAATTTCCTTGTTTTTAATGAGTTTTCATGTTTGTTTTTTATAACGCTAAATTTGTCAATCTGGCATTATGAGGTACATCTATGTCTTATGTCAGGAGGATAAGTTTGAAATTGATGTTTTTAAACAAACACTATATTAATTTGGTGAAAAATCATTAAAAATGAATTTTTGACTTATCAGCAAATTTTTCATACTCAGGACTTTCTTGGACCTTTGTTAATGCTGATATTCAAAATTTAAACAAAAGTTTCAAATGTGCCCTATATCATAATCTTGTTCTTTTGGAGATAAAACACCCTTGTGCACTTCAACCATTAAATACCAAAATTTTTTTTTAAGATAAGAAATTACCCTCTGTTGCATGTTGACTTGTTGCATGTCCTCTAAGCTGTAATTTGCATAGTATGAAGTAAAAAGTAGGTTTTTATAAATCTTCAGCATTTATTGGATTAAACTATTTGTATGTATTGGTAATTACCATAAAAACAATGCTTTTATCTTTATTTGCATTACATGTATTGAGTTTCTGATTAATTTACAGAAGGTTTTTGTTTTATTCCTAGTTGAAATTAATTCATATGTTTTCAAAAAAATGGTTTCTTTTACCAATGCATGTCTTTGTGTTTTGACAGGACAGACTGGTATGTATAGAGTGTTTCATTTTAATGCAGTTTTATAAGTTAGCACTAACTGTCCCTATTTTCACTGTACGGCTAGGAAAGGGCATCTCTAAAAACAATGTAGAATGTCTTCTAATGTCCTAAAAGCCTATATGCAGGAGTTGTTTAGTTCTCTATGATGTCTTTTGGGTATGGTGTCTGTGTCAAAAATGACTGATCTATTCTTGGTAGAGAAAGTAACAATGGTAATATTTTATGAAAATGTAAATCCTAAATCTAAACTTGGTAATATATTCATGAATGTTAAAAGAATCATAAGTGATTGAATTACTTTATTTCCCAAACCAGTCTGTTATTGATGAAATTGGTTAAAAATTTAACTTTAAGCCTCTTTGCAATATTTTTGTACAGTTATTAAGGGCAGATGTATTACATATGGCTACAAATCTGCTTTTTCAGTACCTGACGAGGAACTTTTGCCAGGTTTATCTTTCTGCTGTGGTTTATTTTTCATCTCTCCCACCTTTTATGCATTAACTTGTTCAAAACTACAGTTGTGATTGTTGACACCACAACTAATATCGTTGCTGCAAAAGCTACAGTTACTTATTATCCTAGTTAAACATTTCAGCAATAAGTGTGTGAATTGAATGAATTCCTAGTGCCTTTAAACATTTTGAAGCCCCAAAGAACAGCTAGAGCTTTTGTCTACAAAAGATTTAAGAATTCAACAAAAATATATATTTGCAAAATTTATTGACATCTTTAAAATCTTGCGTTATTAAGGTAAACTTCCAAGAAGGGTTTTGATAAATATTTTTATGTCGGAATAAAAGGTTAATTGTCTGAATGCATATAGATAAGCTAGACACAAGGGAAGCTTCTTGTACCAGTACACATCTGAAATACATTTTGTTTGATAAATCAAAAAAATAATTTTATCGCTAAATGCACTTGGTTTCTCTCTAAAACATAAAAGCTTAGCTGAAAAAGATGCAAAAGAATCTTGATCATTTTTTAATATTTCAAGAATTTTTTAAATATCATTACAGCATTTGAAGGATTTAACATGGTGCCCAGTCTGCATCCACTGGAAACCTTGCATAACAAATTAACGATGAAGGAGCTGGATGATTTCTTAAAGAGGGCAACTACATGCAAGTTTGTGACACCCATTTCTTCACCTCCATACAGTTATACACCATTGGCCTCACCTCACATACCTGTCACAAGAGCACAGAAAGGTACAATTTCACATTGAGTACTTAATGTTTCATGAAAGGGATAGAATAACCTACCTAGTTTGAGTGATGAGAAATAGACTTGCATTCTGTCAACAATACTATACAAATGTTTTAAAAAGCAAATTGTTTTTCAATGGAAAATGAAACCAAATATCCAAAGCATTGTAGGAAGTTGACACTGTAGTGTCTTTTCTATTCATCATTTCATGTGTCGTTGTGTAAAAAGAAAAATAGACTTTTAAAGTCCATGCACTCCTGCAAACATTGTAATAATTGTATATGTATTATGCACTACACTTGACGTGTCTAGATGTGTGCCACTATCTATTCATTTTTCTGTGTTATATCCTCATAATTGTTGCAGATCTTTAAATTAGAGTCACCAAGAAAACATTCTAATAGACTATTTAATTATTTATTACATATATAAATATATGAATATATAATGATATCTTGGATAAATTGTGAAATGAAAATATTCATGGGGAATTTGAATCCATTGGTCTTCTGATATACTCAACATTCAACAGTAAATAAACAGAAGAAAATTAAAAAAAAAGCAATCAAACAAAAAAAAGATTTGATTTTAACTATTCTTTCTTAATAGATTTATATAATCTAGTCTTTGATTTAAAAGGCCTAGACATACTTCGTATTCATTTGATAGAAGAGCAAATATAAAACAGTGAAACTTGTCTAATTTAGATGTTACGTAATCAGAAATTGTCTATTGCGGTGAAAACTTTTAGTCCCTTTGAGTAAATTCAATTGTTTAAAATGTTGTTTGTTTAAGGACAGATGATACCTTCCTCAATAATATATAATTTTTTCTAAGATTTTGTCATTGAAGTATTGCTACTTTAACATGTTTACTCGCAAAAAATTGAGGTACCTTACCAGGCATTTGTGCAAGATACCAGAGGATGTTTTTCCTATAAAATCCTTTTGGAAAAAACTTAATAAGCCAATAACACATTTTTTGGTGTTTCATTTTTTTTAAAGACAATTAGAAAGCAGTTTAGAAATCAGAAAGTAACTAAAGTTTTGAATATTTTCCACACAATACGAAGATATACAAAACAGATATTTGAGGAACGTATCATCTGACCTTAATATGGTCAATTTCTATGGAAGTGAGGTTTGCATTAAAATGTTGTTTAATCTGGAGTATTGTTTAATCTGATCAATTTCTATGGAACCAGTGAGGTCCGGATTAGATAAGTTTTACTGTATCAACTTATTTATGTATTGTTATATACAGTCACACCTCATTATCATGAATTCAATGGGGCAAAGAAAAAACTCCAAGATATCTGAGAACTCATGATCACATATAAGAATAAGTGGTTAGGACTTCCACCTCACTTCAACATATGATTTATCCATAGTATTCGAGATTCTGATGTTCAAGATACTGAAGTTCAACTGTAGTTGTAAAATTTATCAGCTCAATTCTTTTATTTGCAGACCCTAATTTGTTGTATTTATGAAACTAACCATTGATTGTTTCTTAAGACCTGAGATTCTCAAATGTTTATCGCTCTGAGTTATCTTTTTTTTTTCTCTCACAGGAAACCAGTCATCCAGCAATTCTTCCACTGGTCCTAGTTCTCCTGTGTCAGGAATGGGAAGCCTGGTCCTGAGCAGATTACAAGAAGCTGCAATGTACATATTCCAGAGACAAGACAGTAATCAAGAGGACCAGACGAGCTAGCATAGAGTCTCAGGGCCAGGAGGTTCCCAGTCCTGATAGCAGCCGGGCTAAAATTCCAGATCTGAATAGAAGGGACCCAAGGAAGTTAAACGTCTTGTTATACATGTACAATGTTGTTTTCATCAGTTGTTAATACATGTATTAAATGTTGTGATGCTACATAAAATTAAAATTGATTAATTTTTATTTATCCAAGGAGATGAAGATATCTGAATCACATTTTTTGAAAATAAATAAATGATGTGATAATTAAGTGGTCTGTTCTTGAAGGTTTATGTTTTGTTTTTAAGTCATTTTGATAGTGAGAGTCATGAATGTACCTGTGTATTCTTTATCTTGTAAGTTATTACTGATTTATAATTCAGTATTTACAGTTGCTTAAGAAATCCTTTGTTACATGTTTGCAATAAGTCTTAATTTGTTTTGAGGTACATGTACTAGTATAATCGTGTCATAGAGAAATGTTTCTAATATATTTTAAGGCAAATTTTATACATATCAGTTCAGGGTCCAGAAAGTTGGGAAGAGGGATCAAAAGTAAATGTACAAAACAGGTTTGCCACAGAAAAAAACAATTACAGCTTTTTGAAGGTCATTATGAGCCACGTTTATTTGAAATGAAGGGTTTTCTTAAAAAAAAGGGGGGGGGGCAGGCTCCTTTTGTCTTGTTATAAGATAAAAGTGTGAAATATACCACGTGCACTGTCTTTTTAATAAATTGCATTTAAGATGAATGACATAGTTTAAAGCAATTAAAATAATTGGAAGTTTCAATGTTTCTTCTTTATTATCAGTTTAGTTGTTTCATGTTTTATGTGCCTGAGTTTTTCTGTTAGGACTTTGTACAATCAATGATCACTTTCTGGATCCGAAGTGTTCTGCTCTTCATTTCTGAAGGTTTCATCGTCATTATCCCTAGACACTTCTTCAATCAGACTTTCTTCTGTCATTTCTTCCAGGTCATGAATTGTGGAAGTTTGATCATCATCCGAGTTCATATTTAAGTTTTCTGGATTTTCGGAATCATGGTGCTCTTCTGTTCGTTCTGATTCTGTGACAGTCAGTGTGCCAAATCTCTTGCGGATTTCTTCTTTATCAAGCTCTGGTAATTGAAGCAGCTCCTCCTGGTTGGGAATGGATAAGCTTTCAGTTGTGGACCAAGTGTGCTGCTTCAACACCAAATGTCCGAACATTTGCCTGATGAATTCAATATCGACTCTTGGTGATTCATATGTTGGTGGTCTAACTTCTTCCAACTCGGGGAGCTGTTTCAGTCGTTTGATTTTGTCCTTATTTTTATCGGCAAACTCTTTTATTTTCTCAGGATCTCCAGTTTGTTCAGTCTCACGATACTCATTTATTGTATCATGAATTTCTGCCATGTGTCCCTCCAATTTCTGTCTTTGCTGTTCTAATGTGATTGCACTATTTCTTTCCATCTCTTTCAATTCCCTTTGACGCTCTTCAACGATTTCATTGACCATTTCCTTCATTCTTTCTGCTTGAGCAATCATGGCATCCTTAATGCTTTGAATGTAGGCTTTGTACACTTCAACACCGTCCTGGATATTCTGTACTTGGTTCTGAATTTGTGGTGATATTATGTGTTTACCTTCAGCGTGTTCTTTGATAATCTGGTTTCGTTTTATAAGTGCGGCGGATTCTATATCTAAGACGTAGTGGTCATCTCCCGTATGTTTTTCCTGCACACAGGATTGGCACAAAGATTCCTGACATGTCCAGCAGTAGAGAGTGCACGTAATATCGTGTACATCGCAAACCGGCATATCCGGTTCCATGGGTGGTAGTTCCAAAATGTCGTGATCATCTTCGTTGTCAACATGTTTTTCTTTGCACTTGTCACACAAACTAGTAACACATTTCAAACAAAAACATGTACGATGGCTACCACAACTGTCGCATTCTTCGTTTAAGTCTTCTTCTGGAAATGCGCAAGCCATGTTGAAATCTACAACAGTAAATTCGTATTCACAAATTGTACAAGTATGGTTAATCCAAAGTTCATTAAACAGTCGGTAGCAGGATAAAATTCTTTATATATATATATATATATATATATATATATATATATATATATATATATATATATATATATATATATATATATATATATATATATATATATATAGAGGATATTCAATGTTTTGTAGATGAATATGGAATTTATTTCACGAGTGGAACAGGATTTTTTGTTATTTTCACGAGTGCGAAGCACGAGTGAAAATATCAAAAAATCCTGTCTCACGAGTGAAATAAATTCCATATTCATTTACAAAACATTGAATTTTCTGTTTATTACATTTTCTTTGATTTTCCCTTTGCCTCTCATAGTTGAGCGGATGAGACGTCATAGCTTAGAAGTTGTGTGTCAGATTGAAAACATTACATAGCATGGATTTTAGCAACATATTTAGGAAGAAATTTGCAGTTTTAGCTCTATCAAGATGTTTAGTTACTATATCTTATGAAAGGCCAGAAATTATTTTTTACTTACATTGATATCCTTTCACACTGTGAGAGAATATCATTTTTGGTATCCTTTCACACTGTGAGAGAATATCACTTTTATTCAATAAATAAATCACAGTATTTCACTGTTGAAAATGTAATATATATATATATATATATATATATATATATATATATATATATATATATATATATATATATATATATATATATATATATATATATACACACAGATGGTGCCTTATTTCTACTCTTTTTCAAAAAATGTACAGGGAAAAAAGAAAATCATCCAAATATATATATAGAAAAAGAAAATGTTTTCAAGTTTTCATGTTTGCACTTCATACCTAAAATTAAAAATAATATTGGAAAGGAATCGATATGGACTGATGTACGGCAGACAAAGCATCTTTAAAAAATAGACCTATAACACCCTGAATCGTATTCCACCAGGTCAGTATAACTCCCATTAAAGGGAAGTTTTTTGTTTTTTTTAAATATATATATATACCATGAAAATGACTGCTGAGTAAGATATGCATATGCATGCAATTCTAACTGTACAACCTATACATTGCTTTATAGTTTTGCAGGCATATTATGTTGACGTTACATTTGCATGCACACAAAGAATATCGGCATCAAATGAAGTCTTCAAGATAGAAGATTCAGGGGCGGATCCAGGAATTGAAGTGGGGGGGGGGCGACTTGAGGCCCCCAGTGGGTCCAGGGCGAAGCCCTGGTGGGCGCCCAGGGGGCGAATCTCCTGGAAGCTCCAGGATTCTAGAGCTTTTGTAGGGTAAAAAATGAGGTCTACCGAGTATAGACATTTTTACATTTTCTCGACGAAACTATGATTTACGTAAACTTTGACAGTTTGGGGGGGGGGGGCGGCGCCTGGTGCGCCCCCCTTAAATCCGCCACTGAGATTGAACTTTGATTGAAAATTGTCTCCAATTACAGAAATTCATTTTTCGTCCATTTAATAAGCTCAGTTTTTATACATGTATATATAATTATATTGATCTTTAAAGACCGTCCGTTAAATGTAGTTGTAACATATAAGTTATAGGTTGAAGATTCAAACTGATCATATATTTTACCTTCGACCTTTCCCATAAATAAATATACTTCCTTATGCGGCCATGATAAATCAAAACCCCATGTCTGAGCATGTTTAGAACTACTCAATAGACCCTCGTACGAACCACTGAAGGCAAGTATATAATATATACATAACTAAATATATATTTTTCCCTTTGAAATCGCACTTTTTTTTCACACCAAGTACAGGTAACAACAAAAAGAAAGGGAAACAAAAAGGAGGACTGTATTCAAGTTGTTTAGGTAGCCATATAAAAATCGATACAATTTACTGAAGACCTGGTGAATAAAAATAATGATCAATGAATGTGTACAAAATAAGCAATTGAAAATGGACCACATTTTACGTACCTGATCTTCCGTCGGCTTGGCTGTTAACTAGGTCGTCGATGAAATACGACAGCCCACAAGGACAATTTGAACTTCGTATTATAAGATTCCTCGGATACAAAAACGTTTAAACAGGAAATATCATTTACTTTGCAAAAGTTCTCTATAAAAATGGGATTTCAAAAATGCTAGACACTGTGACTGAAAAGATTGGCAAAAATAAATTGCTGTATAACTCAAGTAAATCAGACAAGAGACCCAATGGCCATGGGCCACATTGCTCACCTTAGTAGCTTATTGGTTACTAGGAATAAGCAGAAATCGCTTCAGTATTGAACCGGGGGGGGGGGGGGGGACTTTCATTTGCACAACCTAAGGATTATTCCATATCAGTATTACTTATCGTGGCTTTGCTGTTCTTAAAAACAGAAGAATTTTAAAGATTTTTCTCTATGTTTTCCTATGTAAAACTCTGATCTCTCATTGTGGCCCCACCCGAAATTTCAGCAAATTTGAATCTACACTACCTGAGAATGCTTCTATATTAATATGACTAATCACGGCTTTGCTGTTCTTGAGCAGATTTTTTCAAGATGATTCCTATATATTCTTATGCAAAACTTTGACCCTCTGTTTTGTCCCCAACCCCTGGGGGTCATAATTTGAACAAACTTGATTCTACAATACCCAAGGTTGCTTCTGTATAAATATGACTAATGAGGGCTTAGTTTTCCCTAGGTTCCCATTGATAAATAAGAACCGGGTGTCTCAATCTTCTTCAGATTTTCTTACACTTAGAACTTAACATCAATTCCTTAGGATACTTGCCACTGGTGTTTACAACTTTTATTTTGCTCTTACCCTTAAGGTTTTCCATCCCTAATAGGACCAAATTCTCTATCCTTAAATGTCCATCAAATACATTATACTCTGATATTAATTTAAAGCATTTTACAGTAGAGAAAGATTTACCAAAAGAAAGTGTAATGGGTAATGCAATGGGTCTATACCTTCCAAACACTGAGGTGTGACTAGGACTAATGGTATAGTCCAGGAGCCTGTTCACCCCTGTTTGGATGGTATAGCCCTTTTCTATATAAAAGGCTGCAGAGGCAGTATTTGTCATTCTGAAGTCAGAAGTCTACATTGATCGGAAGCTTCTAAAGAAGGTAATTATTGAAGTGACCATAGTGAGAAAAGTTTGAAAGGCTAGGGTGGAAGTAGTAGCACTAGTGAAAAGTAAACCAGGGGGTTGGGAGATATGAGGTGCAGTAATCCTGAATAAGGGTGAGACACCGAGTACTCTTCGAACTTGGTTGTGGAACACAGTACAAGGTGTCCAGCTAGCTCTACATTTAACCCAGTAAGAAAGAAATTCAGTTTGTGTCACCGCTGTAAAAAAAAAAAAAAAAATAGAACACGGGACAAGTAACCCAGTAAATCAACAATAATCATTGTAAATAATATTAATTCCAAGTGTTAATCATAGACTCAAGTAGAGCCAGAAAAAAAAAATTATTTATGCTTGTCCAAATTAAGACCCTTTTCCCTTTGAAAACGAACCCTCAGGTTACTCGTTACAAACGTTTCTAAAATGTAATTAACTAGAAGCAGCTTTGGAGAGAGTTCGAATTATTTGAGGCTTTTTATCTTTTCATATATCGTAAAAAATAACCAAAAATAAATTGTCAATAAATTATTCAACAAAATTTAAAGAATCAAAAGTGCAAAACTTTTTGAAAAATACGTGCATAACTTTCCCGTGAACTTTTAGAATTGAAAAATATCTTGTCTCAAAGCGGGATAGTCCTCGTCTTGTACGCCCCCTTTCTTTCAAATTGCAATTTTCTACAATTACACATCCTAAGCTCACAACGTAAAGGGTCCTGGGACAACTCCTTGCTGTTGCACCCCTGACAAATATCATTCAATGTTTTATACGGGCCGATGCAACAACGTCTTTTGGGGGAAATTACAAATCTTGATTGTTTTTCTGATCTCTCGACCAATCACATTAAACCTTTCGGTGAAAAACAACCTGTAACATGTGCATTGAGGTGTCAACTGCTTACTTTCTATTTTCGCTTTCTATCAACTTATGAAAGCCCCAATTTGATTGGTGCTTCTCAATGAGAGAAGCAAGCCCGTAGAATATCGAATGAAATTTGTCAGGGGTCCAACTTCAACATGTTGGTTCAGGACCCCTGACGTTGTGAAGATGACAATTATATTATTAGGCCAAATAAAAAAAATATGTGTGGTTCCGGTTACCCGACCTTCCCTATTTTATACCCCCGACCCTAAACTTTTTTTTGGCAGTTTTCATATTTTTTCCGGAATTTCCCCCGATTTCCGTCAAGTATTAGTTTCAGCAATGACGGCCTCCTTGCAAAACATAGTGCAAGTGTTTAATAGTGTTAAGTCCAAAGCAAGCTAGCATGTAGGTGTCCCCTACCAATATTGACTAGTATATTATCACACCACATCTAAATGCCATTTGCAAAGCAGTGATAGGTATTATTTAGAAAAAATTAAGAAAATCATTTTGTTAAAAAAAAAATCCCTACCTACCTACCCTAATTTTTTTGGAAGTGTAACCGGAACCACACATATTTTTTTGTTTGGCCTTAGCATGTTTATTCTTTCTCTAGCTAGAGTTACCGGTATCTACTGTACACGTGCAGCCTAATCTTTGAAAATTTTTGTATTGAGTAATATCTAGTCCATTTCATTCATAATGTATTTAAACCAAACTTCCTGAAGCTTTCAATATACATACATGTACATCATTATGGTGTTACTGTTGTAGACATAAATGTATTATTTGGATCATTACTAATATGCTGAAACTATTAATCTATTTTTAGAATGAATCCTCAGCATAGCGCACAAGATGTCCAACGGTGTGAAATCTGCGATGTTGCTGTGGTGGAAATGTATTGCACATCCTGTCCCTTTAACCTTTGCAAGACCTGTGTTGGGAATCACCTATCTGATGAACCTCAAAAACACAAAATTATCAAGTATCAAGACAGGAAAACCGTGCTTATTTATCCTAAGTGCAACATCCATCCCCAAGATCGATGCGAGAATTATTGTGAAGACTGTGATATACCCGTATGTTCCTCTTGTATTGCTTCTGATTTACACGAGAGACACAAATTTCCAAGAATTAAACAGATCTTTAGTAAAAGGAAAGAATTCGTCAAAAATGACATTAAAGAGTTGGAAGACGTCATTTATCCTTCCTACAAAGACATAGTTCAGCAACTAGAATCTGATATCTCTAACCTTGAAGAAGAATACAAGGTAATGATACAAGACATAGAGAAACAGGGTGAACAATGGCATCAGACAATAGATCTTATTGTTAAAGCAAAGAGAGAAGAAACGGAAAATATGAGAAAAAAGCAGCTCGGGGCTTTGAAAGAACAACTAAGAATATTTAATCAGCTTCTCTCAAGAGTTCAAGAATCAATAAGATCAAATAAACACATCCTAGATTCTTCAGATGTTTCTAAATCGTTGTCATACTCTAGCTCAAATGATGCATTGAAAGCTCTTCCACCAAAAGTTAATGCTACCACTCCGCGTTTTTCACCCAAGTCGATTAATAATGAGCAGATTTCTGAGATGTTTGGTACAATAAATAAGTTCTCCATCACAACTCAAGAGCATGGATACAAGTTAAAAGCCCTGTTGGACTTGTCTTCTACCAAAGAAAACGTGATTGAAGAGGACACTAAGGAAAACAAAAAGCTCCTTCCTGAACCAGCGGTTACCTACATCATAGAAACAGGATATCGGGATCTGGGAAGTATAGCTTGTCTGAATGATGAGGAAATATGGACGTCCGGTTTTGATAATTCTTTAAAACTCTTCAAAATAGCTATGCCCTCCCATATAAGCCGTCTTTCTTTTGGAGTACTTGGATCATCGGTTTTAAAAGAAGTGAGCACAGGAGTGGGATACAAAGATATTGCTGTGACAACAACTGGAGAACTGATTTTATGTAACAGATCTGCAAACATTTTAAAACTCACCAGAAATAATAAAATGGATCCGATGATAAAGATAAATGGTTGGATCATTTTAAATATCTGTATCACAGTACGTAATGAGCTTCTGGCAATGATGGTTAATGCCAATAAAACACAATCTAAAGTTGTTCGTTTTGCAGATTCCAAGGAGAAACAATCAATTCAGTTTGACCATGAAGGGAAACCTCTGTTTTCATCAAGTACCTCAAGCAAATATATCAGAGAAAACAAGAACACAGATATTTGTGTGGCAGATCGTGATGCCAGTGTTGTAGTGGTGACAAATAATGCTGGATGCTTAAGATTTCGATACACTGGACATGACAGTACGCGAGAGAATGGAACATTCAGTCCTGCTGGCATAGCCACGGACAGTCAAGCTCATATACTTGTAGCAGATACCAAAAACGACTGCATTCATATCATTGACGAAAATGGACAATTTCTCAGTCACTTGTTCATCTGCAAAAGTCCGACAGGGTTGGCTGTTGACAGCAATGACAATCTTTATGTAGCTGAAAAAAGCTTTGGAAAAGTAAAAAGAATTAGGTACATCTGGAACTGAATTATTTGAGGATGAAAATACATTTAATAAGCTTCAAGTGGACTCTGTATATGTAAGAAATGTGTCCGTCTCTGAGAATATTGACTTTTTCACAAAACATGACAACTGGAATACATAATTGTACTTAATGAATCTTTGGGATGTGGCCTAAAAAACCAAACCAATCTGATTTGACATGATGTCAAACTTCAGGAACAAGTTGGAATTAAACTAGTAGTTATCAACGAAGAACCAGCTAAAAGTGATGGACCAACATGCACCACAAACTGTACTTATGACAAGAACAGTTGTAAAAGTTTATCCTTTTAAACAGAATTATGTAACACTGTTTGAATACAGATATGTTAGCCATCAATGCATTTGATTTTTGTAAATTTACCAAACTTCAAATTTATACTGTTTTCTTTTCATCATGAATTCTTTTATTCCTAAGAAGACTTTGAAGACTACATTATGTTATTTTACATTGTATGAGAATTGTGACTTGACTATTATAATTGGTTGTTTTTGGTACTGCAAGTCTAAAAATACCACTTTTCAGTCAGCTGAAATGAACAATGAAAGTGAAAGTGAAAAATGAACAATTGATTTTTCAACTTATTCCTAAACAACCAATATGATTCCTAGACACTCTTAATCATGTAACCGAGGAAAAAGTGAGAGAAAGTTCTTGATTTAAATTTCAGAACATGGTTGGGACATTGGACTTGTGTAATGTTCATGCCTCTGTCTTCAAGAACTTTAAGTATTTTGATAACATCTTAAAAATGAAAACAATTAAAAAATCCTCTAGCATATAAAGTTACTTTAATATATACATATATTTTATATGGCATTACACTTTCACAGCTAAAATGGCTCTTTTCTTTTTCTTCTTCTCTTTGAATTTTCCTATGGCATCACTGAAGAAGATGGTGTCTTGTGACATTTCAATTTGTCTCTGAATGAATTCACATCCTGCTTTATTGAACCCAATGGTGTCCCTCAGCTCACTCACTCGATCTCGAGTCTTCTGTCTGAGTCTATCAATAACAGGAAGAAGAACAAGATTGGAGGTGATCTGGCCATGATGAACTCGCAGAAGGAAGAACAAACAGCGACAGGAGAGTTCTACTTCCCATCCAGAGTCGATAAACACCTCCAGGACCTTCAGTAAGTCCACAACATAGGAGAAAGGTAGGACTAGAAGAGATTCCTCCAGTTCACTGCAAAAAAGATTGTTACACATACAGGGGAAAAACATGAAACTTGCTCAATAGATAAATAATTTTCTATAAGGATACTACAAAGGAAGTTAAAATTGTATGCACTGACATGATCTAATGATGGTGTCTACCATTCAATTAATCTAAACTTATTCAAATACATGCATTTTCAGTTCAAAATATGTTTTAAGTTACCTTGATTTAATTTTGCGCAGCATCTCCAACATATACCTCTCTGGTGTGTCACACTTGTAAGCGATTAACAGTGGATTCAGTTGAGGAGGAGGTAACTAAAGACAACAAACCCAGTATAAACAAAACTTATTCAAACTTTACACATATATTCATCAAAATGCATTCTCTTTGGAAATCTCAATTTACATGTAGAACTTGGTACTGTAAATCAGGTTTTGTCTGTAGGATTTATTTCTGTATTTTTATGAGATTATGAAAATGAAATTCCAGAAATGGCAGAAGGGAAGTTAATCTTTTAAAGCTATATGTGGCGTATCTGAGCTAAAAAAAATAAAAATACGAGATTGATTGTAAATGAACATGATATTTGTTATTTACGTTCAAATTAAAATTGTCACCGATTTTGAATAATCCCATGTTTCTATAGTTAAATTGACTTTAAACTGTGTCTGATATTTAAGTGCGGAGTCGGTAAATTAATCGGTTAATGTTTTAAATTTCTAATATTTATGAAACGCAATTGATTTAAATTGTGTAATTTACAGGAAAGTCCTATCTTTATATAAAGTAATAAAACAAATAGAAAGATCTTTTTAATTTTAGCAAGTCTGAACTTATCAAAAATACACCATATATGACTTAAATAATTATGTATGAATGACACAAGAATAACTTCTAGTGGATGTTTACATGCTGCTGGCATGTGAAAACAAAGTTTTAAGTATAAATAATTTAATTTTAGCTGTAACAAGTCATTTGATTGGACAAAAGATTTCGTTTATATCGTATAACATAAGTTGCCTACATCATAATGACTTACGTCAAAAACGTATTACTCCCCTTGACGTTACTTTTAAAATATGCTCAATTTAAAGCCATTTTTGGAGGAAAAATTGTCTTACTGTCTACACTGAAATTAAATTATAAGGAATGAAGCTTATTTTAACCTATGTTACACAATAAAACATAACTTGTGGCAGTTTACACTTTTTTTTAAACCGCTTAGCGGTTTATAAAGCATAAACTGTCCCAAGTTATGTTATATCGTATAACATAGGTTAAAATAAGCTTCATTCCTTAATTGATTTATAGTGGTATCCAAGTGACCTGTTTTCCTTTCCTTTTACACTGCTCTTTATGGTCTTTCAGTTTGGCTGATTCCTCTTTATAAAGGTCCAAAGCTTCAATTATTCTCTCAGCCTGTAAACAAAACCCATAGAACTGATAATCTATTTTTCTAAATTATATTAAGATACAGTCAAACCTTGTAACCTCAAACTCAATATGACCGAGATTAAACTTCCAGATGTCTGAGAATTCAAAATAGTTAAAAAAAACATAATAAAAGGTGTTTAGGACTGCCAAATCACTTCAACATATCCCATGTAAAATTTTCCAAATTTGAACAAATTTCATGTCATTTCCCCCTATTCTACAGACCCTGGACCCAGTTTATAAATGGTAGGAAAACCTCTGATTTTTTATCACTCTTAATATTTAATGAATTAGGGTAGGTTGTACTCTGCATGGATAATTTACTCCTTAGAAATCTTCTGCTGTTTTCATGGCAACTACACTTTATTTCCAGACTGTTTTCCTGGTATTCTTGACAGTCTATACTTTATACAGCTGTATTTTTTTGTTCCAGCCAATATACTTACCCCTTTGACTGTTTCTATGGTTTTCTTCCCAGCCAGTGTAACTTCTGTGTTGGTTTCTCCTGGGATGACCGTTTCTCCCCCTATAGCCTCTTCATCCTCTTTCTCCCTTTCCTTTAAAAGTAATAATACAATGTATGAGAAAAGGCTGCATTTTCATCATTCAAACTTAATATCATTACTAATCTCCCCAAGGTAAACTCTTTTAAGTTTCTTTGTGTACAAATTAATTATCTGAATGGAATCAGGTGGTTATCTGCCTCCAAAATAACCAACAAGTATACTGTAAATGAAGAAATATTCTTTGGGAATTAAATTTCGTTTATTTTGTTGTTAACAATTACATTTTGTATCAACAAAATTGAATCCCACATGAATATTTTATATGACTATATATTAAATAGTTACGTTCGAAACAAAAAAATTTAATGCCTTTGAATCCTTTTTAGATAATAACTCAACAAAATTTTATCCCCACTTGTGCTTCTACAGTTAATCAATCCAGAAAGAAGCATACATGATTAATTACTGATTTCTGCCGTGAGTAATTTACACTATTAAAGGTGAATAATAAAGAAAATTTTAACATTCAAGTTCTACAGTAATAAATGGCTACCATCTCTCTCTCTTCCTCCAGTACCACGATCTCCCGTGTTTTCTCCCATAGTCTGATTGATTTGTCATGTGATGCCGTGACGAGGAAATTCCCCGAGGAACTGACCGTCATACTCCACACCTCAGCATGGTGACCCTACAAATAAATGCATAGGTTTAATAAACAAGATAATACACTTAAAGAATGCTTAACTACATTGTAAATTATCACTGCAGATGGGTTTTTCTTTGTTAAATGAAGATGTGAACATTTCTGTTCTTTGGGCAAGAAAAAATGCCATATTTAAAGCAAAAATGTGATGCGAGTAAATAATGTTACCATTACTCAAATAGTGACTAAAATTGAAATGTTACTATCATTCAAAGGTGCAGATCACTGTAAGTACATATACCTGAAGAGTTACAATATGTTCAAAGTTGTCTGCATCCCATTGTTTGATTTTCCCATCCTTTCCACCAGTAAAGATGAGATGAGTTTTAGATATAAACTGGGCACACATAACACTGAATAAATAAAAGAAATTTCACTGCAATCAAGTCGAAACAATTCATACAAATTAAATTGTACACCTTAAAGCATTATCCATATCAAACAGGTTTTATCTTCACATTTCAAGCCAACACAATTTTAGATCGTGGTTCTCATTTGTCGGCCCTCTGAAACTAACGTGTACCTGCATTAAATATTACAACTTAAAAAAATAAACCAAAATGTTTACCTATCATCATGAGCAAATAGAGATTTGTGGCAGTCTCCAAAATCAAGCCCCCAGATTTTGATGTTACGATCAGCAGACCCTGAGACCAGCAGTGTACTGTCGTGTGAAATGTCCATACAGGTAACAGGAAGTTTGTGTCCATACAGTGACAGGAAAAACTGATTAAAATAAAGGAAAAATTAACAATAGATTAGTTACAGCAAGCAATCAAGCCATTCACAAATCTACAGCCAAACGTCTACATCTCAAACATCTTTCTACATCTCAAACATCAATATTTCAAATACAATAAGGTCAAAATGAGTTGAAAATCCAAACCACTTTCTCTTTATGTATTTCAACCTCAATATCTCATTTCCTTAGATATCGTAAAAGTTTTATCCTGGTCCTATCAAGTTTGAGATAATGAGGTTTGACTATGCCCTATATTAGACATTTAAAGATGTTCAAGATGTTATTAAAATTACAGAGACTGACCTTCAGAGTGTCAGCAAAGAAGACTTTTATAGTGTTGTCCAACAAAGAGACGGCTATCAGGCGATGATCTGGACTGTGATGGCAAACACAACAATGTAAATATTTCTTCATATATAACAGATGCATTCAAAAAGTGTTTTATGAATAATATTAACCTCTTTATTTCAAATAATCCTACAATGAATATTTTAAATGAACGAGTGAAGACAGATAACACAACTGTAAGATGACAGATTAAGCAGTCTGCAATCCTGTACCTGTATTTGACACACAGAACATCTTCATCCATCTTCAATGTTTTCTCCAACTCAAGTGTAAGTCTCTTACTGCAAGAAAAAAATCAAGATTTCCCACAAGTTGTTTTGCCCTAATCAGCCATAATTTACACAATTCAAAAAGCAAATTTCTTAAATTTATTTATAATACCTTGTGAGGGAAAATTTTTCATCCGTAATCAACTCAAAGTTCCAAAAGTTAACACTCTTGTCAGCACTTCCTGTGGCTATGCCTCTCTGTTGATAGGAAGTATTAAATAAAATCCTCAGATTTCAATGAATTCAATTAGATTTGTACTCATTTAGTGTCAAATATTAGAGATACATGTAAATATTTCTCTGTTTTAAAAATTACTGTCTTTGATAATATGCAGTGAATTACAGATTGTTCACATGTACGAACACTGAACTAAAATACACAATAATGTTATATTTACCCTATCTGGAGACATACAAAGTGACCACACTGCCCCTGTATGGGCCTCCTTCTCCTCTAAGAGCCCCCCACTTCCAACATCAAATATCTGTAACTTACCACTCTGCAAAAAAGCAGTATAATGAAGTACAGATTTAAATATGGATTTTAAGATGCATCAATACTTCAATAGTAGAGCTGTTTAAAATAACATCAATCTCGTCTTTCATCTGCACATCATAAGTCACCTATAACTTCTGAAACAGGAATGCTAATGAGTAGGAATGGACCTCCTTTCATATATTATATTTCCTTAGATCATTCTACAAATATCAGAAACATGTTTCTTAAAATTTCAATTCAAGGTCTGTTGCAACACAAAGTTATAAATTTGATTTAATTTAATTGAAGATATTATCACAGTGTCTATTGTTAAACCAAGTAATAAATTTGATTGATGTTACATGTACATGTATTACCACAGAGTTTTTGTTACATCACACAATAAATTTTATTGTTGAATTACCACAGAGTTTGTTGTTACATCATACAATAGATTTTATTGATGTTATTACCACAGAGTTTGAAATTGCATTACTTCTACCCTGTTTTCTTACCAATACAGCTATTGCAAAAAAGAATTTTACAGTGCAGGAGTTGTGAAGTCAAAAGAAATGTTTCGAAAAATATGCACTGGTATTAATAACATAAATAAACCTTCATTAAATAATATCCAACTCTATCTTTATAATTTTGAAGACAAGCTTTTTTTTCAATGAATATCAAACATTTATTAAAATAACTAAATGTGAAATGCACTCACTCATTTACTAGAATGACCTTATAACATACCTTGGTCCCAATGATGATGTGTCGATCCCCAGGGGCAAATACTGAACACAAGGCATAGTCACAAGTCATAGTTCTAATACACTGAGATGAAGCTCTGAAAATCGTAATATACAATATAGGTCACATACAATAAGTGGATACACACAACTGCATCATGACAGAGTGTTATCAAGCCTAAGACAAACTGCCATTAAATAGCTAAATAAATTATAATAATGTGAAGTGATAAAACTCAATATTTACAGTGCATTTACATCTCTGTACATTAACACTATACAAGATTTAAAATGGAAATTTTCAATGTATAGTTAAAAGACTTTCACCTGTTCCAGATCTTGACTGTTTCAGCACTAGCTGACAATATGGCTGTATTGTCTGAACTGAAACAGAGAGTCCTCACATCAGACCGGTGTCCTGGCAGGGCTAGCTTGGTCATCCCCTGGGGGTCACATTGCTTTTGGTCCAGCCCCAGGCTGCAGTGTTGTAACATATTGTTATTCAGCAGAACTAGGACCTGTTGAGACAAAAATGTTAAAATTCATATCTTGGATTGATTTTCAATTGCAATAGTCATACTGATAATGAGTATAAATGACTTGTAGCATATAAAAGAGATAAAATCATAACTGTTTTTTTTTTTAACCAAATCAAAGAAATTCTGTATTGTAAAGCATTAGCATTCTTTGGAAGAAAAAAAAAATGAATTGACTAGAAATCAATAGTAAAAACTCTTATTTTGACATATAATGAGTATCTTTAGAAATTAAAAATCAATTTTTTATTACCTTACACTGGGTAGGATTCTCCAAAACAACATCTACTGATACAATATTGGCTGCCATTTTGTGGAAGCCATATTGCACAATTTCGTCTTTGACAGTTAGTACTGCCTCCATCACTTCCTCTGTCCCTGCATCTCTGCAAACAAACAACAATTCTAATCATCTTTATACATGTATTTGTTTGAGATTTGAAGTTCCATTCATTAGCAGTCAATTTAATACCTTGCTTTCTTTCGGAGCTTTTTCTGTCTTTTAGCCAGGTGCTTTTTGAGATCCGCTTGTGAAGGCAACTTGAACACTTCCAGGAATTTATTGTTTCCCTAAGTATATCATCAAGACATTTCATTTTTCTTTTTATATATGTATATGTATCAAGATACATAAAGAGTATATAAGGTTTAGTAAATAATTTTGGCTCAATAATAATTGATTAATGGTCTCTTCTTAGGTGGATTTTTACACACATAACTTTGTTTAATTGCTAAACAGGTTCTGCTTTAGTGTATTTTTAATTAGCTGAAAATACAATACAGAAAAACAATTTTTTTTCAGTTACAATAACCAATACAAAATTCATACAATAGATTTTTTTTTCAATAACCAATACACATAAGATATACACATCAACTGAAGACCATATCAAAAATCCAGACTTTGCCAGACTTACATGACAGGAGAGAACAGAACCTGTGGGGTCTGTCGTCATGGACACCAGGCGCTCCCTCCCCTGCCTCATCACAGAGCCAATCTTTGTACACTTCAGTATGTGCTAAAAATAACATCAAAGTCAAGTTAATGTCAAACTTTCATTGCTTAATAGTGCATAAATAGCCATTTGAAATGTCAAAAATTTTCAATACTTAAGAGAACAAATCCATTTAACATGTTATTTATGTTTCCAAATACAATTCAACTTAAAGCTGCATGGTCTAATCTCTAATCTCTCAGAAAATATTTATTTAAAAGTTCCTTACTTTCCTATGGTTACTCTCTGAAGAATGTCAAATATTTGATAAACAGTTAATTGTGATGTCATTGGTCAAAGTTTAAAAAAAAAAACTCTCTGACATATAGAGCATTACAAAATGACAGGAGTTAGTTTTTATTAATTTCTACAATTTCTAATTCTATTCAGTTCTAGGAATTAAAAAAAATCTTAAAATATAAATAATAAGAAATCAATTCAACAGTGTTTTCCCTAAGAACTGGCTACCAGCCAAATTGATCATTCTGACTGATAAATCAAAATTTAAAACATAATTGTTGCAAGGTCCACAGAGATTTGTTCATAAACCTGAACCCCTAGCCTGTTACAATTGATCTCTAACCCTTTATTTTGAACTAAAGGGAAAACACTGTTCAAAAGTTCAGTGTCATATGGCTTACTGAAACATCATACAGTGTATGATTTGCAGATTTAGACAAGTCAGAATATCTGTGTACAGGCTTTACACGCCCACAAAGTTCATCACACCTTCTGATATCATATTCACTAATTTCGCAAACATTACCTTGGACCCCACTTCAAACTTCCAAAAAGGGGTGTATCAGAGTGTCTTGTCAGAGCACTTAAGCAGTCCTTTGTCATTTGATTTAAGAGAGTAACTGATAAAGAAATGGAAACGATGACTTCAATAATTGAATTTCATGTTATGTCTGAATTGATCAAAATTACCAGGTCCTCTTCCTCTCCTTCCTCCTTTAACTTGTCCTCCTCCTCCTCAATCTTCATTCGCTTCAATGCCGGCTCGTCCTCTTCTTCTGCAGTCTACAATAACAGGTGCTCTTTCTACTGGTACTGTCAAACTACATACTTTACAGAAAAAGTTTTCTTGTTTTCTGGGCCTACATATACATGTATTGACATATAGTTTAATACTAAATAGAGTGATGACATCACATCACAATCAAATTACTAATAAGCATGTGCAATTTCACTTTTTATCTTTCTTGTGTGGCATTTGATCTTTCAGCTTAACAACAAAATTGAATATACTTTTACAACTCAATATAGCTATGTACATGTATGAAACCCCTGTTTAAGGCCATACTATACACTCACCAGACTGTCTAGGTATTCAATATCCCAGACTCTTAATTCACTGTCTGCTGAACCTGTGATCAAACGCTGGCCATTCCTTACAATCACAAAGTCATACACCTGCATTTAAAAAAATGTTTTGATTCCTGATTCCTTTAACCGTAAAATGTAATAAATATTTAAATATCATCACCTAAGAAACTACTATCTTCCTCAATTGACTCATACAACTTTAGTATGTGTTAAGGAATAATGCTACAAGATTTTGCATATTACTCTCTGTAATCATGCAGGAAAATTGGAAATTTTTTACCTCTGATGTTCAATAATTCATTGACTCAGGTGCTTTTCCATTAAAGAAACTCGAATGATTTCTATTTACCTCACTTCTATGTCCCACTAGTGTCTTGAAACAGTGCTGTGTGTCCAAATCCCAGAACTTGATAAAGGTGTCTTTGGAACTAAATGAAGTAGTTCAAAACTTAGAAAAATTATATGATTTACATAATAATACTTGTTTTCTACAAAAATGTGATAGATCCATCTTTGAAAATTTATGCATGCCCCAACGATCTGAAGCATACTTTATGTAATACTTTAACACATATGAAAAATCTTATACGACTGTTTCTAGTTTCTATTATCATATGAATAATGCCATCAATGTATGTAAACTAGAGGTACTGTGAGCACTGAGCTCACAAAATAACTCTGACACCCATAAGAGTATAATGGCACAAGTTTTGATATGGGAATCCCCAAATATTGCCCGATAAAATAGCAGGGACAATGCAATAAAGATTCTATGAAAATTTCAATAAATAGTGTTGTAAGAGAAGTGATGGCTACCCTGAAGTTTACCAAGAATGTCAAAATGGGGGACCCCTAATATCTGTCCTATGGAAACATAAAATAAGAGGCTCCCTCTTGGTTACCTCCAATATTATAGAAAGAATGGCATGTTTTGTTATGGGAAACCCCAAATATGTGTCCAATCGAAAACATAAAATAAGAGATGAACAATGCCATTATTAAATAAGATTTTGTGAAAGTTTGATTATCAAATTGCATCCAATGGTGTAAGAGGAGTTGTGGATAAGGAATGGCTACCCCCAATTGTAACAGACAACTTCATCATTATATAACCCCACTTTTCAAGATAGGGGTATAATAATTTACATACCTTGATACTATGACATTTTTTTCCTTTAAGAACTGGACCTGAGTAATTTGCCCTTTGTGACCTTTCAGTCTGAATAGACCGGACTCATTAACTATGTCCCATACAATCACATCAGTGTCCTGCAAAGAATTTCTTAATTGAAATTCCTGAATTAGGTCTTTTTAAAAAAAAACACTTAAAATTTCATCTAAAGTCTGTACATGATATTATTTTTGATATGAAAATTGATTTTTTACAAACTTCTTTAGTTATTTATAAAAGAATGAAGTTATTTGATTTCACACCCTGTAATACAACTCAATCACAATATTTTCATCCTGAATACCTTTGCACCAGAAACAAGTCGAAGTCCTTGATGGTCATAATTTAATGCTGTGACAGCAGATTTGTGGCCACTGAAGTTGACCTTGACCTCTCCTGCATGAAGGTCAAAGACCTTCACCATACCATCACTGTATCCAACAGCAACATGCCTCTTGTCTGGTGACCTGGCAATCTGTGTCACTTCACTCTTATCTCCTTGTAGTTCTATATACTGGAAAACATAAACAAAATATATAAAATGTCAAGACTCTACAGTAAACTGATCTCATTTCTCTATACATACATCATTAAGCTGATTAATATATAAGTAGGTATTTTCAGGAGGGTATTAAAGTTAAACAAGAGGCCCATGGGCCACATCGCTCACCTGAACACATTGGCTTGAATTTTAAACTACCTGTTGATACTTCCATGTCAATATAACTGTTACAAATGGCTTTTGTTGTACTTGAGAAGATTCTAAAAAAAAAATTCCCATATATTCCTTTGTAAAAATTTGATTCCCCATTGTGGCTCCTCCCTATCCCAGGGGTCATCATTTGAACAAACTTGAATCTACACTACCTGACGATGCTTCCATATCAATATGACTAAACATAGCTTTTCTGTTCTTGAGAAGAAATATTTTTTCTATATGTTCTTATGTAAAACTTTCCATCCCCCATTAGGCCCCACCCTACCCCTGGGGGTCATCATTTGAACAAAATTGAATCTACACTACCTGAGGATGCTTCCATATCAAAATGACTAATCATGGTTTGCAGTTCTTCAGAAGAAGATATTTTCCTATATATTTCTATGTAAAACTTTGATCCTCCATTGTGGCCCCGCCCTACCCCCAGGGGTCATGGTTTGAACAAACTTGAATCTACACCACCTGAGGATGCTTCCATATAAATATGACTCATCATGGCTTTGCTGTTCTTGAGAAGAAGATTTTAAAAGATTTTTCCTATATATTTCTATGTAAAACTTTGATCCTCCATTGCGGCCCTGCCCTACCCCCGAGGATCATGATCTGAACAAACTTGAATCTACACTAACTGAGGATGCTTCCATATAAATATGACTCATCCTGGCTTTGCTGTTCTTGAGAAGAAGATTTTTAAAGATTTTTCCCATATATTTCTATGTAAAACTTTGATCCTCCATTGTGGCCCTGCCCTACCCCCGGGGGTCATGATTTGAACAAACTTGAATCTACACTAACTGAGGATGCTTCCATATAAATATGACTCATCATGGCTTTGCTGTTCTTGAGAAGAAGATTTTTAAAAAATTTTTCTATATATTTCTATGTAAAACTTTGATCCTCCATTGCGGCCCCGCCCTACCCCCGGGGATCATGATTTGAACAAACTTGAATCTATACTAACTGAGGATGCTTCTATATAAATATGACTCATCATGGCTTTGCTGTTCTTGAGAAGAAGATTTTTAAAGATTTTTCCCATATATTTCTATGTAAAACTTTGATCCTCCATTGTGGCCCCGCCCTACCCCAGACAGACAGACAGACGGACGGACAGATGGACGCCGGACAAAATGTGATCAGAAAAGCTCACTTGAGCTTTCAGCTCAGGTGAGCTAAAAAATTAAATAAAAATGCAGTGTTCTGTGACACAGCAAAAAAAAATCCACAGTTTACTGTGGTTGACATTGATTCAGCTCATTCTGGAATAAATTAGACACACCCAGGCTGCGTGATGCCATAAAAAAGATTAAATGAAAATCTTTTCTGATTAAGATCACTTACAGGGTATGGCATTTGATATCTAATTCTGAGTATTATCTGTTAATTACATGTAGATAAAGGTCCAAAGAGTCTTTTGTTAATTAAATTACAAGAAATGAGATCAATCTTGAAAGAAAAATAATGTGGTGTGCATACAAGGAAGAAAAAAAATAATGACAGATAAGGCCAGGATTTGAAAACAAGACCTCCAAACTCTAGAGATGCTTTACCAAATGAGCTAAATGGAAGTCAGTGACAAACTTTCTTGAACACTATTAATCTATCATTAATAGCGAGCGCAGCAAGTGGCGCAAAGCGCCGCTCGCCCGCGAGCTCTAACAATTCCCGGGCAAAGAGAAAATTTGTACTGTGCACATTCATCCAAACAAATTGTTCTCCACAGTAACCTCTGGACCCATTGCAATCCAAACAAAAAATATGTGTGGTTCCGGTTACACCTCCAAAAAAATTAGGGTAGGTAGGGATTTTTTTTTTTAACAAAATGATTTTTTTAATTTTTCTAAATAAAACCTATCACTGCTTTGCAAGTGGATTTAGATGTGGTGTGATAATATACTAGTCAATACTGGTAGGGGACTGGTTCATGCTACATGCTAGCTTGCTTTGAATTTAACACTATTAAACACTTGCACTATGTTTTGCAAGGAGGCCGTCATTGCTGAAACTAAAACTTAAACTGGAGCTATTGATGGAAATCGGGGAAAATTCTGAAAAAAATCTGAAAATTGCCAAAAAAAAAGTTTAGGGTCGGGGGTATAAAATAGGGACGGTCTGATAACCGGAACCACACATATTTTTTTGTTTGGCCTTATTGCATCTCGCCACAAACTATAAACTACATTCTCACGGTAACAACAACTAAAAATTCACAAAAAAGAAACTCAATTTAATTTTATGGATATTGCATATGGATATAGTAAATTAAATGTTTTTTGTTAAAATTTTTGCACTTTTTAAACTACTTTGATGGAAATGCAGCTAACATACGATGTCATGTGACGTCACAGTCTAGACATCCCAAATGTCTCATACAGTTTGAAGAGGTTTGAAGAGGCGGATCTTAATATTAAGCAGGTTGGGCACACCCCACCAAATGGTCATTTATCCCCCATTTGGTGGACAATCTCCCATATCAGAGATGAATTTTGCTGACCAAATGGTGGACTTCTTTATTCTATTCCAAATTTTATTAAAATAAAGCAAAAGCGCATTTACTTAGGCATTGGGGAATTTTAGTGAACATATTCGTCGCACAATTAACATAGTTCGGTCGATTTCCCATGTGCAATTTCTCCGTAACTTCCTAAAAACGATACCCATAGTTATCCGTAACAGCCGAACTTCTTGATCACTTGATCAAAAAAAATTTGATTGTGTCTAGTAGGATAAAAATTCTATTTTATCCAGTGGTTGAACTCTTGATAACAGGGTTCTCATTAACGCAAGAATCTGCATCCTAGACGCAGCAAAATTACTTGGGACGCAAGGTTCTTAAAATCGATGCGTCCGCGGACTCATGATCGGACGCGTCCTCGTTAGCGAGAAAATTCGGGTAATTTCAAAAACGGGGAATTTAGATGTTAGGATTTGTCAAAGAAATATTTAATCGAAACCTTCCTGTAACTATCATAAAGTTCATCCAAGAAATAACTTTTCTTGTACTTATTTCTCTTTTTTTTTTTTAAACCGGGTCCGTAGGACAATTATCATTTTAACGAAAGAACGTTCTATCTAGTCAAAGTCCGACAGCTGTAAACACACTGCAGCTTCTTCTTTTTTTAAAAAAAAAAACACTTTTGAATCTTGAGTGTCTACATGTAGAAACCATAATTACTGCTTGTATACACAATGCGGCTTGATTATCTTGTGAATTTCACCCAGTGCAGACTACCGACAGGATTAGTTACGCCTCATTGCACATGACACCTGTGATTGTATACAGTCAACTTTCGGGTACTAGTTGATTATGCAACAGTTAATTTTAGCTTTATAAACACCAAGTTAATTTTTATGGCAACTGATTACGCGTGTATTTTAGAATGTATTACCAGTTTACATGGTTTATATACTTGAATATGTTAATATTGCGTAAACAAACTGATAAAATGATAAAGATTTTTATTGATGTTTGGATGGAAGGATACTGCAATAATTTAGTTGGGACTCAACATAATTATTCTGGGACGCATCAAATTTAGCTGGGACGCAACCTTCTCAGAAATCTTGAGTCCTGGGACTCAAGTTGGCAAAATCCTAGTGAGAACCCTGTGATAAGTTAAGTTTCAATCGCTTTTTGGATCTTCGTCAATATTTATTTCCATAAAATCCTGTTAAACACGAGCTCCTCCTTACTTTACTGGTATGGTGGGCACTTACTGCTATAAAGTTAAATTTTTCTATACTTGAACATAATATCTGTTGTTATTTTTCATTTAGGATGAAGTTGCATATTCCATACGACCTTTTTATGGTATAATATGTATATTACTGATGAATTTAATATACTTGATAAATAATTTTCAATAAAAGATTTACAAAGTGACTTTTGCAATTATTCTTGTATTCGTTCGAAGTACATCGTTTTAAAACAATAATTATATCATAATCTAACTTCATTTACTATTTTTATAGAGAACAAAGCTATTGCATACAAAATAAAATGAAATAAAGGCGAAAACTTATTTTTCTTTTGATTTTCTAATTGAAAATTGACACTAATGTGCCTCCGTAGTAAAATCCAACTTTTGACCAGGTTAAAAAAAGATCATCGTTTTTATTGGTTTGCATTATTTGATTGGTTGCCCAGATAATCAAAATAGAAAGTAAAGAACATGATTGACAGGTGCAGCATCGTTGAAGGAGGAAATTTTCTTTTTAAGTAAAAACGGAGAAACGTTGCACTTGTTTACAAACGTGACATTTTTTGTCAAATTTTTTAACGACTCTGTGCAAAAAATAGTTGAATTTCCGATTTTTTTCACTCAAAACACCGATAAATATCTATATTTTATTCCACATGGTTTAAATTATGCGCCATTCCACGCCATTCTATGGAATTGAACACAACCATTTTTCTCTCCCAAATGGTCAGTAAAATTCGTCTCCGATATGGGAGATTGTCCACCAAACAGGGGATAAATGACCATTTGGTGGGGTGTGCCCAACCTGTTAAGTGAACAACTGTGCTCGCCCCAATGGTCCCACCGTGAACATATCAGCGCCTTAAAAACAACCCTGATACATCCCTAGAAGTAGCAGTATTTCATATGTGTGACATTCAACGTCACCGGGTATACAAAGATTAAAATATGCAGATAAGATAAAGATTTTACCAAAGCAAATGCCCGACATGCAAGAGTCATCTGAACGCACCCCCCTAATACTACTATAAGTAAAAGACAATCATCTCTGCAACCACAAACCTAAATTCCACCTATGTATATAATGTAGGTCTCTACTGTAGCTTATTAAGTTTGATACCTTTTCTCCAGTTCTGAGATCCCAAACCAAAACATTTTCACAAGCTCCGACTGCACAGTACTTCCCCTTCACGCCTTTGATGTCCAAGAAAACGACATTAGATTTCTGTCCGCCAATAAGTCCCAGCACTGGTCCGGGTACATAACGTAGGTATTGCTTTGTTACACCCATCTGGCAATCATAGGGGAAGATATTTCGCTTTTATCTGTCCACACGTGCTCCTCCTTCAGTCCTTGTGCAAAATAGATTGACTTCCGGTTGTTCTAACTGGTAAAAAGAAACAGGAGGAGCAAATAGTTCCGAAATATCAACTATGGTAGAATGCTGGGGACATTATTTCGTTCGCGAGGATTCAATGATTTTTATCTTTAAGCACAATTCTCTGATTAATTTTTTAAAATTGCTTATATAATCGTAAGGGGGTGGGGGTGGGGGTGGGGGAGAAAATCATATGAAAATCAACGAGGGTCAGGATAGGCCATACTAAATAATAAAAAGAAACATTAACCCAAATATTTACCGAATAAAGTAATCTTGTTTGAAAGCAATTAAATTGTATTCCAGGCACATAGCACCGGGGGGGGGGGGGGGGGCAGGTACGCAGGACTGTTAAGGCGTACTACGAAGAAATCAACGGAATATAAACGTGCCTAAATACACACATTTTTAAACTGAATTTATTTTTGTAAATCTGCTATATTATCACATGACTTTAATTTTAACTGAAATAACATTGTATACCCCACTATGTACGGAATTTGGTTTGGTCACGTTATTTGACAGTCACGTGATAAATGCATGTAATGTGTACAGTATGTAGGTCATAAACAAATTTCAATATCGCAAGGGCATACCCTAGTTAGAATTAAAAATTTCAGTAATAAATAGTATCTATATAACTTGTAGTTTATGAAAAGTGCTGCTGCTTTAAATAGAATTCGCATTTTATTAGTTTAAATTTCAATTTACTTGGCTCTAGTCGAAATATGTGTTACCTTTACCATGTATTTTATTTATTTATTTAGTAATGCTCTCGATTTCAGGAAAGCAGCAGCACTTTTCAAGTTAAGGAATGTTTCCGTTATGCATATTCAAAAAAATAGTCAAGATCTATTTAGTGTATGCCCTTACGAAAAGGCGATTTAATGAGACACCTCGGCGTGAAACATGCACACCCTGTGCACAAAAACGTGGTAGAATTAATTCAATACATTCTCTCGATAGTTTTTATATAATGGTACTGAACAAAGGTTTCAGATTTATATTAATGGTCTGCCTAAGATTTGCAAGTAATATTCTGTTTAATAATAAAATGTGTTTTTCACTGTGGAAAAATTACTTGATCCGCCTCTCACTGCACATAAAATGCGTCAAATTTTATCATGATGACGTCATGTCGACAAGTGCATTGCGATCAGTGACTTGATTATATCTTTCTGTGTGGGATTTAACTAGCGACAGAAATGAATGCAGTGGTAAGTTTTGATGTAGTTCATCACACTTATGCAGTTTAAAAACGCAAATTATTTCATTTTCTGTTGTTGTTAGGAATTGCTATATTTGTGTGATGTCACAGGAAGCATTTCCCGTATAAATTAGGCCCCGCCCCCTTTATGCAGCCTTAACAGAGCTGCGTAGGACTTCCCCCTTTTTTTCCAAACACAACTCTTTCTTTTGAAAATTTCACTGAAAGGCTTGTCCCCCCCCCCCCCCCACACACACACACACACCGACACTTTTTGTTTGTTGCAATACATAGTCAAATCAGGGTAATAGGGCTATGTATTAATTAATTCAATTAATACAATTTGGTTGTGGAAAAGAAGTTGGAATATCACTCCCCGGCACTTTGTCTTTTTATTTGGCATGTCCATGTGTTTTTTTTTTTAAATTGTACCCATCTCTCATCCACAACTCCTCCTATACCACTAAATAAAATGACTTTTACGGAATCTTTATTACATAATGCCATTCTGCACCTTTTATTTTACGTTTTGATCTGACAGATATTCATGATTTCCCACAACAAAACAATGAAAACAGACTTTGCCATTATACTTGATGAAGGAGGTACACATTTCTAATAACGAAACTCACCCCTGAATAAAATTCAATGGAACTTTCACAGAATCTCACTGATTTACATCCGTTGCCAAGAAATGCAGATTGCCATCATACTTATATGGGAGCGGTGGGTATAATTTTGTGAGCTCACAGCTCACAGTACCTCTATTTCAAAATTGTACACGGGATTCATACAATACAAGTGCCTTTGTTACAGAAGTATATAATTATGTGTCATATTCATGGATATCCGTAATCGCATAAAATATTAGATAGAAATGAGATACCCCTCCCATAACACAGCGAATATTGTATTTTTCGTTTGTTTAATAATATCAAATTCTGCTATATTTGTACAAATCTTCAAGGTTGCTTCTCGATCATATGATTACCCCCGGTACTCATCGTCATTATCCTTTGAACGCAAAATTCCGCTTAGATCTTGCAAATGGAATCATCCTTGTTATACGTTACATTTGTGAAGATTTTTAAATTATTTCAATTTTCCAGAAGTAAATTATAGCAAAACAGCAAACAAATTTCATATATTTCTAATCAGAGATTAAAATAGCCATCTAAAAATGTGAGTAACTTAAACCTCAGAATAAAGTCAAAACATTAACTTCAATTTACTAATTATCAGGCAGGACATGGAAGACCCCTTTCCACCCCCTTTTTTCACGAGGAAGTTTTTTTGCCTGTGATAATGTCTGCATGATAATTTTTCAAACTTAGATCTTCTGACCCCCCCCCCCCCACTTTTACTGTTATGATTGAACCCTAGCTATCATGTTATTGTACCGAGAATTAGTCTTAACCACCCCCTTCCACGATTAATGACTTTCTGTTTGTTTTTGTTAAACAACCTATTTTTGGGGGTGGGGGGAGGGGGTGGGGTTGTGAAAGCTATCTGGAGTGTCAATTCTTTTTGTTACTGCCCTTCTCTCCTCTCCATTGAAAGACGTTGCTATGAGCCCGATTATGCTTCTTTTTCAGTAGATCACACGACCTTAAATTATATCTATTGTATAAAACAACGTCCAACGAATCAAAGTGATTTTGTGAATGAAGTGCTAGGTAATCGTTAGAAGTTCATTTCCTTAATTTCATTCATGGATCCACTTGAAGGAGATAAACCAAAATGATTTTCACACAACGAGTATAGATTATCGCCATTCCCCTTCCTTCAGTCTTGATAATGAAGTTTCAAGTCTTCTGAGAAAAACCAAATGTTTTCAAATGATTATAAACCGTTGGCATCCGGCAGCCCCCAATTAAATAATAAATCGTCTTTGATAAGAACTTTCGCTAATACTAAAAATGACAGTTGACAGCTATTCGAAGAAAAACAGCGCCTCCTCGAGTAACATCCTACAGTTGACTGCAAAGGTTGTTCACTCGTAGAAACCACGTCATGATGATCCAATAAAAAACACTTCTAGTAAGCCAAAGGCTTCAGTACTCTGTCCTACCTACATATACTTGGCCTTTCTTTGCATCGGATTGTAGAAAATAATACGTACATAAACTTCCTTTTAGCTCACCTGAGCTGAAAGTTCAGGTGAGCTTTTCTGATCACCCTAGCCTTTTTCTGGAGTCCGTTCGTCTATAAACTTTTCATATTTTCAACTTCTTCACAAGAACCACTGGGCCAATTTTAACTAAAAATTGGCATAAAGCATCCGTAGCTTAAGGATCGGAATTCCAAATTGTTCAAATGAAGGGCAAAACCAGCTACCAAGGGGAGATAATCAAGAAAAGGCAAAAATAGGGTGGGGTCATTAGAAATTTTTGCAAGAACCACTGGGCCAGAAAAAGCTGAAACTTATGTGGAAGCTTCTGGAAGAAGTGTAAATTCTAAATTGTTCAAAATTCATAAAAAAAAAAAAACCGGGGGTAGGGTGGGACCACAATAGGGATGAACTTTTTACAAAGAAATATATTTGAAAATTCTTTAAAACTCTTTTCCTCAAGTACCACAGCACCAGAAAAGGTAAAACGCGTGTAGTAGCTTCCCGAGGAAGGGTATATATATAGATTTTAAAATCTTTAAATCATAACCACCAAGGGTAAGGTGGGGTCACAAAAGAGGATGAAAGTTTAAAATTGAAATATATAAGAAATAACTTTAAAAATCTTTTCAAGAACCACTGTGCAAGAAAAGGTGAAACTTCCGAAGAGGCTTCTAAACATAATGTAGATTCTAAATTCTTCAACTCATAGACACTGAGGTTAGGTTGGAGCCACAATATGGGATCAAATTTTTACTTTGAAATATCTACGAAAAAAACTTTAAAAATCTTCTACTTAAGAACAATTGGACCAGAAAAGATGAAACGTATGTATTGGCTTCCGAAGTAGAGTATGTGCTAATCTGTTCAACTCATGTCTCCCGGGGGTAGCTTTGGACTATAACAGGGAATCAATGTTTCGCATGGAACTAAATAAGAATTAAAACAAAATCCTCTAAAGATTCACAGTGGAACCATTAATTTCCAAACATTCCCATGTTGTGTGAATTCATTTTTTTAAATTATTGACCCTGGGTTAATGTTGGCTAAAATCAGGATCAAATTTTACCTAATGCATGTTTACAGAAAAGAAATATCCTCTCCATAACTGCAATACCATGTTAGTCATATTGATATTAAAGCTTCCACATGGTGTGTGGATTCAGAAACCCCTTAGAGTTACATGTAGGGTGTGCATATTACAGGGTAACAATTTTTCAACGGAATATAAAAATCTGATGAAAAAACAACAGGGCTAAGATGAGTGCTATTACGGGAATCGTAAACTCCTTTACGAATCTGTAATTTACAAAGAATGAGTGCACTTTAGTACGTCATTTGGAACCTTTTCGGCTACCCATTTTAAGCTTTACATTACAATATATCGCTTAATTAATCTATGATTATTGTGCAAGCATATTCTTTTGATATTTATTCCTTGAATTTTTTGTCATACATATTTCTATAATTACAGACAATGTCATTGAAAAGAACATATACAAACCTTTAATTCCGGAAATTTGAACGGGACCACTTACGAATTTAAGGTATCCGCAAATAGGTGGAGTCATTTAAATCGCATGGATGTGGAATGTATATGATTTTTTTTCGCACTGCGAATTTAAATGGAGAAGAGAGAG